GATTCTAATGATATTTTGAGGGTAAATGTTATTATAAGTGCGACATAATTTTATGCTAAAAAAGTTTCGATATATTCACCAGGGGCAGAATATTTTTCTAAAAAAAACGTTCGCCACTGACTTTTTTGAGTTCTGATTAAAAATACAATTGGGGCATCTTTTAACTGGCCAGGAAACGTCACAAAAAACATTTAACTGTCAAATGCATTTTTCCAATGCTTGATTAAACATTAGCGATTTTAATACTTCAGATTTATATTTAAAATACTATTTTTAAGAGAATATGTCAGAAGTTGTCATTCTATTCAGAATGTTATTTTCTATCACATAGAGTAAAAAAATACGGAGGGTACCATTTAAAAATGAAAATTTGTAGTAATTTCCGGTGAAACAGGATGTAACCTAAACTAATTGAATACGTGAATCAATCCTGATTTATGTCATATACTAGCATATCAAATCTTGTTTATTAATCTGAAAAAATAAAGAAGTTATAGGGGGTGAGCCACTTTTGAAAATACCCTGTATCAGCTTATATCAAATACTTACAATCAAAATTTAATTTTTTCTAGAAAACGTTTCTAACATAGTAGTAAATATGTTAAAAATTGTGCCTTAGATTATTATGTACTATCTAAAACAATAACATGTGTATCATAAAAAGAATAATTATGTTTAGAGCTTATATTCTAAAATTATAGAAACCTGTAATATTTCATTTTGCGTAGTTTCTGCGTAGCATCTAACGTCACCTGTCATTAACATTATCATCAGAACTAACTTCCATTCACCCGTTGTTTTGCTTTTTTTCATTGAAAAATCAGAATTTAAAAGGATTTTTTTATTTTAAAACTCAAAATCATTTTGATTTTTCTGTTCATCTCGAAACTCATCATCAGGCATGATACAGAGCGTTCATTCAGAATGTAGCGCAGCCATTTATTACACTTTGTTAACATTTTTCTCTAAGAAAGCCTAGGCTTCGAACCTTGTCAATCTGTTTAACGAGATGAAATACGGGGTGTCTCAATATTACGTGGACAATTTACCTCTATACAAAAGTGCTTCGTTTGTCCGTTAGAGGGCAACAATTAAAAATAAACCCTAAAGATAATTAATTTAAAATTTATGAAACATTTGACATAAAATTTCATATTCTCGCTTAACGCTTTGTCAGCTTTGTAATTCAGCTTTGGAAATACATTTTTTTTAATTAAAACTATGTGAGGTGGCGCTTTTTTGCAAGAGACAAAAAATGTAGTGAATACTAGAAGGACCTTTTTATGATAAAAAAATACCGTAGTCGAAGTTGCAAAAAAAATCTACTAGAGTTTATATAGGAGTGGGAATAGTTTTCATTCTTCTCCTAAGCAACTGGCAGAACGTAGACACCCCAAATATCATTCAAATCGAAATATCAGTTCATAAGATATCTTTAAAAATGTTTTTATTTAAAAAAATATGACCTCTAATGGATATACAAATCACTTCCAAAGATACTTAGTATTTCTATGTCCACGGAATATGGGGACACCCTGTATATTCTCAGAAATACATTGACAATATTACGAAGCTTCTGCAATTTTTATTTCCCCACTGTGTAGGCTTGTAAGTTAGATATGCCAATCTTTGATACATTGTACTTCTAAAAGTAGGACTATTTATCTATCTTGCTGATCTATCGAGAATAGAGATGGGTAAACTGTTATTTTTGGAGGTAACAGATTGCACTGTTACATAGTTTAAAATAACTGTTAAATTAACAAGTTATTTCTTGAAAAGAATCTGGATATTTTGCCAAAAAACGATTTAAACCCTCTAAATACAACTAACTATTCAAGAATACTTTAGTTTTTGCAGGCCGTAAGAAAATCTACGAAATAAAAAAGTTATTTTAGTAAACACTACTGCGTAGAATCCAAATGGAAACCACCCAGTGTTTTTTTACTAGTAAAACAAATTGCCTAATCGACAAAAAATGCTTAACGTTTCTTTGTCAGAAGCAAAAAAACGCAAAGAACAAAGAAAAAAATATTTAAAATATATAAATAATACTATACAAGAACGCTTTAGTTCTTTGCAAATAATTATAGTTCTGTGTAAAATGACATTTCATTAAGTCAAACTTCAACATATAACAATAATTAATACCTAATAATTACCCAATATACCTGTTATTCCTTTACAGTCGATAACAGGTGTTAAGCGTTAGTGTAAATATCAGTTAAAAAATAACAGGTTTATAAATAACACATACCCATCTCTAATCAAATAATAAATAATAAAACCTTAACCGTGCAAATCTTATCTTACAAGGTCCGTACTAATACACTCCTTTGCTGCTAAACGGAGCTTAATGTCTTGGTGGAGAGGTCTCTTAGACAGAAAAAAATATATTTCAGTCTTATTTTTCGTCCCACTACTACATAATTCATATTATTTTGTTACTGGTCATTAGTCCCGAATTATCCTTTACTATTTAGGGCTCAATTCGTGTGAATTTTGCGTAGACCGTTTGAACGATGTGCGATATATGCGACTGCGCGAGCGCTTGGGACGTCAACATTGTGGGTTATGTCTATCAAGCCATGGCATTTTTTCTAAATTTTCGTTTTGTTTTCAGTCAATTTACAATTTGAATTAGGAGGGGTTGCACTGTGTTGTTTTATTTTTAGGATATATTTTAAGAAGTAATTGCTAGATTACCTGTAAACATTTTTAGTTGTATTGCTCAAACTTGTGTAACATTAATTTTGAAAAGTTTGTGTAGGGATTAACCAAGGAAAAACTTGTTACAGTTAATGATTGACTACATTTAACATAAACACATAATTTACTTGTTTTGACTCGAGGCTATTTTTAGGAAAAAAAAATAATAAGTACAAAATATTTATCAAAGTAACATAAATATTATAGTCTGTTCAACGAGTTAAGAAATATTTCAACAGACGACATCCAAAAATGATAGAATTTACAATTTACCTGTGAGGAAAAGGAAATACATCCTTTTTAGAAAAGGTTTTAAACTAGTTTTTTTCTAATTTATTTAAGGCTAAGATAATAATATACTTATACCGGGTTGACAAGGGAAGAGTCTTGAGTCGGCGTTTATGCGAATTTTATTACCTATCCACACATATCTCTGCCTACACACATAAAAACCGGCAACGTTGTATACCGCTTTTTATTTTGTCTCTCTGTCTGTCAACCGGTCATTTATATTTATCTCTGTCGCATGCATTAAAATACAAACGCGGAGATATAATGTCTAGGACCGTGTACAGGGTGGCCCATCGAAAACGTTCCGCAAGGCATAACGGCCAGGATATATTTTTTTTTCAAAAAATCCAAAAACACGTCAATTTTGTTTGTGAGGGGGACAAATTTTGCCCCAAAAATGATTGCAAAATCGTCAACCCTCAAAGCGGGGGTGTCATCCCCCAACTTTTTTTAAATGGGAAGGGGGTCAAGTGGCGCCGCAGTGAAAAGAGCTTTCTATTCTCAATATTTCCCCGCTTCGTTTTTGAAAATCGGTCGAATCATTGAGAAAATATGAAGGATTGAAAAGTTTATTTAAACATTTATCAGAGTAAATGATAAGGATAAATTCCTTCGACCAATTTGCTGTTTTTTCTTATTATTTCTAGATGTTTACGCATTTTTTCACTTGCCACAAGGTTGAACGATCAGGTGCGGTCTCAATATCGTTAAACTGACCTACAATAGAATTTCCAAAAATACCAGCCCGCGACGATAAAAATCGTCTTCGTTGAGTTCTTCTACCAACTGAATTTTATACGGGTGGAACTTGTGTTTTTTTAATATCCTGTGGACACTTGTACGATTCACGCCGCGCCGGTCTCATTGGCTAATTTTCTTGTACTCAGCGTACTATCCATGGCTACTTGGCCCAATACGAATATCTCCATAGCTTCATTTACTACAGGATTTTCCCTCTGCCTCTTTTTATTCATAACGGAACCAGTTTCACGAAATTTTGCTACTAATTCGCGAACAATTTTGCCATAAAGGTGTTTGTCAGGATGGCGTTCATTCAATATCTGCGCAACCCGATTGCCACATTCATTATTTTTAAAATAAAGTTCGATTATTTCCACTTTTTCTGCAAGTGAGTACACTTCAACGCACAAGTCACAGAACAGCTGTCTAGCAACTAAGCAACTACCGCACCTGATCGTTCAACCTTGTGGCAAGTGAAAACATGCGTAAACATCTAGAAATAATAAGAAAAAACAACAAATTGGTTGAAGGAATTTATCCTTATCAATTACTCTGATAAATGTTTAAATAAACTTTTCAGATTTCAATCCTTCATATTTTCTCAATGACTCGACCGATTTTCAAAAACGAAGCGGGGAAATATAGAGAATAGAAAGCTCTTTTCATTGCGGCGCCACTTGACCCCTCTTCTCATTTGAGAAAAGTTTGGTGGATGACACCCCCGCTTAGAGGGTTGAAGATTTTACAATCATTTTTGGGGCAAAAATTGTCCCCTTCACAAACAAAACTGACGTGTTTTTGGATTTTTTGAAAAAAGAATTACCCTGGCCGTTATGCCTTGCGGAACGTTTTCGATGGGCCACCCTGTATACATAAAATCAGTTACAATTCGGTTATTTGTATAGTACAGCAATATTAAGTATTCGTATTTAAACATAGCACAAGTTTTATCAATACTATATATATTTAAAATAAAAGTTTGCGGAAAGAAAATGAATTTAACCATATATTATATCCTAGAGATACTATTTCATAGGTTCGTGACCCACTTAAACCAGTTTAACATTCATCTACTGAATGAATTATTGTATTGATTCAAAATTACCGATTTTCTAACTAAAGTCCGACAAAAACCCACAGAGATACTTGGCTTGAGTGGCAAGTCCTCCCCTTTTCTTGCAGTGGCTAAGCTGGCGCCTTTAATTAAGTCTAGTCGGTGTCTCGACGAAGCGAACTAATAGTTTTTTCGTATTTTGCAGTACAAATGGAGGCCCAGCACGCGCCCCAGCCCAGCATCGGCGGCGGCAATCACTTCTTTAAGGGCGCGGCGTGGACGTCGCGCAAGCGCGAGCACGACCTCGACATGATGCCGCCGCCCGAGTCCAACATGGTTCCCATCTCGAGCAGGCGCTCGTCCCTCAGTTTGCCCTCCACCAGCGACGCTCATTCACCCCCTTTGAGGGCTCTAAAGCAAGAGTACATTGATGAGAATAGTCAGAGCTCGTTGCCGGACCCTTTGGAAATCCACAGTCACGAAAGGTACAGGCCTATTTCGGAGAGTTCTCTCGATGTGAACCACGACTCGAACATCTCCATGATCAACGACAACTCGATCGATATGCTGCACCATAATCCTTTGATGGCTCATTTGAATGACAACTCGAATTTGAGCGTGAACGAGGATAGTGTGGAGATGGTGAGGAGGAGCTCGATGTGCGAGAGTGCTGAAGCGACGGTGGTGCATTCGATGGTCAGCGAGGTTCCCCCAAGTACGTTAACCATGATGGTGGATAAGGGAATGGATTTGAGAATGAAGCAGTCACTAAACGCAACGGTAACGGACTACGTTACAAACGCCTCGTCTATGGCAACGCTGAAAAGTTTCGGAATCGAACCAACAAGCGCGCCATTACCTACCCAAAGCGCACAGAGTGTCGAAAACTATCTAACCAAAATAGAATCAAAGCCTAGTTTGATTCCGGGAGAAAACATTCCTTCAACGTCATTTTCTCCAATCAAAAACACCGCAGAGAAGACTGAAATGATGTCCTGCACCGCCTTGACGAGCGCTTTAGGACCAGCACCACCCTCAACACAGTCAGTGTTTCTCCCCACCATGCAGCAACCTTTCGTCTCGGAAGCAACGACAACAAGCACTATCGCAAAATCCGAAGCAGCCGCTATAGCAGAGCAAACACTATCCGGTACGACGAACACTTCTAATACCAACACAACAATCACTAGTACCCTGGAAGGTAGCATTTCGACCTCCATCAATGCTCCTATCGAAGAGATCTTCAAATCTTCTCAAAACGTACTGCTTACCACCGAACCTCCGATGCTAGTACCTCCCCCACCAATCAATTCTACAATCGCTTCCCCGGTACTGCAAGGTCATCACTCACCCGAGATCATGATGAACCCGCAAATGTCCACTGGAATGCTAATGGATCCAGCTGTCTGTCAGGCTAGTAACGTAGTAACCGACGCTTCTATCTTACCGTCACCTATGACAGTTGCTCCGCTGATGCCTTCAGTCACCACCAGAGAATCTTCCACTCTTTTGAACGCCGAACCCGAGAAAGCGGTCCTTTTGGAGGCTGCGGCCGATCTGTTTAAAACTCAAAAGAAAATCAACGAACTGACAACCGCTCAGAGCATAATGAGTTTGACTCCTTCGGTGACGGAGTCCGCGGTGTTGTCGATGCCAAACTGCTATGTCCAGTCGTACAATTCCTCGATCGCTATGTCAAAAACCTTGAGCGAGCACATGCCGATGCCCGTTAAAGATGCCATTTCTGCCGAGCAGAGCGACAACAAGAAGAACGAAGATAGGATTATGGCTCAGGCATTCACGTCGCTTTCAGAGAACGATCTGATAGATTTTATCAATCCGAGTTGTTTCGATCAAGGTAACTACAACCAGTAGATAATTTTGCACGTGTATTTTAATAATCCTTGATTAGATTTGACTATACTCTGTATAAAGCTTATTAGTGTGTGTTCATTAATAAAGATATCATGTCTATTTTTTTAATGTAATATTTTATATAGTGATTCGTAACTACTGGTACTGTTAGAGTTCTTATTGTAGTACTGTAGATACTACCTTTGTACATATTAATATTTTATTTGCTCAAAAAATCGCTCTGGAAACGTTATTATATAACTTAAGTTATTATATTATTTCGTTTGGTAGTTTAGTAGAATTATATAGGCTTATCGTATGTACTAACAAAAAGCTAATTCTATTTTTTGTGTAGTATACCTATATTATTAAGAGATTGATGTTATATATTTGTATAACGGTAGAGTAATATTGCATGCTTTTCATCAGAAACAGTGAGCACAATGTTGATTTTTAAGACGTTAAAAATAAAAATGTTTATTCTTTTCAGTATAAGTGATTGGTGGAGGCTTTTTCAATGTCCGTACTTATTGAAGTCAGTGGCCTTTATTTCGAATTATATTTCCAAGTGCAGCTTTTTTCATCGAGACATGAAAAAAGAATATTTTTTTACCAGAAATTTATGATGACTAAAAACTGCACTATACTACTCATCCATAGAAAAGAAAAATAAAATATTTGATCTGGTATATAAACATGAATTATTCCGTTACATTTCCTAATAATGGATGTATTGTTGTTTGTTTTTTTTTGTTTTACTTTTGGTGAAAATATTTCGTTAAATGTAATCACTCCAAGCGAACGAAATTTCACACAGAATTTGTTTTCCATGAAAGCGGTTTTTAGATAAATTATTTTTCGTAATACGTGTCTTATAATATAATTAATTGTATCTTGAATTGTTATTTCTTAGTATTTAAGTTTATTGGTTTACAAAAAAGTGGATAAAACGTATACATTAATTATTGTAAATGTACAAGTATTGTGTGTTGAAAAAATAAAACTATATTATTTGTTATTGTTTAATCATTATAAATATATTACTGGATAAATTTGTTGATGTTTTATTTCAAATCCTACCCTTTCAATTCAGTATTGCAATCTTATTGAGACTATTGCATTCCATACTAAACAACAAAAAAGACTAAAGGTGTGTTTATATTATGTTTATATGTATCCGCAATGTGACGTCCGCAGTTAAAAATTGAATGTAATTTTTTAAATAAACTAATAAAATTGCATAAAATCAACGATGGACAACAGCATTACGGATACATGTAAATGCACACTAAGCTTACTCGCATAGAGGGCAATACAGTTTAATACAAATTAAATGAGAGCATTAAGACAGGTTTAGATTTAGGCTCATTTAGTCACAATCTATGCCTAAAACAAATACGTTTTTGAATTGATAAATAATGATATAATTCCCATCAAATACAGAGTTAAGCTATTATTGAGAAATAAAAAAAAAAACGAAAACAACATGAAGTAAAATTCTAAGTAGATAGTACCGTATGATCGAATAAAAACGGCGTCCAGTTGGCTTGGAAATGACGATCGATGGCATTTCCTATATAAATTTACATATAAAATGACAGCGATCTTCATTTCATAGCCATCGCTGACGCCGTTTTTATTCGATCATACGGTATATTCTATCACAAATAAAAAGTGGCCAAAATTAAAGCTAGATGGTCAGAATTTGTCTATGATAATATGAAACCATTAATTAAAAAACAGTAAAAATATAGTTACTCAAAAGAAATAAAATTTTAGATATACATACTTGTCTTTTTATAAGTTGTTAATACCCATCAAAAGGATAAATGTACTGTCCTGGAACTGGATACTTCCTTTGATATGTTGTACAAAATCTGTAAAAAAGAAATAAATAATATTTCATTTTATTAATATTATGTTATAATTCATTAAAAATCATGAAATCATGATAGTTGATAGGCAACATAACAACCATCCAAATATAAGTCATATCGACCGCTTCGAAGTCGTTAAGTCATACGTATACCTGGGATCACTATTGACAAATACAGGCACATCGGAAGAAGAGGTGAAGCGTAGGTGCAACATGGCAAAGGTAGCCGTTGGGAGACTGACCAAGATCTGGAAAGATCGCCAGATTTCAAGAGCCACCAAAAACCGGCTAGTCAACTGTTTGGTACTCCCAATATTGACGTATGGCTGCAAATCGTGGACTCTCAGGCAGGCGGAACGTAAGAAGATCGATGCTAGCGAGATGTATTGTTATAGACGTATGCTCCGTATCCCATGGACTGAACGCCGTACAAACGTTTCCATTATAAATGAACTTAATATTACTAACAGGCTTTCCTGTAAAATCCGACTAAAACAACTAAAATATTTTGGACATATAATGAGGAAAAGTCTGGACAATATGGAAAGACTCATAATTCAAGGCAAGGTGGAGGGACGTAGACCACGTGGCCGCTCTCCAACTCGATGGATAGACCAGATCACGACTAGCTGTAGCACGCCAATGCACGATGTCATCGAGATGACAAAAGACAGAGGCGCATGGAGAAAAATCATCCATGATGTTACGCTGACCACTACACTCCCTAATGGAGGTCAGGACTGAAGAGAGAGATGTTATAATTATTGTTTTTTTTTTGTTTCATATTATGCTATAATTGTTTTTTTTTATTTCAAAATCGGGAAAAAGAGAAATATACAGGGTGGTCCGAACTGTATTCCGGAAATTTCGGCAGCATATTCTGTAGATGAAAATAAGTAAAAAAGTTCGTATAAATGTACGTCCTAAAATGCTTAGTTTCGGAGATACATACAGGGTGTAGAAGTTTCATTTTTATTTCGATTTTTTCCAAATAATTTCTGAAGTAACGTCAATATTTGGATCAAAATTGGTGTCTGGGAGTTTTTTGACATGAAATTTGATTTTAATGTCAATATGACCCCTACTAATAGAGGGCGCCACCTACATATTGTTTAACTGGTTTGAAGAGTAATAACTTTTCATCCGTACCTGTATGAAACCACTAGCTAAAAAGATATACATTTACGACATTTTTTACGTGAAAAAGGTCTCTTGGTAAAAATCGGTACGAGTAATGGTTTTCGAGATATTTGAAATCGAAATTATCGACACCTGTCATCATTGACATAAATTAAACATGGGGTGCAAGGGGTATGGAAGCGATACATATAGCCTAGCTTACCCAAAAGTCAACCTCACCTTCACGTGGTGCACCCTGTTTACACAAACGAGGCTCTGACGTCCGAGTATAGGCGGTATAACCTTATACAACCCTCAGACCTACCATCTTCTGGGGAAAAGGAGTAATAAAATACACCTAGCCGGCCGAGAACGTAGCACAAAGGGAACTATCGTCGCAGTCCTCACTGTGCCATAGCCATCCCGTGCTACAGTTGCAGCCAAAACTGTGCGGCAGCGTAACCGCCACAGTTAAACCTTTTCACGCAGCTTACACACAGCAATGATGGAACATTCGAGTCTGACAAAATTATCGTCCGAGGTAAAATACCCCCTCAATCGGATCTCCGGGAGGGGTGCCTACTCGAGCGTATCATCGGAGAAACAAAAACATCAATGTTTCACGTTCGCGGCGTGGAACGTCCGCACTCTACTGGACAAGATAAATTCAAATCGACCAGAGAGAAGAACAGCACTGGTCTCACAGGAACTCCACCGATTAAATATAGATGTTGCCGCTCTAAGCGAAACACGCTTTGCAGATAAGGTAGTCTCACTGAGGAGCATTACACCTTCTTTTGGAAAGGTCACCCCGCAACACACAGGAGAATTCATGGTGTAGGCATTGCGATCAAAAACGAAATCGCCACCAAGTTAACAGAAGTACCTATTGGTGTCTCCGAACGTCTTATGACCCTAAGGTACCCCATATCAGACAAAACTTACGTCAACAACATTAGTGCCTACGCTCCCACCCTTGACGCTAAAATTGAAGATAAGGATAAATTTTACCAAGCATTACAAAATGCCTTTCAACGAATTCCAAAGCACGAACGAATCATCTTGCTAGGTGACTTTAATGCCCGTGTAGGCAAACAACAGGAAATATGGCCTGACGTATTGGGAAAACAATGGAAAACGCAAATAGCAATGGTGAACGCTTATTAACAACATGCGCAGAGTATAATCTTTGCATCACCAATACGTGGTTCATGTTGATGAACAAGTTTAAAGATACCTGGAAACATCCTAGATCAGGCCACTGGCATCAATTGGACCACATAATCGTTCGAAGGATGCATCTAAAAGATGTTAGGCTCACAAAAGCTAGAATAGATGCCGAATGCGGCACTGACCACCGACTTTTAATTTCAAAAATGAAAATCCAGTTAAAACCCAAACATCCACGCTGTAAAAAGCAAAACAACATGACCAGATTGAACGTACGGGATCTAGAGAACAAGAATACCGCCGACGCCCTCCGGGAAGCCATCAAAGAATCACTTCCACCGATAACTTCAATCTCAATATTGGAAGCTGAACAAGACTGGACACAATTAAGGGATGCGATTCATAAAACCAGCGAAGCAGTACTGGGAAAGTCGAACAAAAAGAAACAACCAGACTGGTTTGACGAAAATCAACAGCATATACAGGCTTTTTTGGAACAAAAGCATAGAGCACATCAAGCCGTCACTGCAAATCCACTTAATCCAAGACTGGTAGATAACTTTAAAGCAGCCAACAACACCCTTCGAAGAGAACTGCGCCAAGTAAAGGATAACTGGTGGTCACAAAAAGCGAATCAGATTCAAGAGTACGCCACTCATCACGATTATCGTAAATTCTTCGAGGCTGTAAAAGAAGTATACGGTCCAACTAAGAAGGTAAGCTGCCCAATCATGGCTCAAAATGGCGAACTTCTAAAAGAGGAAGAACAAATCAGAAATCACTGGAAAGAACATTACAGCCATATCCTTAACCAAGAAAACAACCCCAATATGGAAGCACTAAACACAATACCTCAGTATAACAGCCTCGATGTATTAGACATCCCAATAACAGAACAAGAAATAAAGACCTCCATAAAACAGCAACAAATCAGCTGGCTGTGACGCGATTCCGGCGGAAATCTATAAGTGTGCAAGTAAAGAAATTATGGATCATCTTAAGGCTCTCTTTGATGTCGTATGGGAAAGCGGAGAGGTACCTCACGATTTTCGCAACGCGAATATAGTGAATATATTAAGAACAAAGGAAGTGCATCAGACTGCGGAAATTACCGGGGAATTTCGCTATTGGCTATCGGCGGAAAAATTCTTGCAAAAATAATGTCAAACCGCCTGCACCCATATATAGAAAAAATCCTTCCAGAATCGCAAAGGGGTTTTCGTACCAACCGCGGCACCGTCGATTCCATATTTTCCATCCGTCAACTACAGGAAAAAGTAAAAGAGCAGGAGTCTAAACTTTATGTTGCATTCATCGATCTAACAAAAGCCTTCGACTCTGTGAACAGAGATGCGCTTTGGGCAATTATGGAAAAGTTCGGAGTACCCAACAAATTTCTTACAGTGTGTAAAAGCCTCCAAAACAACAAGTCAAGAGTGTCACATCATGGATCACTGAGAGACCCATTCCTAACAAATACAGGAGTTAGGCAGGGATGTGTCTTAGCGCCTCTCCTATTCAACATATTCATGGCAGCGCTCTCCATTATAGTGGACAGCAAACTGCAGGAGAGAGGATTGGGCATTAGATACTGATATGACGGCGGTCTGTTCAACATAAAAAGACTCAGGGCAAAAACACGTACAAAATTTATCACAGAACTTCAATACGCTGACGACTGCACTCTAGTTGCAAACACGGTACAACAATTACAAGAAATGTTGAACACATATACCTGGGCATACGAGGCTTTGAGCCTTAAGCTAAACATCGACAAAACTAAAATCATGTGCACTCACCCGGAAGATCACAACAATGCTATAAAAATCGGAGAAGAACTATTGGAATATGTGGCGGAATTCAATTACCTTGGCAGTTTGATTTCGGAAAAGGCCAATATTGACTCTGAAATTCAGCACAGGATTAGTAGCGCCTCAAGGGCATTCTGGAAATTAAAAGACAGGGTTTTCTACAATCATGACTTGAGTACAAAAACAAAACTTGCAGTATACCGAGCAATTATAATCCCCACCATGATATATGGGAGCGAAACCTGGGTGCCTTACCGCCGACACATGAACGCATTGAACAAGTTGCAACAGAGACACCTTAGACAACTCTTAAGAGTCCGGTGGTTCCATCATGTCTCAAACGTATCGGTCCTTGAAAAATCTAACTGCGAGAGTATTGAAGTCATGGTCACAAAATCCCGCTTAAGATGGGCTGGTCACGTATGCAGAATGCAAGAAAACCGCATACCAAAATCTCTGCTTTACGGTGAGCTTGTGGACGGTAAGAGGAGGCCGGGTGGACAACTGAAAAGATACAAGGACATTTTCCACGAAAATTTAAAGGGAATTAACATGCAGAATGAGTGGGAAAAAGCAGCTCACAATAGAACTCAATGGAGAAGGGTTGTAAACTCAGTTAACAGCGGCAACCAAAAAGTAGAGAGGCAACAAAGCAATGAGATTTTTGAATGTCCGGAGTGCGGTAGGCAGATAACATCACGTATCGGGCTTTTCAGTCACAGAAAAGCTCATGAAAGAAAACGCCTTGCGTGACCATTTTCTTTATGTGTGTCAAATACTCGTCAGCGAGTAACGGCTGTATGTATGTATGTAAATTAAACATGTTGACTAAATAGTTATTAGACTGAAATCATGTGTGAAAAATGTTTTTGTGCCAAAAATTCAACAGAAACTGTTTTTCATCATTTTTTGCAGAAAAACTTATGAATAATTGAAAACAAAAATAAAAATTTCCTAAATTTATTATTTCAGTGAAATAACTATCTACTCAACGTGTTTATTTTTCAATAATGACATGCACTGACTATTTCCATTCTAAATATCTTAAGAACGGTTGCTCGTAGCGATTTTTACAAAGAGATATTTTTTACGTAAAACGTCACAGAGATGTATATTTTTTCGCTCGGTAGTTTTATACAGGTACGGACAAAAAGTTATTACGCTTCAAAACAAATGTAGGTGGCGCCCTCCACTAGTAGAAATCATATTGACATCAAAATGGAATTTCTCATGTCAAAAAACTCCCAGACACCAATTTTCATCCAAATATTGACCTTACTTCAGAAATTGTTTAGAAAAAATCGAAATAAAAATGAAACTTCTACACCCTGTATCTCTGAAACTAAGCATTTTAGGACATACATTTATACGAACTTTTTTACTTATTTTTATCTGCAGAATATGCTTCCGAAGTTTCCGGAATACAGTTAGGATCACCCTGTATATTACTATACTTCATTATAATTTATATCTACCTATTTTATAAAATGCACGAATAAAAAAATTATAGTACAATTTACCTAAAATTATTTAGTTTCTCTTCACTGAGATGAATGTCGAATTTAATCTTCCTAATGGCATCTTGAAGAAGAGGGCGGTTGAATTGAACTACAGTTGTCCCATAAATCCTTGTTCCAAAGCAGTACAATATCCCATTCAAAAACTCAATTTTAAAAGAAATTAGAAACGCAATGAAAAACAATTCAAAAAAGAATTGAAAACTATTATACAACTCCATGTAAGCACCACTAGAAATGAAATCAAAGACTTGGAAGACTTAGAATAGAAGTAAAATAAACAACAATAAATATAAAAGATATTTAGAAATACAATCAATAGAGAAGGAAAATAATTAAAAGAAAAACCGATAGGCTTATTGGATAGCATCATATCTCTTAAAGAAAAGTGAAACTTTGTGAAATGTGGTTTATGGTCAGAAAATCCTAAGACTGTGTGACTGCCAGTATTTGCTAGTTCATTTAGCGTTATCCAGGGTGCACCACGAGGAGACGAACTCCAGAATGGAGACAATATGAGAAAAAAATAAAGATAAGATAAATTAAAAAAAGTGCATGATAATGAGAGATGAACTTTAAAAAGTCCCAGAAAAATATCACATAAAATTAAGAAGACTTAGAAATACAATCAGTGGAAGAGTTAGTTTATAGAACTGATGTATGATGACATTTCCATAAGGAAGAAAATATGGGAGACAAACAATGAAAGAGATATATGATGCATTGAAAAAACTGGCATGAAAATAAACAAAAAAACTATAATTCTATACAGGGCATTTAAGTGTCTGAGAAGAATGACAAAATTATATACAAGTATATTTCAAAAAAAAACTTGAGAGACAGAATCAATGGAAGAGTTTATAGAGTTGATGAATGATGGCATTCCATAATAAAGAAAATATGGGAGGCAAATAATGAATGAGAAGTGATGAATTGAAATGAACGGCATGAAAATGAATAAAAAAATATACAATTCTATACAGGCATTAGAAAATTGAAATTTTATTTCTTAGAAAATCGTGAGAACGATGACAGAAAACTTATATAAATATATAAATAAGACAATCAACAGAAGAGTGATTAATAATAATATTCCAATAATGCAAAAAATATGGCAGACAAAAATAGAGAGGTAGGCAAAAAGAGAAAATATATTAGATGATATTAAAAAAATAAAAATAAAAAAGTATGTGGGCAATAAGCCCAAAAAAATGATGATGTTCGTTCAAAATATGACTCAATGAGATAAAGAAAAATCCTCTAGAGCATATAAGGTCGCCTCCCTTCATCAGATTTAACCCTTGGGCAACGATTAAGCCTCACCAGTCAGTTCCCATCCCAGCTAAGCAGCCTCGTCTCGGGTCACCCTCGTCACCCGTCGAACGGACATCCACCGGGACCCCCTACAGGCGGACCCCCCTCATCATCTTCAATGTGTCCGATATCCCGCCCCCTCTACTGTCGAGACGTCACGAGAAACGTGCACGAAGAAGTCTCGTAGCTTGGGTGCCAGGAATTCCAAAAATTGACCCCCTGGTCGTATCCGGCCGAAGCCTCTAGCGTTAGAACACCTAGCTCGTAAACCAGAGGGTGGTGACTCCCTTGGGTACCTATGCATGCTACATAGGTCATCGATGACCGAACAGCAGGGTTAGGGGGTGACCCGGATCTCCTCCTCTTCGGAGAGGCTAGCTATGATGCTCTGGAGTCGATGTTACTCAGGAAAATCCATTAGGAAAAATACTAGAAAAGCCAGAAATGGGCGTCAGTTTTTTAATAAATGGCGAATGCGCCAGGAATTGATTCGGAAATTATTTATTGTAAGATTTTTAAGTGTGGGTATCGAGTGCTTAAAACAGAATCCGTAAAATTATATCATGGAATTAAATCTAAAAAAAAAATGACATGAAATTGAATCCATCAACACTAAAATTCTATGCAAGAAATTACACAAGCAAAAAATTACCTATTAGGACACCATTAAAAAAATAATACAAACAAAAGAATTCTTATAGAAATACAGTCAATGAAATATTTTGTAGAATCCATAAATGATGTTATTATTCCCACAATGATGAAAATATGGGAGTCACATGGGAGTCAAGCTATTATACAAAAATAAAAGTTAACCACAAACAACATGAAGTAAAATCCTAAGTAGAAGGTACATTATACCATACAAATAAGACCTACCTATAGAAATACAGTCAAGGGAATATATTTATAAAATTTATAAATGACTATATTATTCCCACAGTCAAGAATATATGGGAGTCGAGCTATTATAAAGAAATGAAAGGAAACCAAAACCAACAGAAGTAAAATTTTAAGTAGGTAGATGGTATTCTACCAAAAGAAAGCAACCAAAAGCCACAAAATTGGTCTAAATTAAAATTAAATGGTCTAAATTTGTCTATGATAATAAGGAACAAGCTATTATAAAGAAATGAAAGGAAACCAAAACCAACAGGAGTAAAATTTTAAGTAGATGATATTTGTCTAAATTAAATTTGTCTATAGGAACTATACTAAGGAACCATACAGATGTAACAGAAAGATACACTGGAATTTTTTTCTTACTTAATCAAATTTAAAAATGATGAAATCCAGTGATCAATATTAGAAACCAATAAAAATATTTTTACCCAAAAGAAATAAAATTTTAGATATACTTGTAAGTTCTGATACATTGTTGGAAATATACATCAAAAGGATAAATGTACTGCCCTGGAACTGTTCACTTCCATCGATATGTTGTACAAATAAAATCTGTAAAAAATAAATAAATAATATTACATTTTATTAATATTATGCTATAATAATTGTTTTTTTTTGTTTCATATTATATACTATTAAATATATCTTTAAAAAATGATTAGTATGTTAATAACCAGTTAATAAATTTATTAAAATTGTTTTTAAATATTAAAATAAACTTACTTTTAACCGGACAATGTAAAACCAATTTTGTAAATCGGAATGATAGCCAAACATAAGAATTATATAAGGGGTGACTCATGCAGGTCTCTGTGGTCTTTATGTGCTGAGTGTGTATTATTAACATTCCTAAAAAGGAAAATTATAATTAAAGTATTATAATATAAAAGCAATGCAAATTGGGCTAACATATGACAACAGCCAACAGCCTATAATATTAAAACTGAAAAAGGTTTTTTTTAATCTGTACTAATTTTAACCGATTTATTCTAAAAAACGTAGAAAATACCCGATTGCTTGTACTAACAAACACCTAAAAAATTATCTTTAGAAATATAAAACATCTTTAAACACTACCAAAAAAAATGGCGGAAAAAAACAAATATTTCTAAATATTATATGAAACTGAAAAATATTCTAAGTAACTTTATTTTTATTGTACAATAAGGACATCAAGGAATGTATTTATATTTCCATATACTCGATTTTGAAAAAGAAAATTATGAAAATTGGAAAAATATGTAAGTTTTTAATGATGTAATTGAAATATTTGAAAGCGAAAAAAATCTATAGAAAACAAGCGAAATAATAGGTACTTACATTTTCAGGAGATTAAACAGGCCTTAAGGAACAGAATAAACTCAAATAGTGCACAGAAAAATCACTTTGTCTATCAAAAAATTTGAAAATTTGCAAGAACGACGTAACGACTACATCTCAACAACGGAAAATGTCGTACGTCAACGTTGTCAAATTGAACACACGTAAAACAGAATGGACATTTTTTATTGCATAAAAAATGCTGTGTCCAAATGAAAATATATAATTTATTCTACTGAAAGAAAGTTTGTATTACGTGTTTATCAGATATATCATGATTTTGTAACGGTTTAATTCATTTTAGTCTTACAAAAATATTGATTTAGATTAGTTTCAGGACTTTGCCAATATATTGGCAACCTTGGAAGCATTTTAGTTCAGAATTTTCTCACTTTTTCTCAATATGGCGCCACTTGTAATCTTCTTCTTTTTCGTATTTCAGGTCTTAAAAGAACGCAACCATAGAATCAAAGTGTTGTTCTTCTTCTTTCTTATATTTGTGGTTTGAAACATGGGCAACCACAGATTTGGCATAGAATTACTCTTCTTTTCTCTTAAATGGCTTGAACTTGTATAGGTCATCTGGCCAGTGTCCAGAAAAAATAATCAAAAGAAGCGATATTCAAATTGTTTACAAATTTATTTTAACAAATTTTCCTCTATTACGCATAGAATTGATTAAAAAAGTAACAGAAAATATCAAAAACCCGAATGTCTATTGGATACCTGACAAAATATGTGCCAGAAAACCTACAAACATGAGGAATTTAGAAAAAAATATTTTGTTACATTTTTTTTCTGAAAAACGGTAAGAGATCGCCAAGAAAGGGTTCAGATTCGTAATCTACGACCTCAAAATAGGGTGTATAAAGATTTTTGTGAAAATCGGACCACTTGTTTTCCAATAATTACCATTTAATAATATCGTGAGTCGATATGTTAGCAGGTAGTAAAGAGCCAAGTCCAAATAGTGAGGGCACCCTAAATAAAGTTAGATTTTGTTACTAGAAACATTATTTCCATTTTTAGACTGATAAAAAACACTAAGGAAGAAATTGTCTGAGATCTTTAAGACAGGAGCGTGGGCGTTCTGTTGCAGATAAAGAAAGATAATAAAACAAAAAAAGGGGCGCGCGTGGATGTAAATGTTACTAGTAGTGAATATTCAGAATGTCCTAGCGATTTATAAGTTAAAGTTAGACAAGCTTTGTCTAATGAAGAAATAAAAGTTGCTCAAAATATTGTTGGTAAAAAGGAACACCTGTCTAATCAGTTTTTAGATTTTTTAATTAAAGAAGAAATGAAATATCTAGAAATTCAAGAAAGAAATGAAATAAATTTGACTGTTAGATCCAGTATTTCAGGTAGAGCAGTAGCTGAAGCTACTAAAGCTTTTAAAGAGTTATAATATGATCTTTGGTTTGATAGGGAAAGAAATATAACGCAATATTTAAAGGTCGTGTAAGGTCTTAAGCTTTGGCATTAAAATTTCTGTAAGAGTACCAAATTCCTTAATTTTTTTATTCAAAGATGAGCTACTTGGAAGTAGAATGTAGATATTTACGTATATAATTAATATTAGCTAATTATGTATCATTCGTAAGTTAATTAAACTACTTCTTAAATGAATTCAAAGTGTTATTTATTTGCTATGCCCCTAGTCAATAAAGAATGATTTCTTAAAATCAATGTAATTTCCAGATTTTAAAGCAAAGAAAGTGTCTTCATCAGAAGCTACCTTTAATATTTGAGTATTGAGTATTTAGTCCAAGAAGGCGTAAGGCCATCGAGAGGCGTAAGGTAATCAAGATCTTTTTTTATGTAAATTGAACGCTCTACAACTCTTATTTAATCTTTTTTTCTCTAGTCCTTACCATTTCTTCGAAATTTCGAAAAAATAATTTTATTTATTTCACCCCTTCTTGGGGGTAAATTTAAAAAATCTTTCTCAATTCGTTTTTAGATCTTTCAAAGTACCTAACTTATTATATCAAAAATTAAAGTTTTTCCCAAAACCTCGTATTTAAAGGCCTATTTTCTTGATTATATTACTGGTTGCGTACCACGGGTACCACTATAAACCATTTAAATTTTTTTACGTATGATAGAAATTTTCTGCATATGAAAATATGAACAGTGAAAGAATTGGAAAAAATCTAGATTTAAAAAAAGTATCAACGTCAATCCAACAAACAATGAATGACAAAAGGTGAAATAGACGTCATGAAAATGACTTCGGAAGAAATTTTAAAATGCTTTAATAGAAAGAGGATATTTTTGAAAAGGTCTATTTCGGCGACAGGGATCGACATGCCCAACATTACCACCTTAAATTTAAGAGATACCAAATCAGTGACGTGTAACATGGAAACTCCGCAAATGAAACTTAACAAGGTATATTTACGTTTTTGTCAAAATACAGTAACAATAATTTTAATGCTTTTAAGTTTTTAAAACCAAATATTGTACTTTGTACTGAAGTTTTTCTATTTATTAAATTTTGTGCTGCAATAATAAAAATTATGCTACCTTATACAGAGTGTCTAAAAATTTATTTTAAATAATTACTAGCTTTAAACGGCAATAACTTCTTTAATTTAAATAGAACCCTGTATATTTTACGAGAATCAGATGCACAATTTAAGTGTATATCAAATTGTATTATACCATTTTTTACCTATCTCTTCAAGTTTTCGTAGAAAATGCATTTTCTTATAATTTAGACCTCTTTTATCAATATACCCATGGAATATTGACATTTTAGATTATTTTTAAAGATGTATCAAATTTTCAAAGAGTACAGATACTAATATTGTCGATATAGTCCGCTTATTTCATTAAAAAATAAAACAGTTTTAAATATTTGTTGAAGAGGACCAATTAGAATGATCCCAGTATTCAAACTACATTAATTGACTGTTTGCGTTGATTAATAATAATTGCTCCAAATACTAAAAAACTGAATTTTGTATGTGTATTAGACAGTGTGGTAAAAAGTAACACCTTATAAATTTTATTTCATTTTTTGACGAATGCTTATTTATAACAACAGAGACGTTCATTTTCATAACTTATTATTATATTAATTTCTGATTCAAATCCACATTTATTTAGAATAAAAAAAATACAAAAAAAAATGCAATGTGCTTGCAATATTATCGTTTCTACCATCTGTACATTTGTTAGTTTAAAAAAATCTAAAATGTCTGTATAAATTATAAGAAAATGCATTTTCTACTTAAACTTGAACAGATAGGTAAAAAATGGTATAATACAATTTGATAGACAATTAAATTGTGCATCTGATTCTCAGTTCTCAGTCTCAGTCTCAAAATATACAGTGTTTCGTTTAAATTAAACAAGTTATTGTTTTTTAAAGCTAGTAATTATATAAAATAAATTTTTAGACACTCTCTATAAGGTAAAATAGTATTATTTTTATTATTGCAACACAATATATGATCAATAAATAAACTTCAGTAAATATTTAGTATTAAGAACTTTGATACCCTTGGAGAAACGAAGCCTTAAAATTTTTACTGCAATTTTCACAAAATTGAAAATATTTCTAAAACGATACGGTTTAAGTGTGATAAACCTTAATCAAATTTATCTCTATTTCAATCGTAGAATCTAAAAATAAAATAATATACAGGGTGTTCCATTTAAAAAAATACAATTATAATTTTTTTGGTATAATGTGCTTACCATTCAAAAAGCTGTTTATTGATTTATTGTTACCTATTAAAGTCAAAGAAAGAGGAGGACGATTTTGATTTTCACGACGCTATCAAAACCAGAGACATATACAGCGGCGACACTATTCTAGTCAACAGGGAGGCCCTAATGTACCAAGGCAAGAAATACAACATAAACGACATAGCTTCGGCGTGGAAGAAGGATTGTAGGATGTGGCTGTGGAAGAACACCTGGGAATTTAAGATGCACAAATCCGTAGGAGAAAAAATACGATGAAGCCACTTATAGTGTGAAGAATTAGTCCGTCTATCTTTATTTTATTTTTATTTTTTGTATTATTGTCCAAAGAACAGAGAAAATGGAATAAAAATCTGTCTTCAATAAAAAATAATATAAAAAATTCCTTCGCCATTTTGTCAAGAAAGAATCTTAAAATGTTTTACTACTGAAATAATTATACCATATCCTCGAAAAAAAAACAGCGGCAAAGACGGCTGGTGAATGACAATCAATGATAATTTTGGGCGAGGTCAAACCCTAAATATAATTTACTTACCCAAGTAGCATTTTCACGACTTGCGACCACATGATTACTAAACACAACATTGGATTAGTTACAAAAAATAGTTAGCTCCGTACCTTGCGTATTAAAATAAATGTAAACGTTGTTGTAACGTTGTGCCGACGTTGAACTAGTACTACAAGAAAGTAAAAGATTCTGCGACGTCGAATAAACGTTGTCTTGTAACCTCTTTTATTTAAGTGATCTTTAGGTGATTCGGACAACATAGTTGTTGTTACAATGTTGGGCAATAAAGAGTTTTCCGACGTCACTTTCAGGACCTATTCCAACGTTATGCAAACGTCATCTGTTTTACTAATTCCAACGTTGTTTAGATTTCCTTATTCTTACGTTGGTAGGACGTCGAGCCATCACCTTTTTGCAACTGTATTGAACCATAACCTTAAATCTTAAGTTTTCACTTCACTGTTCTGTTCAGTCAGACAGTTCAGTGCTGTTTTTGTTTTTATAAAAAAACTTAATTAAAATGGGACGTAAGTAAGGCACATATAAAACTAAATTTAAATATACATCGACATATTACCGATACTTTATCCACTCCCTCGTTTATTTAGAATATAGAGGACGGCACAAACTAGACTCTAGGATGACTAAATTAGGCAATCTTGCGACCACAACTTGCGACTAGTATACTGCCTGTTAAGGCTGAACTGCGGCTTTATTAGTCCAGTATGCGACTACTCGAACTACTCCATCTTATCTCCAAAACAACAAAGTGAAAGCCGCCATGTTGTTGAATAAGAAAATGTTTCGTTCCTAAAATATCAATTCCTGCTTTTTGAATACATTAACTTGAAATGTTTGACCCTAAACAACACGCGGAAACGACTGCGAAATTTTCGACTGCGAATAAATTATTCACATTTTACTAAAAAAAAATTTCAAGAAATTTTTTAAAACTTCTTTAATTTTAAGGCCCATTAGTATTTTTCAAAGTAGAAACAATATATTTATCAATAAAGTTGTTTGCGTTTAACTTTTTTGCCTTGGGTAACGAGTTACAGAGTTGGTTAAAGTGTTTCAATAATTATGATCTTCAAACATCCTCCACACTTGAATACTTTTGTTTTGTTTTCCTTTACTACCATCTGGCATATGTCTCTAACTAAATCATAAAAATAATATTTTTACTATAATTATCCCAATTTAGGATAAAACGCGACAGTTTGTACTAAATTAGTCTGCTAGCCAACGTAGGTATCCAACGTCGTTTCGACCCAAAAACTATTCTCCAAACTAGTGCAGACTAGGGTTGGCACGAGGTTGTGCCGACGTTGCGCCCCGACGTTTGGTCGCGTGACACAACGTTGTCCCGACGTCCAAATGCTGCTTGGGTACTCTTATGGGGTCCGGCATATAGGCGTCGGGCACCTGTAGCTCCTAGAATAAAAAAAACTTTGGGAGTTTTATTAAAAATACAAGAACTATTCTAAAATCGAAACTACACTCACCGGCAAAAAAAAACTGGCCACTAAAAACTAGTCCCAATTTCAAAGTTGGATTGCTCGCGAGCCACTCATTACATTTTGATGATTTTTTTTAAACTGTAAATTAATTCCTTCTTAATGTTAACTTGGATATTTTAACAATTCTGAAAACAATATTTTCTAGTTGGTAAAACGTAAAAAATAGTTAGATCTGACAGCCTTGGCGAAACTGGTCGTTCATCTGGCCGCACCTATGTACGCAATTAGGGAATGCAATCCCGCACCAAAATCTCAATCCCACAAACCCGCGGGATTAAAGCAATCAATCCCGCGGATCCGCAAAATTGCGGGACTGTAAACAATAGTCAGACAACTTGGTCCTAAATGGTACAAAAGGTATTGTACATTTTGCATAGGCCCACAATATATTGATATAGCGTGTATCTTAAACTAGTTGTACAGAAATTTGGACCGATGTGTACAGAGTGTTCAAAAAATATATTTAATATTAAATAAACTTAAATTTTATTATAATTTATCTACTTATTTTATAAATAAAAATATTATTCTGATGTTGAAGTTTCTTTAACTTGTGTTAGTTATCTGCTTTTAGATACACTATATTACAATAATTTTTTGGCATATGCAGAATGTACAACAGTAATGTTGTATCATTTAGGACGATACGTATGACTAAAAATGCATATTTTTCGAAAAAATAATTTTCCTTAAAACAAAAAAAAAATCGATTTCTGATTCGATTTTTAAAGATTGTAAATTTGCGGTAAAAAAGATTCTTGACCAAATTTTCACACTCTTATAAAACACCCTGTATACGAGAATTCACTAAATATATTTTCGAAAACCACATAGCATCTTAATGATAATAGATGCATCTAAAACCTGGTCCAAACCGCATCCCAAAATCGTTTTTAGTTCAAGAGATATTCAACTTTAAATTTACCCTAAAATTTTGCTTGTCCCGCTAATTATGTCCCCGGCAGTTTATTTGACGAAATTCTCCACAAGTACTAGTTAACCGCTTTTCTTCACTTGCGCACATACGCCAGAAAGAGAAAGAAATATAACAACTAACCTGTTTGTTTCACTTATTTTTAATGGCCAAGCCGTAAGGGGAATACCCCGGGTTCCGAGCGTCGACGCATTGGCCCGGAACGGAGCGGTTTGATCTTGATAGAGATCGATTCGGTTACCCAGTAGTAATGTGTCGATCCCGCAGATCCCGCAACTGATCCCGCAGAATCTCAGAGGGATCCCGCATTTGCGGGATTGCATTCCCTATACGCAATATATCCGACGGCCAGGTCGTTGCGACCTGGCCGTCAGTGAGTTCGAACTCTTAATCTAAAAAGCACTTGGAACCTATAACGACTCTAGCCAAAAAAAAACACTAAGTTGCGACAATACAAATAAAATAGAACGGCCATAAGTCAATATAATAAATATTTACTAAACATAAACAACAAGAATTTTCTTATTTAAAAAAAAAATAATCATCAGCATTACTGGCAAGTCTCCAATAGTTCCAAAGGCTGATCACCCACAACCTCCAATGTCTCCCCGCATTCGAACCTCTTAAAATCAACAACCTCCACCTGGTTTTCCTCCAGGAAATCTTTGATTTTCACACCATCTTCCAGCAAATATTCCTGAAAAATTAAACAATCTTCTTCGTCTTTGTTTTCTGCCGGTTCGCCCTCAGGATTGCCTATTCTTTTGGGGGCCATGCCCACCACGTGCTGGCATAAACCTTTGGCAATCTCTTCCAAATTTTCTTGCGAATTGTTTTGAGATTTTATCGCCACTATTCCTCCTAATCTGCCTAGAAGAACGTTGTTTCTGGATTTACCAGATGGATGAGCATAACCTAAAATAATATTTATGTATAATACAAGGCGATTCATGAAGAAATGTCAATACTTCAGATATGTATTCAGGCCTCAATAAACATAAAAATCTATACTGGGTGCGTCTCAAAAATGGCAAAAAAATAAAAAAGTTATAGGGGTGAATAACTTTTTTATTTTTTCAGATAAAAAAAAACGAGATTTGGTAGGTTAATATGACATAAATAAGGATTGATTGACGTATGTAATTGTGTTTGGTCACTTCCTGTTTCACCGGAAATGACTACAACTTTTGATTTTTAAATAGCACCCACAGCATATTTTTACTTTATTCAATAGAAAATGATATTCTAAATAGAATGACATGTAATATGTCAACTTTTGACATTTTTGCTTGAAACACAAATCATATTTTAAATTTCAATCAAGAGTTCCATGGCTGTGTTAAAAACACTAATTTTTAGTCAAAGAGCCTTGAAAAAATAGTTTTGTTCGTCTAACGTATTTTGTGTCTTGTCCTGGCCAGTTAAAAGACGCCCAAATCGTATTTTTAATCATATCTCAATTTTTTCAAACGGAATAAAGGAGGCTCATTAGCATATTTGGAAAAAGCATTTTTTACGAATAATTTGATACCACACTCGCTATTTCGAGTCAAATTGTCGTTATGAACCGCATGTTACAATTTTAAATAAACCATATGCGAAAATGTCAAAAGTTGACATATCATTCTATTCAGAGTGACATTTTCTATCGAAAAAAGTAGAAATATACCGAGGGTGCTATTTAAAAATCAAAAGTTGTAGTAATTTCCGGTGCAACAGGAAGTGATCAAAAACAATTAAATATGTCAATCAATCCTAATTTATGTAATATACTAACATACCAAATCTCGTTTTTTTATTTAAAAAAAAAATAAAATAGTTAGGGGTGAGCCACTTTCGAGACGCACCCGGTATTTATTTCGTTCATAATTTTTTTTATTATTTCTAAGATGTCTTAACAGTCTAGTATTTAACATGAAAATGATGATCGCCAGTAAAAGCATAAACTAAAAAAAACACAAAACTGCCGAACTTTCCCACAAATCAGGAAAATCTGAAATAATAATTATTTAAATAATGATTTAAAATTATTAAACTTAATGGATCGATCATCAATATTTTGACAACTAGACAGCAGTCAACATAGAGGCTGTCTTGTCATATATAAATTAGAAATGTATTTCAATGTCTTTGCGCCGTCTGGCGATGTGGAAGAAACTAAATTTGTAGTTTCTAAAAATTACTAGAAAATTTGGAGCTTGTGTCATATGAATTCCTTGAAATGTTTCTTAAAAACCACGGAAAAATGCAAGAAGATAACAATGGTACTCTCTAAACAAATTGTCTATTAATAAACCTTGTTAATAAATAAAATAAATATTCCGTATTTTTAATTTCAGTATTCCACTAGTGGAATAAAGATATCATATCCCACTAGCGGAGAAAATATTACTTTTTTTTCATAGCTCAAAAATAGTAGATAAAATGGTACTTTAACCGCAAGGGTAGATTAAATGATACTTTAACAGCGAGGATAGGTTAAAAACTTTATTTCTTCTCACACGTTTTTTAATTGCTTCTATTTTTGAAAATTTTTGTATTCCTTTTCATAAGTTATTCGGGATTTAAATGGAAGTAGTTTGGATATGGCGTTTGTCGCCTCAGCCTGAATATCTGTTGGTAATTTAGTTATTTCGTTTTGAGCCATTTCTGGCTCCAATTCAATCAGCAATCGACACCAATCGACACCAAAGAGAATTAAAAAATATTGACTCAAAACTGACAACTAAAGAGACAGCTTTATTTATCAAATTACATTGTACTATGGTCAAATTACATAGAAACCAACGCCAATCCAGCACAATATTTATTCTACTCGTAATAAATTCCTTGCAATAATAATTTCTGAATATTTTTTAAAATTAACTCACTATGGAAAAAAATATTGTTTTATACATGACGATAAAATTGCATTATCGTCTTCCGAAATAAATTCACTCGCGATTTCATCGCTCGTGAATTAATTTTTTCGGTCGACGATAAAATACCATTTTATCGCCTTGTGTATAAAAAATAACTATAATCACTTCCTATGAGTGGATAAAACATGCATTATTGTATGAGTATGAAAAGTATCAATATTATTACCACACGATTCTAAAAAAATATAAGTTATTACCTTCCAAACTGACATCATTATTGACTTTTAAACATACTGCCCTCTTCAATGTGGCATTTTCACCTACTGAACCAATTACTAGAGCTAATTTATCAGCTAAAGTTTTATCATCTTTAGTTTTTAAAGCTCTAAATTGCTCACTATCCAATCCAATCTGTAAAGAGAATAAAATTTAAGAAAATATATATACAGTAACTAATTCAATAACAATTTTTTTACTTTATTTATGAAAATAAGTATACAGAGTTGTTCACCACATACGACACAGAGTATTGTAGCTAAACGATTAGATTTTTGCAAATTGTAAGTTTTGGGTTCGTTGAAGGATTATTAGAGCTACAATTTAAAAATATTTTTACAAGATACAGAGTGTCCCAAATAAATAAAAAATATCAAAGTTGTATTTTTTTAAATGGAACACCCTATATATTATTACATTTTTAGTTTCGACGATTAAAATAAAGGTAAATTTGATTAAGGTTTAATACACTTAAACCTTAAGGCGGGTTCTCACTTGTCAGTTTCGCTGACGCAGTCTGACTGATTCACTTTCAATGAAAAATAAAAATCAACGATTGTATTCACACGTTTCATGTTTTGCTACATTCAGTATTCAGTTGGTCCAAACATTTTAACGTGGTGATTTCATAGACATGAAAATGGTTGAAACAAAATTGAAACCAGGTGTTCGCGAAGTTTGTTTACAATTAGAAAATGAATTACAGAATATTCTGGTGAATAAGAAAAGAAGAAAACGTTTTTTTTAAAGCAGATACGTCTACAAGAAACGGTTTCTTGTAGACGCATCTGCTTTAAAAAAAACTAAAGTGTTCTCATAATAGTTTGAATTTAAATATTTTAAATAGTTTTTTTTCTTTATTCTTTGATTTTTTTTGCTTCCGACGATAGACTTTCCGAAACGTTAAGCATTTTTTTCTTTGTTAGGCAAATTTGTATAACTGTAGACATAACTTCTGACAAGCAGTGTCCGTTTAGGTTTAACGCCCAGAAGTGTTTACAAAAAATAACTTATTTTATTTTGTAGATTTTCTTGCAGTGCAGTTGCGAAATACCCATAAAGGATTTTTTTGGAGATATATATTAAAATAATTAATTAACTTTAACTTGTAAACTGAACAAATCACGAAAATGTAGTTCTCGCGCTTCAGTTTCTATTCATTATTCGATAATGATCAGTCAAAAATGAAAAAAAGTAGAACTGGTTTTCACTTTAACTGAAAGTACGAATTTACTGATCATTTAACATGAAAATGTGTTCTGACGTTCATTATTTGTTCAGTATCACTGAATCAGTCAGACTGCGTCAGCGAAAACGGTAAGATTTAAGTGTAATAAACCTTAATCAAAATTGCCTTTATTTTAATTGTAGAAACCAAAAATGTAATAATATACAGGGTGTCCCATTTAAAAAAATACAACTTTGATATTTTTTATTTATTTGGGACACTGCGTATTTTGTAAAATATTTTTAAATTGTAGCTCTAGTAGTCCTTCAACGAACCCAAAACTCCGTGTCGTATGTGGTGAACAACCCTGTAGAGTATAACATATATTTTTAGAAAGGTCATAACAAGGCAAATAAAATAAAATAATAATATACAGGAATCCCATTTAACAAAACAAGTTTGGGGTGTCAAAAAACTGCAACAATTCTCCTTGTATTTAAGAAACTAAGAAGGTTAGGACAAATTTGTGTGTATCATATTTAGTTTCATATAAAAGTAGCATATGATGTAAAAAACCGCATCTACCATAAGCGAGAAACCCTGTAAAACACATAAAACGGGACATCCTGTACAAGAGAGGTTAAGACTAAAAACATGCGACTTCAAGGGCAAACTATTTCTGACACAAACCCAGTTCAACAAATCGGTAGGCAACTGATGTTTAAAGCATTGCTTATCTGTCAACCATAACCAATGGTTGTTCGCTCAAAATTGGCTGTAGTTCAAAGGAGCCAGCACTTCCTGTCACTTCTGTATAACTACAGTAAATAACCCTATGGTAATACCGCTAAGCAAACAAAAACAGAGAGCCTGTCATTTAAAAAGCTACAACCCTAGTATAAGAATATTATCAGAATAATCCTGTATATCTACACAGTTATTTTTACCATTACCTCTTTTTTTGTAAAGAAAATGAGTAAAACTATCAAAGAAAAAGCCTGATGTAAAGCTTTTCAGGGATACTCTGTATAACTAATTATTCAACATACCTTTGTAACAGCATTCGGCGACTTAGGACTGCTCTTTGCATATTTCATACAAGCCTCTGTTGCCTCCCTTACCATATCCTCAAATTCCTGATTCCTAGCTACAAAATCTGTCTCACAGTTAACCTCAACCAAAACACCATCATTATTATCGACATACACCCCAATCAAACCCTGTGAAGTCTGTCTACCTCCTAATTTTGTAGCTTTTGACCATCCCAAAGTTTGTGCTTGTTCTTTTAACCATGATTCAGCCTGTAATATTGACCAAACTTATTTGCTTTTGGTGACTAGAATTAGTGTCTTACTTTGTTGAGATCGTTGTGGTGCATTTCTAGTGCTTTCTTGCAATTGGCAAAGGTATATCCTGTTTTCTTACGTAGAGAAGCTAAAGCTGACTTCTCTACGGCCGTACAAGATGCAGAGGAATGAAAATACCTTGTCAGGTTACGTAGGACAATCTAAAATGGGGTTTAAATAATTAAAAAGGTTTTTCGAGTAATTTGTGACATTAGTAAGTCAATTTATAGTTGAATTTAATCAATGATCCATGGTTGTTATGGAAAACAAAAGTATTGAAAGATTTAACGTGTTTCAATAGGATATTTCGTGATAATATTGTAAGTTATATAAGTTGAAAAGTCCTGAATTTCCATGATAAGTTAGGGTGAGTTCGTTTTTAATTTACTTACCATTTTAAAACTTATATTTTTCACTGCACACTTAAAATAAACCGGATTTTCAGCGATTTTCCTATACCTAACCTAAAAATTCTTGACGTCGAATGTCAAAATGTCAAGTTTATTAGGGATGGAGTAGGAAATTTTAAAGTAGTGATGTAGTATAAATTTCTGTTCCAGGAAAAATAAAAATATATAATAAAAAATGTCTGGAAAAGAGGTGGAGAGGGATCGGCTATTAAAAAGGATAGCAGAAAAACGGGCAAAACTAGAAGCTAGGAGTGATTTGAATATAAAGATACCTAGATTGCAGCTGCCTTCTGATTTCAACTTCCAGGATAGGTCCGTATTTTCGTTACCTCCAGAAATATTGAAACCGATTTTGGCTTCTGCCCATCCAAAGTATCGTAAGAAAATTGCAGCTGAAAAGAAAAGAGGTAGGTATATTAATTTAAATTTATTTATTATTTTTATTTTTTTCATGGGTATAGACATTTTTTATGCAGAGCTCCTAACTTAAGATATACGAAAATGGGACACCCAGTACAGGCTGTCCCATTTTCTTCTGTTTCACAGGGTGATTCGTTTATGAGTAGAGGTAAAAAGTTGCGGTTCACATCTAAGGTTCACATCACCTGAATGTGCTATTTTTTATGAAATTATACCGGGTGCGTTTAAAAGTGGCTCACCGCTATAACTTTTTTATTTTTCCAGTTAAAAAAAAAACAGATTTGGTATGTTAGGATATTATGACATAAATTAGGATTGATTGACGGTATTCAATTGTTTTTGGTTACTTCCTGTTTCATCGGAAATGAATACAACTTTTGATATTTAAATGGCACCCTCGGTATTTTTTTACTTTCTTCGATAGAAAATAACACTCTGAATAGAATGACATATCGTATGTCAACTTTTAATATTTTCGCGTATGTTTTTTTGAAATTATAACTTGCGGTTTGTAATGAAAATTTTACTCAAAATACGAAGTGTGTGGTATCAAATTATTCGTAAAAAAATGTTTTTTTTCTAAATGTGCTAATGAGGCACCTTCGTTGCATTTGAATAAATTGAGATATATGATTAAAAATACGAATTGAGCATTTTCTAACTGGCTAGGGTAAGACCTTAGAGCATAAGACACTAAAAACATTAGACGATCAAATATATTTTTTCTAGGCTCCTTGATTAAGAATTAGTGTTTTTAACAAAGCCATGGTACTCTAGATTGAATTTTAAAATACGATTTTTTATTAAGCCAAAATGTCCAAAGTTCCACATATGATATGTCATTCTATTAAGAATGTCATTTTCTATCGAATAAAGAAAAAAATACCGAGAGTGTCATTTAAAAATCAAAAGTTGTGGTCATTTCCTGTGAAACAGGAACTGACCAAAAACAATTGAATACGTCAATCAATCCTAATTTACAGTGCGTCTGTCCGTTCTGTAGCTACGGGGTATCCGTGAGAGGGGAAACGATATTCTCTCCATGTTTTTCGTAAAAAATTAGACGACGCGTCCCATCAATAAAAATTCGACAAATTTGCAAGTAGCCAATAAAATGTGTGGGCGGAGCGATTTGCGGTGACGTACTCGTCAAGTCGACGTATAAAATATATTGTTGTTTATTTAAATGTTTTTTGTCCGCATTCCTTTCATAGACACAGATCCAGCAGGCGAACTGTATATCATATACTAACATACCAAAAGTTATAGGGGTAAGCCACTTTTGTGACGCACCCGGTATATGCTACTCACAGAGATTTGAACTAGTCCTGTCTTAGTTCCTAACCAAATACAAGGCGAAATTTGATGTATTTTTGACTCCCCTCGTATCTCGGTTATCTTATAATTTAACAAAAAATTGAAAACTGTGTCTCGTAGAGAACTGTAATAATCAAACTGAAGTTTGTAGCATATAAATTATTCATACAAATTAGAAAATCTAAATAAACCCGCGTTAACAAACCAGTGGCTGTCTAGCAATCGTGTGGGTCAGTTAAAAATCTTGCGTAGGTCAGTGTCTGACCTACACTAGTCTGTCTTACGGTTACACTGTCTCCTGAAATCCTATTTTAATGACCACCCTCTAATTTGGGACACCCTATACACTAATAATATGTATACAAATACACTAACATAAGTTCAATCGTAGCTACCGAAGAAAGAAATAAATTAAAATCCTACACTGCTCTACGTAAGCAACGCGAGGAATTTAGGCAGAAACTGGTCAGTCTGATAACGAACCCGCAAGATGAAATGGACGTTGATGACATCCCTTCCGCTCAGGAAAAGGAAATGCTCCGATACTACTACTATGTAAAACATGGCGTTGATACTGTACACCTGGCACCACTGGACGAACAAGTTTTGAACCGAGTAAGTAATGAGCATATGCAAAAAAAAACTTCCTTAGCTGTCTTGCAAGACTGTTTTTAGGCCCGTATTTATAGTCGAGTCTCAAACGCGACTCCAGTTAAGAGATGCAAAAGACCGACAAAAATAACAGGTTTACAACAGGCTCACGTTTCGTCACCCGTGTCAACGTGTGCTTACGTACACGCGCCTAGTAGGCCTGTTATTTTTGTCGATCTTTTCGGAGACACAGTTCGAGACGCGACTATGAATACGGGCCTTAGTACTGCAAGACTCTTCTTACTTTCTCAGCTCCTAGAATAAAAAAAACTTTTGTTTAAGTGCAAGCCTAAAGAATATGCTAGGATGTATTTTAGGGTCTTCTACAGGATGGCTTAAAAAAGTGTGAATGGATCGGGATGATTTTTTTTAATTAATGGAACACCCTGTATATTATTGAATTTTTGCTTCCTTTCTGACCATTTTACTTAATCCAAAGATATGAGTAAATATATTTCAGTAGTTTCAGAGATATTAATAAATAAATAAAAATATACAGGGTGGTCCGAACTGTATTCCGGAAACTTCGGCAGCGTATTCTGCAGATAAAAATAAGTAAAAAAGTTCGTATAAATGTATGTCCTAAAATGCTAAGTTTAGGAGATACAGAGGGTGTAGAAGTTTAATTTTTATTTCGATTTTTTCCAAATAATTTCTGAAGTAACGTCAATATTTGCATGAAAATTGGCGTCTGGAAGTTTTTTGACATGAGAAATTTGATTTTAATGTCAATTTGACTTCTACTTGTAGCGGGCGCCACCTACATATTTTTTAACTGGTTTGAAGAAGAGTAATAACTTTTCGTCTGTACCTGTATAAAACTACTGAGTAAAAAAACATACATTTACACGCATTATTACGTTTTTTACGTAAAAAAGGTCCCTTGGAATCGAAAAATCAATACTTGTAATTATTGACATAAATTAAACGTTGATTAAATACCGTATGATCGAAAAAAAACGGCGTCCAGTTGGCTGGGAAATGTCATAGATCGTCATCGATATAAATTTACATATAAAATGACAGCGATGTTCATTTCATAGCCATCGCTGACGCCGCTTTTTTTCGATCATACGGTAGTTATTAGACTGAAATCATAAATTTGAAATATTTTTGAGCCAAAAGTTGAAGAGTGTTTTATATCATATTTTCGAAGAGAAAATTATGATTAATTTAAAAAAATAAAAAGTTCCCAAATTTATCGTTTCAGTCAAATAGCTATTTATATCTAGTTTATTTTTTGTCAATAATAACATGTATTGACTATTTCCATTCTAAATATCTTGAGAACGGTTACTCGTAGCGATTTTTACCAAGAAAGATTTTTTATTTAAAAAATCAAGGAAATGTACATTTTTTCACTCAGTAGTTTTATACAGGTACGGAAAAGTTATTAATCTTCAAAACAGTTAAAACACTTGACGGTGGCGCCGCCTACAAATAGAGATAGATAGAGTCATATTGACATCAAAATCAATTTTCTCATGCCAAAAAAAACTCCTAGGCACCAATTTTCATCCAAATATTGACGTTACTTCAGAAATTATTTTGGAAAAAATCGAAATAAAAATGAAACTGCTACACCCTGTATCTCCGAAACTATGCATTTTAGGACACACATTTATACGAACTTTTTTACTTATTTTTATCTGCAAAATGTTTCCGGAATACAGTCCGGACCACCCTAATATTTAGTAATTAAGAAGCCAATAATTGTGAACAAGAAACGACGCCTCAGTGAAGTCATCATAAAACAAGTCAATGATAAAAAAACGCTGCTGAGACTATCACAATGTTGATCTAATAACACTTTAACCTTTAAATTATTACTTCAAAAGCAACTTTTTCCAAAGTTTACCATGATCTGACAACTTTAAGTACTGAAAAACTACGTTGCCAGACTTTGCATTTTTATACATTTTTTATTTTCGATTGGATACATTTCATAGGAGCTTTTTTTTAAAATAAGAGAGGTATAGTGTTTTAAAACGCGTTTATTTCTTCAGGTACTGTCATTGGTACCACGCAGACTGATGGTCTGGGAAGAGACACTCTCCAAAACCGTGGAAGACGTCAAGGAGGACTTCATGATGGCCAACAAGAAGGCCATCATCGATTTCGTCCTGCAAGATCCAACGTTCATCACTACGATCAAGGACGAAGACATCCCGTTCAGCAAGGAGAAGAAACAGATAGGAAACAGTTTCAGACCCGCTTTCGATTTTGCCAAGGCCAAAATGGAACGGAATTTGCACGTGATCAATCCTTGTTTGGCCGTGTTGTTGGATCTTTGGTACACTAGATTCAGGTAGGAATATCGTATGACTAGCTGATAACCTATTCTCTTAGAATTTTTAAATTGATTTATCCATAATCATATAATATTGGGTCGTTTATTCCATTACTCCGTATTCATATCAAATAAACTTTTAGTCACGTGATTAAGCTTGACCGGCACAGCGTTGCCCACTTTTATATATATTTTTTTAATCAAAATATTTTAGGAAACAAAAATAAATTAATTATAAATATATAAACAGTTATTATTTACATCAACAACTCACCTCCTTAACTGTACTTAAGGGATATAAAGGGCCATTACTACCGCTTTCCCGTTCAAAATATTATGATAAAGTTGCGATGAGTTTTTTACGGCTATTAAGCTATCTCATACATTTCGCACTAAAAGAGGTTCTAAAAAGAACAATCTTCAACTGCAAGGTCTGCTAGTAAAAATGTTTAAGCTTAAAGTATACAACACAATTTATTTAAACCAAAAACTCGTAATACAAAACTAAAGTGTCAAAACGAATGACAATGTCAGGAAATGTCCATGGTTGGCAACAATGAATTTAAAAATCGCGTCCTCGATTACGTAACTAAAAGTTCAATTGGTATCGAATTTTTTTATTGGGATTTAAATATCTTTTCCAAGTAGTGGAATACTGAAATTAAAAATATTTTTTTTATTTATTAATATGAAAAATAAATCAATAGACAATTAATTTTGCTGCAGGAATACCATCACCATCTTCTTGCATTTTTTCTTGTTTCTTAAAAAAACTTTTGCAAATCCTCATAACACAATCTCCTAATTTTACTCTCTGATTGTACTCATAGATAAATGAAACAAGTTTAGATTGGAAAGTGCCCATGCCCTTGAGGACAATGTAAACACTATTTGGCGCTATTCTTGCAACGGTCGCGACCCAAAGCTTTTGAAAATTTCGGAGCGGTTCGGCTTTGTCCGCAATTATATCGCCAAATATTATTTATTCAAATTTATTATTATTTTCTTTTAATTTTATAAATAAAGTACAGTGTGTTGCATACAAGAACCTTTATTTTATATAAGGACATGTATGTATGAAATACCTGGAAACATTGGAAACCGACGTTATGCCACGATCCACGATGGTTTTTGCAGTTCACAGTTCACAGCACAGCTTTTTAAGATTTTAATGCCACTTTTTCACAATTATCACGGGTTTGAGTAAATAAAACTTAAATTAAACTCACAAGATAGCAATAATTACTTTGAAAATGGACGCTTTAAACACTTTTCGGAATTTTTTCAATGAGAGCGGTTTAGATTTTGAAAGATTTTATAATTTTTGAAGATTCTGACTTTGACAAGAGATATGGACAAGAGAAAATTATTTATGAATTATTTCTGCTTTTTTTGCGGTTGTTCTTAGCAACCGCTATAGCAACGCCAGATCGCGTACAACGGTCGCAACCTTTGAATAAGACTAAGGAGCATAATGCTATCCATGTAATCATGCATGGTGGGCGGAAAAAACACCATAAAAGCACTCTAGAGTGGGGATCCTTGACAGTTCTGTTTGACGATTCATTTGACACATTTGAATTTGATTTGAAATTTTGTGGATTTGTCAGTCTTTACGGAGCTTATTTTATGTTATTTATCATTTATTCGACTATTGATAGTTGTATAAAGGTAGTAAATCTAGATGGAAATTGTGGCAGAACTTAAATTAACAGTGACACTATCGCGATTTATCGAAAAAGATTCTAAAATAGTTGGTTGTGTAGCGTGCGGTAGATCTCGGCAAGAATTGAGTGTGAGAACTCTTCGCTAGTAAGTGACTATATAATATACATACGTGTAGTAAACCGATCATTTATGAAATTCACTTAAATTAACTAAATTATATATTTTTCTTGCATTTTAGCTTTTATTTATTACTTGTCAAAGATTAGATGTCAAAGAATTTAGATACGTTAATTTGACTTACCTGCTTCAGTAGCGTATCGGATGTTTGTGTTAATAAATACTTATTATAACTTATCTATTTTTATTAGAATTATATATTTTTATAACAATTTTAATAACTACCAACATTTATTCGCTACGTAAAATAAAACAACAAATTATTGAGTCTACCCCACGTCTACCCTACATCATAGTTTTACATTTTTTAAATAAAATTAGAACGACACTGATAAACCGGAATTTAAGTCGGCCATATTTGAGGCCCATCGCGGTGTACCTAAGATTTTTGATATGCTACTTCCTAAGTCTTCCTATTCAAGGTCGCAACCCAAAATTTTGACGGGCATTCCAATCTAAATTTATTTCCTTTATCTATGATTTTACTTTTATCAATCATTATTATGATTTTACTTATGTCAATCGTTACTGAATTACCATAACAACAAACGCAAAGAACAAACACTATAAGTCATTTTTTTTTAAATAATACTTGCAGCTAATTATTTTACCTTTCAATTTTTTATAATTTTAACTAAATATACAGGGTGATTCTGCAGATAAAATAAGTAAAAAAGTTCCTATAAATTTTTGTCCTAAAATAATTCGTTTTGAAGATACAGGGTGTAGAAGTTTCATTTTTATTTTTTTTTCAAATTATTAGTCGATATTTGGTTGAAAAAATGGTGGCTGGGTGTTTTTATGACTCCTACTTCTAAGAGGTTACAGGTTGTTTTGTTACCTACAGGTTGTTTAGCGTTTTGAAGGGTAATAACTTTTTGTTCGTACCTGTATAAAACTACTGAGGGAAAAATATACATTTCCGCTATTTTTTTACGTAAAAAAGCTCCCTTGGTAAAAATCGCTAAGAGCAACCGTTCTCAACCTATTTGGATTTTTTTTTCACTCAATAATATTATACATGTACACACAAAAAAATTGTTATTACTCTCCAAACCAGTTAAAAATATGTAGGTTCGTCCTCTACAAGTATGAGTCATATTGACATCAAAATAACACTTCTCATGTCAGAAATTATTTGGAAAAAAAAGAAATAAAAATGAAACTTCTACACCCTGTAACTCCCAAACGAAGCATTTTAAGACATGAATTCATACGAACTTTTTTACTTATTTTTATCTGCAGAATATGTTGGCTGAAATTTACCGATTACAATTCAGACCACCCTGTATAATCTCCTAAATTATTATAGAAAACTCCGGTTGGTGAACATCGAAGATCTGAAAAACCACGAAGGCGCGTTCGATCTGCAAGACTTCAAGTACACTGTCCAAAAAAGTATAGATCACTGCAGGGAGGTCCTGATCGACCAGTACTACTACGCAGTGTCCGACGTGTTTTTGCAAGGCTCCAAGAAGAACAAGCTGCCCAATCCTAGCAAACCCAAACGCATGAAGTCGTTCTATGATGCCGTGGCAACGATCATGACCAATCATTTGCAGACTTTGTGTCTAAAGTCACTCTATGATTTCATTGAGTACATAATGGACATAAAAGTAAGTCTTCACGGATAAATAGTATATTACACACCAAGGTGGAAAGTGTTTCATCACTGTCGAGAGATTTGATAGACTAACGAGGCGCGAAGCGCCGAGGTATACTAAATCTCAAGACAGATATGAAACTTTACACCGAGGTTTGTATACTATTTTATTTACAACCATCAACATTCTGCAAAATATTTTTTTTCATTTACAAAAGTTTTAAGAAAAAAATGCATAGTAGGTTTTTGAAACATTTAGGAGGATACATAAATAAGTCAAAATGTCACGAGTTGTCAAAATAGGAAATTACATTTAATTACAACCATATAAGTAATGTTGACATTTCCGACTTTTTAAAGGTTGGAAAATATCAGTTTTGTAAATTTTACTTCCCACCCACGCCACGGGTGGAAAGTTTACTTCCCTCCCGTGGGCGGGAAGTAAATACAGATTTTTAAACTAGGACGAAAACATTTTTTTAAAGATTTTAATTTGATAAAATGCTGCTTTAATTGCAACTTTTTTATAGAAATCTCTTTTAAGCAAACTACAATCGGTGCTACAATGTTCTATTAGGTACATTTTGTATTAAAAGTATTAAAATAAAAAGTTTAAAACAACAAATAACTATCTATTCAAATTAATTGTTACATTAATTAATGAATTATTATATGCTTTGACACTTATGGATATAAATGTTTGGGAGTGATTCATCGCTTGATGAAGTTAGAATCGACACGCGCGCTATCATTTTTACATTAAAAACATAAATTTTTACCGCAGACGTAGGTTTTTAAAGGCCCGGTTTAATCATCTGCCTGCGCTAATCCTACTTATTCTCAAATGTTAGCGTGATTGACAAAGACGATACTATATCGCGTTTCTTTGATTGATTCGTTTTTGTGCGTCAGTCCATTGGTGTGCTTGGTGTCGACCAATGGGGCATTCCAGTTTATATTTATAACCAAATATATGTTTTGACAAGACTTTGACAGTTAAAACAACCAATTACAACATATTATATATTGATTATTACTTTGAATAAGAAGACTAAGGAAGGAGCATATCAAAAATCCTAGGTACACCGCGATGGGCCTCAAATATGGCCGACTTAAATTCCGGTTTATCAGTGCCGTTCTAATTTTATTTAAAAAATGTAAAACTATGATGTAGGGTAGACGTAGGGTAGACTCAATAATTTGTTATTTTATTTTACGTTGTGAATAAATGTTGGTAGTTATTAAAATTGTTATAAAAATATATAATTCTAATAAAAATAGATAAGTTATAATAATTATTTATCACAAACATCCGATACGCTACTGAAGCAGGTAAGTCAAATTAACGTATCAAAATTCTTTGACATATGATCTTTGACAAGTAGTAAATAAAAGCTAAAATGCAAGAAAAATATATAATTTAGTTAATTTAAGTGAATTTCATAAATGATCGGTTTACTACACGTATGTATATTATATAGTCACTTACTAGCGAAAAGTTGTTCCATTATTTCACTCAATTTTTGCCGAGATCTACCGCACGCTACACAACCAACTATTTTAGACTCTTTTTCGATAAATCGCGATAGTGTCACTGTTAATTTAAGTTCTGCCACAATTTCCATCTAGATTTACTACCTTTATACAACTATCAATAGTAGAACAAATAATAAATAACATAAAATAAGCTCCGTAAAGACTGTCAAATCCACAAAATTTCAAATCAAATTCAAATGTGTCAAATGAATCGTCAAACAGAACTGTCAAAGACCCCCACCCTAGAGTGCTTTTTCTGCCCACCGTGCATGAATACATGGATAGCATTATGCTCCTTCCTTAGTCTTCTTATTCAAAGGATTATTATATGACTTGAAACACCACGGCACTGGAATTAAGTTTTATGTGACCTTGAATCACTCCCAAACATTCGTGGCGCTTACTATACCACCTTGTTGGTGTGTTTTGGTAGTTGATATTGCAATTTCTTCATTTTTTCCTGTCGCATTTTGATTGCTATTTAAATTATCCAGGATATTGTTAGGACTGAAGCTAGTCCGAGAAGTACATGGCATGGACAGCATATCAGCTGTTTTAAATTGACTGTCTAAAGACGAATCCACGTACCCTTCGGCCTAGACTTCCACCCGCCTAAACGTTTAAGTTGTAGAACATCTCCTCCACTGTTGGTAAGCAATGTCGCAGCCGTTCGTCTAAACGAATGTCTGGTAAATCTCTCTGATTGTGGGAGTTTTAAAAAGGTCGCAATTTTCTTTGGGAACTGGGAAATTGAGTTGTGAGCTAACGGTTGGTTTGTTGCTTTTCCAAAGCGGCACTGAATAAAAAATCTGTCGTTTTTAATATTGTCCCGTAACTGAAGATAATTTTTGAGAACTTTGACCCAACTGGTATCAGTTATTAAAAAAGATTTACTGATTTAGGTCTTTGTCTGTGGAATTTCAATTGACACTTTTTCTTCTCTTACGTTCACGTGTTTTATTTCCATTTTCAACAATTCATCGCTTCAGCAAGCCCCAGATACACCGATTACCAGAGACGGCGCCGCCTAAAACAACAGGAGTGTTATTAGATACGATTCTAAAATGGGCATACCAAAAAGAGTCAAAAGGGTAAATTTAAATTTTTACCTTGATAGTAAGAAAGTCCTGCGGAGCTTTTTGAAGAAAATCGTCTATATATGTCCTTGAAAAAATGTAAGACTTCGTTGGTTGGTACCCCTTATTCTGCCTCTTTGCAAATGGAAGTAACTTTCCGAAATTTGAAATGTTAACGCGCTCCCTCAGCGCTAACATGGTTTTTATCATGCTGTACATTGACCACATTTAAAACTAACTTGTTTGGCAGACCAGCTCTGGTCCGCCACAAAATTATAGACATTATTTTTTTTAGTATTCAAATAAGGGGTTTCAAATCAAGTTGGTTCAACGTGCAAATATTCTCTGTTTTGAACCGCCATTCAAAAACTTCAAAGACGTTCTCATCAACAAAATTGATGGCATAGTGGAAGCGGTTATGGATATTCCTCGCCTGGAAACGAAACTGTATCTGGATTGGGCCGAACAAGATCAATTCTTGAAGGTAAATATCAGAAAAACAATTATAGTCTGTCCAACGACAAGATCCTTGACAGTGATAGATGTGTCTGTCATTTTATTTTCAAAATAGGTTGTCATTTTATTTTCAAAGTAGTTTATTTTATTTTACGAAGAAATAAGTTGGTACAATTGGAACGTATAGCAGAAAATTAATATATTTAAAATTTGAGTGACAAGTGATTACTTCAAAATATTGTGAAAAACAAACTGTATAAAATTGAAAAAAATCTAATCGAGTTATTTTATTAAAAACAATTACAGTATGTGTTAATTAATACAAAACAAGCAAGGATGTATTTTAAAAACACCAAATATCAAAAAAAGATAAAAGAGATTTCCTGCTTTCAAGCCGTACGTGTTTCAAGCTCAAGCAACTTCCTGCATTTATTGTTACATTTATCAATATAATTATTCAATATGATTATTATTTACCTATCGTGTGCTGCTATTTTAGAGATACTCCAGTTTTTGGTATCATATACAAGATAGTATACAAACTTTATTTGTGGCTAATACAACTCTTTGGCCATAATCTCTGGCAAACTGTCTCTGGGCACCGAATATTAACTGTGAACTATGGTGTGGGTAAACACTTAATTTCCCCTTTAAGTTTTGCTCCACTTAATTTTAAAAAACACGAAACACACGTAATAACACAGTTCAAAAGGCAAAATGCAAAATATTTATCATTTCTATTTGACATAATTTGACACAAAATTATAACCTATAATTTGGAAAGAGTTTGACAACTCTCAAAAATCTTTTAAATACTGACCCAAAATCTAAAATTATAAAATACGATAACATAACATTTCAGAAACACAATTATAATAAAAATACGATATACGGTCGCTATTTTAGAAAGAGTTTGTTCCTTTATGCTAAACATACTATTATAAAACAATCAACTATTGATTTCTAACCACAATTTCTCTTGACGGTTAGGTTAGGTTTGGTTAGGCGGATAAACTAAGCACGTTTGTATAGAGGTAACTTCTGTCCAATGAATGTCCATTCCTTCATTTGAGGATAGTTACTTATAGTCTAAGAGCTAGCAACGTTTTCGAGAAAGTATTTTAAGACGTCTTGCTCTTTGATATATCGTTTACTATGCTCTCTGGAACAGCATGCGGCCCGTCTGGCTGCCGATACCCGTTGCGTTCACTACTGCGCATTGGAAGAAGATCCTATATTTTTTTAATTTAGTCCTATAAATTCTAGCATTGAATATAAATCGAACATGTCCCCATAGCGCAGTGCGTAGGGTTTCCGACTACGAACCGATGATTCAGAGTTCGAATTCGGGTCAGGGCAAAGACGTTTTTATTTTATTTTCGTGTATAATCTGATAGTAAAGCCATTAAATAATTCTGGTGATTAAAAAAAAACAAATATTTAATACTTTGCTATCAAACTATAAACGAAAATAAAATAAAAACGTCTTCGCCTTGACCCGGATTCGAACTCTGAATCATCGGTTCGTAGTCGGAAACCCTACGCACTGCGCTATGGAGACACGTTCGATTTATATTCAATACTAGAATTTAACGGACTAAATAAAAAAAATATATAGGATCTTCTTCCGATGCGCAGGAGTGAACGCAACGGGTATCGGCAGCCAGATGGGCCGCATGCTGTTAAAGAGAGCATTAGAATTTTAGAATTTTTTAGAATTTAGAATGAGTGGGAGGGGGGTTAATCACTTCGACCTTACAGATCCATTGTGTCCCCCTTTCTTGAATCATAACTCATCATACAGTCCCAGGGCTTTGACAAAAGCCAGTATCTGGGACGGTTTTATAGAGGGTAGTTCTCCATCTCCAATATCATCGTACCAAAATTCATGGCACGAATGGTTGTCATCTCGGCGCACTCAGTGATGAGGTGTACTGGTGTTTCCCCATCTTCCCCACAGAATCTGCATTCGCCGTTTCTTCTTAGTTTCAATCTACTGAGGTGTTCGTTGAGGAGACAGTGTCCTGTTAAAAACCCCGTGACAATCCGAAGATTGTTCTTACTCAGACCCAGGAAGATCTGTGATTTTTCTTCATCATAAGCCCTCAGAAACTTCTTCGAGTGTCTTAGACCATTGGAAAATTTCCATTCCAGGTTGCGGATGGAATCTTCCAAGTTCTTGAGTTCCGCCTTGAGTTGGTTACCACTTGGAAAGCAGAACGGTTCTGGTTCAGTTAGTGGAGTGTTCGCTGCTTTCCTAGCTAGATTATTTGCTTTTTCATTGCCTTCTATCCCTTGGTGAGCAGGCACCCAGTGTAGGAGGACTTTGTTTTCTTTGCCTAATTTATTCAGCTTCTCTATGCATTCTTTGACCAATTTCGAATTGATTGATACTGAGTTGATCGCCTTTAACGCTGCTTGACTATCAGACAAGATGGCTATTTCTTGTTTCCGATAGTTCCTATCTAAGATAAGTTGTACGCATCTCTCGATAGCGTAGATTTCTGCCTGTTGGATACTAGGGTAAGTGCCCATTGGTTCGGAGTAATTAGCTCTCGGCCCAAACACTCCGATCCCTGTTCCCGTATTGGTTTTGGAAGCATCAGAATACCAAGTTATGGTATGGTCTTTTAACTGCTGGGCAAGCGTTTCGCTCTTCCAATCCTTCTTATTGCTCAATACTACATTGACATGTTTGTCAAAGTTGTACGTTCTTGGCATATCGTCCACTGGGAGTTGCAGGAGTGGTATTTCCTTTTGAGGGTGTTCCAAGCCCCTGATCTGACAATTCTCCCAGTACTAATTCCGTTAGTGACCATTCTAATCATTGTCGCATTGGCATATCTACCAATGACAATGTGCAGTGGTGTTAGATCTAGAATGACCTCCATTGCTGCTGTTGGACAGGTTCTCATGGCTCCTGTGATGCAAACACATGCTAGTCTCTGGACTTTGCATAGGTTTAGCCTTGCCGTCCGTTGCTCTAGTTTTGTGTACCAGGCAACTGCTCCATAAGTAATCATGGGTCTTACTATCATGGTATACATCCAGCGCAAAATGTTAGGGGAGCAGCCCCATCTATTTCCGGCCAGTCTTCTGCATATCATGAGAGCCTTTATGGCTTTGCTGGTAGTGTTCTTAATATGCCTGTTCTACAGGAGTTTACTGTCCTAAAGAGAGCATAGTAAAAGATATATCAAAGAGCCAGCTTTCTTAAAATACTTTCTCGAAAACGTTGCTAGCTCTTAGACTATTAATTATTGTTATAGCCAACAATTCCGGAAGAAACAATCCTAAACTACAAATACCGAATCAAAGATTTGCTGGAAAACCAACGTATCGGCCCCGAACTGAGAGTTCAAGATTTTGACGAGTACATGCCCCTGATCAACGGCGAAGCTGACGAGGAGATCAACCAGTTCCTAGCCGGCGATCACAAGCTCGAAGACTACGCCAGACAGATACTCAAGTACAAGGAGATCATGGATAAAGTACCGCTCAGTACTTCGCACGTGATTACAATGGAGATGTATGAGATGAACAGGCACGACTTGATCAAAACTCTGGAGATGCAGGCGGACTTGTTCAGGGAGAGTCTGATACAGAGATGTGTCAAGACGTACCAGTACATGTGCAAAGCGTAAGACTACAATAACTTTTTAACATAGACGGCCGGTTTAAATTAGCCAATCAAAACAAAGAGGCTGTAATAAATATCGAATAATAATTATTTCGATAATTCTCTATCCTTTTATTATACAGGGTAGTCCGAACTGTATTCTGGAAAGTTCTGTTTGTATATTTTTTCACTCAGTACTTTTATAAAGGTACGGATGAAAAGTTATTATCCTTCAAACCGGTTAAAAAATATGTAGGTGGCGCTATCTACAAGTAGGAGTCATATTGACATCAAAATCAAATTTCTCATGTCAAAAAACTTCCAGATACCAATTTTCATCCAAATATTGATGTTACTTCAGAAATTATTTAGAAAAATCGAAATAAAAATGACTACAAAACTTCTACTATCCCCTATGTTATAGGGCATGTTTCTCTCTACAATTTCCTGTCTCACAATGTACCGTTTGTGTCGGGGAAGGGATCATAGTTTCATAGTTGTCGATTTTCGAAAGAAATTAGTACATGTATATTATTTCGTATATTTTTCATTTTATTGATTTTATGGAAAGCACTGTTCATTAAAATGTTGTATCCTATGTTATAGGGCTTGTTTCTCTCTACAATTTCCTGTTTCACAATGTACTGTTTGTGTCCGGGAAGGGTTCATAGTTTCATAGTTGTCGATTTTCGAAAGAAATCAGTACATGTATATTATTTCGTATATTTTTCATTTTATTGATTTTATGGAAAGCACTGTTCATTAAAATTTTGTATCCTATGTTATAGGGCTTGTTTCTCTCTACAATTTCCTGTTTCACAATGTACTGTTTGTGTCCGGGAAGGATTCATAGTTTCATAGTTGTCGATTTTCGAAAGAAATCAGTACATGTATATTATTTCGTATATTTTTCATTTTATTGATTTTATGGAAAGCACTGTTCATTAAAATTTTGTATCCTATGTTATAGGGCTTGTTTCTCTCTACAATCTCCTGTTTCACAATGTACCGTTTGTGTCGGGGAAGGGTTAATAGTTTCATAGTTGTCGATTTTCGAAAGAAATCAGTACATGAATATTATTTCGTATATTTTTCACTTTATTGATTTTATGGAAAGAACTGTTCAATACCTACCAAACTTCTACACCATGTATCTCCGAAAGTAAATATTTTGGCACATACATTTATACGAACTTTTTTTACCTATTTTTATGTGCAGAATATGCTGCCGAAGTTTCCGGAATACAGTTTGGAACATCCTGTATACTAGCTGAATATTATCATCATTTGACATTTAATTTAACTTACAAAAAATTTAAATAAATCTATTTCTCTTTTAGTTTAGGTGAAGAATACCAGACAATAGCAGAAAAAGCGCTGAATATACCGGGCGATACGGCTGAACTGATGGAACTAATAAGATATGTCAGGGACGTGGAAACTCTTATCCTTTACCAGATGGAAGACCGACTAAGAGAAGTGATGGAATACATACTATTTCTGGCAGATCACACTCTGTTCACGCCGGTAGAGATGAAACAAAATAACATCACTTTCCACTGGTAAATAAAAGTATATCCGATACCAATTACACTTTTAGTTACGTAATCGAGGGCGCGATTTTTAAATTCATTATTGCCAACCATAGATATATTCGGCGCCGGGCTGACTAACCGGAATTTAAATTTCCCGCTGCATGGGGTTCAGGTGATAGCTCTGCTGTAAAAAATGTCAAGTTGCCTCATTTATTCATTTATTTCCTGACATTGTTATTAGTTTTGAAACTTTAGTTTTGTATTACGAGTTTTTGGGTAAATGAATTGTGTTGTGATGAAGCTTAAAAATGTTTACTAGACCTTGCAGTCGAACATTGTTCATTTTAGAACCTCTTTTAGTGCGAAGTAGTACAAGATAGCTTAATAGCCGTACAAAAAACTCATCACAATTTTATTAAAATATTTTGAACGGGAAAGCGGTAGTAATGGCCCTTTATGTCCCTTAAGCCCAAATTACATTTACGAGTAAACCGTATACGGGTGCTCGTATAGGAGTACGAGTTTTATTTACATTTAAATTTAGAATCGTATGCCATTAAAGTGTGTAAATATGGCGCCTAGTAAAAGAAAGCGTACTGCTATAGCCGGAATTCTAATGTTAATAATGAAAAAAAGAATAGAATGTCAACAGATTGTTAGAAAAAAAAGGCCAGTGTGGGTTAAAACCTCTTTACAATCAAGAAGTGTTTTGGGATTTGAAGAAAAATTATTAACCGAGTTATTATATAATTAACTATATATTCTTTGCTTTACATCCCATAAACACTTCATATTGTGGTAAAGATCTATAAATCCATCAATATCCTCCGGCGATAACTTTATTTGCCGCCATTTTTGTCAATAAACAAAACCGGTACTCGTAATGAAATCGGATCTCACTCAACTTTGAGACAAACACGTATACGATCTACGAGTTCCTATTTACATATGCGAAATCGTATACGATTCGCTTACTCGTATACGACTTACTCGTAAATGTAATTTCGGCTTTAAGTGCTGTTAAGAAGGTGAGTTTTGTTGACGTAAATAATAACTGTTTATATATTTATAATTAATTTAGTTTTGTTTCCTAAAATATTTTGATTTAAAGAAAATATGTAAAAGTGGGCAACGCTGTACTGGCCAAGCTTAATCACGTGACTAAAAGTTTTTTTGATATGAACTATAATGTTTTTACAATTGCAAATGAAAGTTTTGCAAGAGAGAATTTTTTTTACTTTATTTTTTTTAATTATTTCCTTTTTTAAAATCTCTTGTTTTCTTAATGTCAGGTATTTGCACATGCCCAAAGTGATCGAAGAACACAAACAAATGATCGAGGCAAAAATGGAAGAATTCCAAGCGCAACTCGCATTGAGGATTCAGAAATTCACGGACGATTTGGAGATGTACGCCAAGATGGTCGACGAACTTCAGTACAACGGCAACGTTGAAGACCTGCCACGATACCACAAGAAGGCTACGAAACTTGACGAAAGGTATTATATATTTTAGCGATGGGTTGTTATTTAACTATCTGTTATTTTATAATTATTTAGAAATAACATAACGCAACCGTTACTACTTCTAAAAAATAACAGATATAAAATAACGACACGTAGAGATCGACCGCTCGTGAAACGCTCGTGAAACGAAGTCGGCGCTCTGCACCGCCACGAAGTTCTATGCGGCTCGAAGCAATTCCAAAAAACAACTAGTATGGATGGAAAATGTGTTATTTCGACAACCATCGATACAGGCGGCGAGATACAACGGACAACGGAGTGGGGAATGCGCTACGGCGAATGTAGCTGCATCGGTATATCGGTGTTGGGCTTGCAACAGCTTAGGAATAATAGGATATAAAAGAAGCAGCTTTGTTGAAACGATTGCGGGCATAACGCCTGGCGGTCGAGATAACAGGAGTGGGAAAGTAACGCTGCTGCATCGGTCGATTGTCGATGGAGGCTCGCAACGGGTTGGAGAATAACGTATAGAAAATAAGCAGTAATTTTAAATACGTTGTTTTTTAACCTGTTACGAGCATAACAGGCAGCGGTCGAGATAATCGGAGTGGGAAAGTAACGCTGCTGCATCGGTCGATTGTCGATAGAGGTTCGAAACAGGTTGGAGAATAACGCATCAGTTGCTTTAGATACATTGATTTTCAACCTGTTACGAGCATAATGGGCGGAGGTCGAGATATTATGGCGCTGTATGTTTCAGTACTTAAAGTTATTAAGTTTCAGCTAGTTAGTTATTTTTATTAATATCTTTAAATATATACTTTCATTGTTTTTGCTACATTTTAAAACTCTTCAAAAACAATTTTACTAAGATTTACTTTAAGAAATTGTGAATGGTGCTTAGAAATTTAGTGATTAATTTATTTATTATAATAATGAGAAGTATTTAATAAAAAATGGAAATAACAATTTAATTAATTATTTAGTAATATGTATATTTTTCTAAAGAAATGCTTTAGAAAAAACAAGTTTTGAGTTTTTCTAAATTTTCCCAGTCTTAAATTATTACAATACAGTAGTTGCAAAGTAATAGTTTGCAGTGATAAAAATAAAAACACTATGTTAAGAAAAAACCGTTTAAAAGGTCGCAAACACATTCAGTATAACATTCATTTTAAATAATGTATATTCGTTAGTTTTGCTGCGATTTAAAGCTCTTCAAAAAACAAATTTACTATTCAGAGATAATGATACAACAAACGATAGATACTAAAAATACACTAAATAAAGATATTACTTTTCAACTACTAAAACAAGTAAAGGCTAAATTATAAAAACTTCAAATTATTTGGAATTGCACTAAGAAAAATTAATCTCTTGAAATACTATAATTAGATATTAGCCTTGTTTATACAGTATGTCCCTGGATTGTCTTTATAAGAGGAAATAAAGAAACCTGTTATTTTTAAGGTGTTATTTTAAGCTGCTTTTTATAAATAACTATAACAGTTTCAATTGTTATCTAAAAATAACAGTTTTGCCCACGACTAAAAGGTATACAGGGTCTTTCACGCAACTGTTTCATTAAAAGTTATACAGGGTGAGGCTTATAACGCATCGTACAGTCTCGGGGCTTTGACAAAAGCCAGTATCTGAGATGGTTTTACAGAGGTTAGTTCTCCAAGGAAAAAATTAAAAACAATTAAAATATAATTTGCAATATTAATGGTATCCTCTTTTTTTAATCAACTTGTGCTTAATTTTTTATGTCTTCTAAAATTAATAATTATGTACCTTCAAAAAATTTCGTTATAGCTGAAATAGCCCCACTAGCAAAACCGGTGCGTAAAAATATGTCTCAATAATAAATCATAATACAAGTTTTTCTGAACATATCAAAATATTTCCTTTTTTTTGGTATTTTCACAAATTATACTTCCTAAAACAGCGTCTACACTATGCGATAAACTTTTTTGATTTCGATTTATTTCCAGTTGTCTTGACCCACTTCGGTTTGCCTCAACCTACTTTCGATTTCTTAAAAGCGCCTGAAAACTAATCGTGAGGAGGGCGAGGGGGGATATTTTGGCGTTTTTTGTTGCCTCGTTCAATTTTGTTTTGTTTTGAGCTATTTTCAAAACGTGTCGGTATCTGTACCGGAAGCAAAGGATTTTTTTTCATAAATATCAGTGAAATAAGTAAACCTAGACGTTTCTAAAATAGCTGTTGTTACGATGATATTTCGTTAATTACATCTCGTTTTTTGTTATATTGATATACAGAATTAATATTTGAACACGCGGTTATTATATGTATAGTAGATATTTAGGAACAAAACTTTTCACTTAAACTGCAGTAATATAATTACAATATTTTTATGATTTAATTTTATTATAATGAATTAGTATATAAAATTGTATATGATATGTTTGTTTACGGCCTTAATTGATTAATATAACAGTAGTATTGCTTGATGAGTAATACTGGTAACTTTATCAATATATCCGCTTGGGAAAATTATTAATTGACCCAATGTCAACAAAATTATGGTTCACGGACATTATTTAACAGAAATGTTGTTTTATTATAAAAATTATAAAAATAATATTTTTACTAAAATTATCCCAATTTAGGATAAAACGCGACTTAGACGCCATATTATTATAGTTTTGTATTTCTGTGAATTAGGATTTTAAACAACGTTGCAGTTTGTACTAAATTAGGCGGCTAGCCGACGTAGGTATCCAACGTCGTTTCGACCCAAAAATTATTCTCCAAACTAATACAGACTAGGGTTGGCACGAGGTTGTGCCGACGTTGCGCCCCGACGTTTGGTCGCGTGACACAACGTTGTCCCGACGTCCAAATGCTGCTTGGGTGGTTTTATATAAATCAATTCAACTGGTATTTATTATGCAGGGATTTAGACAATTAAAACTAGAAAAACAAAACCAAATTCGTGAACCAAACCTTGCTACAGACTACAGCGTAAATGTTACTTTACCATAACCAGAAATAATAAATAATTAGACGATTTTTTAAATAATTTTGTGTATATTTTGTTCATGAGGCGCAATACCGTGGATGATAAGCCGATAAATGGTAGACCGCTAGTTAGTCACTGTTTTATTTTTTTACTATATTGTAATTAATAATATTAGACAATGATTAAAACTAAATATTCTTGTGTAACCTTCGAGAAATAGCCAATTTAATTTACCATCGGTAACTGCTTTCATATAAGTTTTTCTATGTTTACTTATTTTTCTGAAGCCACCACAACGTTTGACCTTGATTGCCTCGTGCTATTTCACAAAATAGTACTGTAAATATAAGCCCGTGTTATAAAAATTAGTTAGTGATTGGTTGTTTGTTTTTTATTGTCAATCTTGGTTAACAATAAAAAACAAACAAGCAATCAGGGCGGGCCTCGATCTATTTCAGGAAACGTAGCAACAAATTTTTATAGCACGGGCTTATACTTATCGTACTATTTCTAAAAATGTTTTGCGAAATGTTTCACAAAATATTTCCAGAAATATTTCCTAAAAGCTGTTTAATTCTAGCGTTAAATGAAAAATTGAATTTTCAATCTGACGCTTTTGAAGTTACCCTGTATATATTTTTCTTTTAGATTGATCCACGCTATGGAAAGAATCGACCAGTTCAACGAAGAAGAGCAAGCTTTCGGCTTCGAACTATCCCAGTACCCTGTCCGCAAACAAGTCCACGAAAGACTGGCACCATACAAGAAGCTCTACGACAACTCTACCGACTTCATCAACAAGCACGAGCTCTGGATGAAGTCCAGAGTGGGCTCGTACGATCCAGAAGAAATCGAAACTGACGTGGGAACGTACTACAGGAATATTTATAAATTGGAGAAGCTGTTTTCTGACAGACCCGCCACTTTGAATCTGGCTACGACAGTAAAGAGCACCAGTTTTGTTTAATAATAACATCTTAAGTAAATGTTTTAGGTTAGGGAAGAAATTGAAGGTTTTAAGGAACACATGCCTATTATCCAGACGTTGGGCAATCCTGGAATGAAGGAACGCCATTGGGAGAAGGTGTCTGAAATTGTAGGATTTCCTATTAAAGGTATAGTTGCCTTTGAAACACCTGGAATGTGGTAAAGTGAAAATTTTATCAATTATTCGCATGGGTTGAAGTTATAACGAAAAATAATAGACTGGATCGGTAGTGGCATTGGGCATTTTGTTGTTATAATTTCCAAATGTTAGGATTCCCTTTCTTTGATTTACATAAAATCCTAGTTATTTTTTATAACTATGATTGAGAAAAAACTATTTAGAATGCCTCAATTAGGGAAATTTAAAGAAAAATTTAAATTTTTTACTTTTGCGTTACTGTTACGGCCGCTAGCAGGCAACTTTTTAACAGCCACCTACAACTGTTTTGAAGAGTAATAACTTTTTGTCCGTACCTGTATAAAACTACTGAGTGAAAAAATATACATTTACGACATTTTTTTAAGTAAAACAGGTCTCTTGGTAAAAATGGCTACGAATAATGGTTCTCGAGATATTTGGAATTGAAATTATTGTTAAGGTGGTGGCGCCATCTGTCGGAGAAGCGACAAACTAAACCGCAACGTGTATTGCTGGTTGCCTACATTTTTACTAGCAAGTAAAAGAAATACTACAGAATTCTAGAAAAAGGTTCCAGAAACAGTTGGTAGGGTATATAAAAGAGGGCGATCGGCAGTTGGGACAGTTGAAGTGGGAATTCGAAAACACGGCGTTTAAAATTGTGAATCGTGAAAATTGGCGAAGTAATTTTATAAATAGTTAATTGTGTGCTGTAATTAGTACAAATTGTGTGTAAATAGTGAGAAAAATTAATTCGATAAGTATTTTATCGTGAGTTTAAATTAGTGGACCCACGGCATCCGTAACATTATCAATACCTGTCATCATTAACATAAATTAAACACGTTGACTAAATAGTTATTAGACTAAAATCATAAATTTATAATGATTTTGAGCCAAAAGTTCAACAGAAACTGTTCTATCATCATTTTTACCAATAAAAATTTGTGATTAATTTAAAAAAATAAGAAGTTCCCAAATTTCCCAATTTTTTTCAATCATTTCAGTCAAATAACTATCTACTCAACATGTTTATTTTTTGTCGATAATGACATTTATTGACTATTTCCATTCTAAATATCTTGAGAACGGTTGCTCGTAGCGTAGCTCGGAGTGTATTTTTACCAAGAGACACTTTTTCACTTATTTTCATCTGCAGAATATGCTGGCGAAGTTTCCGGAATACAGTTCGGACCACCCTGTATAGAGCCATTTAATATCTAAAGGTGCCTCTACCTGGGCAGAAGTTGTTAATGGTCTACTGCCATCGTTCACAGAAAATTGTTTTTTTTTGTTTTTATTTTATTTATAATACCTACTTGTTTTTAGTTAAAAAGAAGTAGAAAAAAGACTCAAAGTCTACTTCTACATCTTTTTAATTTAAACCAGGTCTCTTTGAGAGGTATGGACGCCTTCTTTAAATTTTCTGGTTTTAGTTGATGATGACCTCACATTGGAAAAGATCATTGACTATGGGTTGGACGACTACATCGAGAAGTTCGAAGCCATATCTGAAGCGGCCACCAAAGAAAACAACTTGGAAAAGAACTTGAACAAGATGATCTCCGAGTGGGTCGACATGGAGTTCACAGTTCTTGCCTACAGAGACACCGGAACTTATATTTTATCGGCCATAGATGACATTCAAGTACAACTAGATGATCATATCGTCAAGACTCAGACCATGAAGAATTCGCCTTATATCAAACCATTTGAAAAGGAAACTCTGTAAGTCCCTCCACGTACTAAATTAGTTATTGTGGTCCTATTAGGTTACATTTTTCAGTTCTATCCTTTTCAAAAAGCCTAGCAACTTGGGGTCTGAACCTTTCATATAAGCTCTGCCTGTTTTGCATTAAGACCTGTTTCTAAGGAGCTTAACTTGTCGGTGGCTAGAACTACCGTATGATCGAATAAAAACGGCGTCAGCGATGGCTATGAAATGAAGATCGCTGTCATTTTAAATGTAAAATTATATGGGAAATGTCATCGATCGTCATTTCCAAGCCAACTGGACGCCGTTTTTTTTCGATCATACGGTATTTATTATGCACTTTTTGAGTCGCACCTCAGATATGCCCTTCCATTCTGGGGTACGTGTTGTGCGATTCAATTTGACCGCATTTTCAAGCTCCAGAAGGGAGCTGTTCGATATTCACTGGGACTAAAGAGCAGAACTCATTGCCAGGACTTGTTTAAAAAATTAAAAATATTAACTCTTCCTTCCTTATTTATATTTGAATCTGTTTGACTAATACGTAAGCATGTATCAGCTTCTCAAGAAAAGCCATCTTACACTTATCCACTCAGGAACGCGGAGCAAGATCTTTATCTACATACCCCACGCTCAGAGTTAGTTAAAAGTTCAATATTATACAACTCGAAAAAAATGCACCAAATCACCTGTCATTTGAAATCAAATCCATAACATAATTTTCTTCATTTCGCAAAGCATTGAAATCTTTTATTTACTAGATAAGGCTTTCTACGCCGTAAATGACTTATATTTTGATAATCGAATTTGATCTTGTAAACACTGGTCTAATGTTTGCTATTACTATATTTACTATAAACTTACTAAATATCTTTGAATCTTATTTTTATTTTTTTATTCTTTGACATTGTAAACATTTATAAATGTTTATTTTAAACAATAAGACTCTCTTTTGTTTGTTTACTTTACCTTTGTCTACAAACTGTAAATTTTTTTGACAATAAAGGCTTTTATTTATTTATCTGTCAATGACCTATAATAGAAGTCATCGTCATTGACACTACAAGTTAAATTATTAATAATTGTTTCGTTTTCAGTGATTGGGAATCTAAACTACAACTACTCCAAGAGATTCTTGACGAATGGCTCAAAGTTCAAGCCACCTGGATGTACCTGGAACCCATATTCTCCTCCCCAGACATCCAGCAACAGATGCCCGAGGAAGGAAGAAGATTCAGCGCCGTCGATAAGATCTGGAGGGACCTAATGAAGACGGTGTTTAGCGATCCGAAAGTTCTGTCGGTAGTGGAGATTGACAAGATGGTGGAGAGGTTGAAGAAGTGCAACAACTTGTTGGAGATGATTCAGAGGGGATTGAACGATTACTTGGAGAAGAAGAGGTTGTTCTTCCCCAGGTTCTTCTTCCTGTCTAACGACGAGTTGTTGGAGATCCTGTCAGAGACGAAAGATCCAACAAGGTAAAGAATTTTATTTGCTCTAATTTGGTACATGCTGTAGTATAACATACCCAGGGGTCGTTCAACAAAGTTCAGTCATATTTTGGTCAACTGTATAATAAAAAGTTTAAATGAAAGAAAAAAAACCTACGTTGTGTTAAAAATATTTTTATTGTGACTTTGAGTAGAATAATAGGTTATGTAAATCAAACGCTACATTTGTAAATAGCCCTACTTATTTTATTAAATGAAAACCTTGATCACTATTCCAAAGAATCTAACTATGCTGCTCTGCACTATAATAAAAGAGAAATAATAATAATACAAAAACTGTCTTCATACCAAGGTTTGTTGTTTAATACATTCAAAACATGCCACAAAACATTTATTACATTCAAAACTAAAAGACCCGCAGGTACTAAGGTCTCTGGTTTCGAAGCTTGAAGCTAAAGTTGAATATTTGGTGCCAATATCTTTAAACTATGTGAGTTATTCTATTCTTTTATTTTTTTGATTGCTCACTTGTTTGCTAAGATCTACTCTACTGCCATTACTCGCTGACGAGTATTTGACACGCATCAGAAGATGGTCACGCAAGGCGTTTCATGAGCTTTTCTGTGACTGTAAAGCCCGATACGTGATGTTATCTGTCTACCGCACCCCGGACATTCAAAAATCTCATTGCTTTGTTGCCTCTTTACTTTTTGGTTTTCGCTGTTAACTGAGTTTACAATTCTTCTCCAATGAGTTCTATTGTGAGCTGTTTCTTCCCACTCATTCTGCATGTTTTCGTGGAAAATGTCCTTGTACCTTTTGAGTTTTCCACCCGGCCTCCTCTTACCGTCTACAAGCTCACCGTAAAGCAGAGATTTTGGTATGCGGTTTTCTTGCAGTCTGCATACGTGACCAGCACATCTTAAGAGGGATTTTGTAACTATGACTCCAATACTCTAGCAGTTAGCTTTTTTAGCTAGGACCGATACGTTTGAGACATGATGGAACCACCGGATTCTAAGAGTTGTCTAAGGTGTCTCTGTAGCAACTTGTTTAATGCGTTCATGTGTCGACGGTACGGCACCCAGGTTTCGCTTCCATATAACATGGTGGGGATTACAACTGCTCGGTACACTGCAAGTTTCGTTTTTGTACTCGTCATGATTGTAGAAAACCCTGTCTTTTAATTTCCAGAATGCTCTTGAGGCGCTGCTAATCCTGTGCTAAATTTCAGAGTCAATATTTGCCTTTTCCGAAATCAAACTGCCGAGGTAATTGAATTCCTACATATTCCAATAATAAAGATATTCGCCCAGTCACGGTCGAAAAATGTTAGTAGGCCCTTATTGTCACACTGAACCACAAACATCGGCACGAATGGACAGTAAACGATTGTATTTAGATTACTTTTAAACTGAAATTATTCACAGTTCCATTAAATACATACACATGTTATATGATACCTTTTGTCAGACCAAATAAATAAGGAAAATCTTTAATACAGAATATTACAACAGAAAAACAAAATATGATTTAGTTAACATTAGTTAAAAGCATTTACTTAACTTTTAATAACATTCTTTGTCACAATAACCAAGGCTTACCAAGCAAAGTAACATCAACGCGTCTCGAGTGGTAGTCTATTACCTAACACTTATCATTCTGTTCGTTTTTCTGACGTTTCTCAACTAAAACTGATAAGACCAAGACACCAAGAGATCCTCTATGCCTTCTGAGGCTTTCTGTGCATATTTCTGAAAAACATATTCACATAGTGATATGCTAGTGAACTATTTCAGGTCTGAACTTGATTCTCGGTTTGCTACAAAACAGTATAATCTTACAGGGTACAACCACATCTGAAGAAGTGCTTCGAAGGTATAGCAAAATTAACATTTACCGAGGACCTTGATGTGACCGAGATGAAATCAAGTGAAGGTGAGATAGTACCACTACCAGATATCATTCAGACAGCCCTGGCTAGGGGTCAAGTGGAGAAATGGCTGGTCGAATTGGAAGCGGATATGAAGAAAGCAGTACACTTGATGGTACAAAAATCAATTGAGGATTATCCCAAGAAACCAAGGGATCAATGGGTAAGGGGAAGTCTAATATAGTCTGACCAAAAAATAGAATATTGACAGTAACATATATTCTCTGTCATTTTAACTCAAAAGTAACTTGTTTTTCCTTTAAAAATTTGTTTGTATTTTCATTTATAATGATACTTAGGGTATATTCCGTTGCTTACCTTGGTTATGGTTTTATGTTCCGTTTCTATTGGTTTCCTGAAAGTTTTCGAGAAAAATTCAGTTATAACTGTCACCAAACTAACCAGCGCGAGAAGGCTGGTTTTTCTGGTTTTGTTTGTCAATCAATGTCATTTATGTGACAGAAATCAAGCAAATATTGGAAGTTCGAGTAAAATTCTCATTTAATTCCTAAAATTTGTAATAATATTTTGTATTTACATCCAAAAGCAACGGAGGTAGGCAGTAAAGGTAAATAAATTTTATTAACTAAATAGAATGACTTTTTAAGACCATTTAAACTTATCATGCAGCCATTGTTTCTTAAAGACAGGAACTTTTAAAGAAAAGTTGAAAAACAAGACAACAAGTAATCGTGATTGTTTTGTAAGCTATAAAAATATAAATATTGAGTAGATTTGTTTATTTATTATTGATCTGTTTTAATATTGGGCCTGCAAATCTTCACTTGAGCTGTCTAACGAGTTTAATAGTTTATTAATAAAGTACTTTTCAATATTAAACTCCATTGAAAAGATGAAGCAAACGTAAAAGCAGAGATTAGGTACATTAAAAATGCATAAAAGAAAAATTTTATAATAGAGGTATTGAAATTTAGAAAACGTCAACATTTGACGTTTCCAGTATTTTATACCAAACCGTTCCGTATCAAACCGATGTTCTTCAGGAACCGCTCTTTACCGTAATTTACCGGTCTGGTTCGCCTGGTTTTGCAACGGAATACAGCCTTACACAGTTCGTTACAAAATTCTGTCAGGGAAGATTTCAACAGACGAAAAAATGACAGAAAATGTAGATTATCTCTGAATTAAAGTGACAGACAGACTTGTTACTGTCATGAATCCTCTCGCTGGAGAAACTATAGCCCATTATACTTGTTCTATTAGGTATTGAGATGGCCTGGTCAATGTATCCAGTCTGTCGGTACGACGTTTTGGACTACAGAAGTGACAAAGTCAATAAGCGAAGGACTTATGGCTATGAGATTGTATTTGAACAAGTGCAACGTACAAATCGCCAAAATTGTCGATTTAGTACGCGGAAAACTGAGCACACAAAACAGGATAACATTGAGTAAGTTTAAATTAATCCTAATATGTTATTTCTTTTATTTTTTTTTGGCTGACCGTGCTGGTTTCAAATTGTTAATCTACAAATTGGTCCAAATACTAAGGAATTTGTTTTATTTTAAATCTCAAACCAGCATATCTTTTTTTTTGTATTTACTAAGAGAGGGTCTAAGTTAGGGTGGATCAAAAAAATCGATCGATTGTCTTAAATGCAGATCAAGTATTTTTTGCGATGTTCTTTTATAACTTAGTTCTTTTATAACAATAAATTCCAGCGCCAGATTCTTTTGGTACAGTAGTTCTAGGACTGGTTATTTAGATTTATAAATATGTACACTTTTTAACTTTGTGTTTTTAGGTGCATTGATTGTTCTTGATGTTCATCAACGGGATGTGCATTCCGAACTTATCGAGCTTGAAGTTAAGACTACCAACGATTTTAACTGGCTGTGTCAGTTGAGATATTATTGGGAGGCAAGCTTTTTATAGACTACATTTTTAGATAATAGGAATTAATATCGACAGTTGAAAGAAGAAAAACAACAACAAATCTATTCACACATTTCAGTCACTTTAGATTATTTTTCATAATTTGTAAAAGTATGAATAACATTTTCTTTCACAATACAAATATTTTATAATAGATCTAAGTAAATTTTATTAACTAGTTTTTTTGTTACATAATTAATCTAAAACACCCTCTACACTACGCCCGAAATGTTTCACGAAATATTTCGTAAAACATTGCAAAGCAATCAAGGTTAAACTTTGTGGTGGCTTCAGAAAAATAAATAAACATGGAGGATGAAAAAATATCATTAGATCGTAATGGAGTGTAATGTAATACCACTATATTAAACTGATATGAAAAATCAAAAACAGTGCATTTAGAAACCGATGGTAGATTAAATTGGCTATTCCTCTAAGGTTACAATATAGCAAAAAAATATATTTTCAAAACTTAAAATCGTAAAACTGCAGGGTAACAGTGACTAACTGTTCTGGCGGTCTGCCTTTTATATGTCATAATCCACGGTGTTAAACTATTTAAAAAAATCGTCTAATTATTTCTTATTTTTGAATGGATTTATATCAAACCATGTTTTATATAAAAGTAGCTCGTATTGACATCGGGCCAATCAATAATTTTCCCAGTCAGCTCGATATATTGATGATATTGCCAGTATAACTCATCAAGCACACAATACTACTGTTATATTAATCAATTAAAGCCGCGTAAACAAACATAACATACAATTTTATATACTAATTCATTATAATAAAATTAAATAATAAACATATTGTAATTATATTCCCGAAGATTTAGTGAATAGTTTTGTTCTTAAATATCTACTCTACATATTATTATAAACGCGTGTTCAAATATTAATTTTGTGGAATCTATATCAACATAAAACGAGATGTAATTAACGAAATATCATCGTAACAACAGCTATTTTAGAAACGTCTAGGGTTACTTATTTCACTGAGATTTATGAAAAAAAGTCCTTTGTCTCGGGTACAGATACCGCCACGTTTTGGAAATAGCTCAAAACCAAACAAAAATGAACGAGGCAACAGGAAACGTAAAAAAATCCCCCACGCCTTCCTCACGAGTAGTTTTCAGGCACTTTAAAGAATCGGAAGTAGGTCTAGGTAAACCGAAATGGGGCAAGATAACTGGAAATAAATCGAAATGCGACAAAGTTGGGCGACGAAATGCGACCTTAACCTGTTTCGAAGAGTTCTCCGTATAGTGTAGAGGCTGTTCAACACATTATAGAATATTTTTCTGGCGAATTGTAAATAATAAAAAATTCAAAATTCTTAAAATATTTCCAAAAAATATATTTTGTTAAATTTTGTCTAGGATATTATTACTTTAAAGAAATACTATTAACATAAATTCTATTTTCAGTCTAATCAAATGCAAGTTGCCATGATTAATTCCACTTTACGTTATGGTTACGAATATTTGGGCAACACTACCAGACTGGTGATCACTCCATTAACCGATAGATGTTACAGAACGCTCTTCGGCGCCTTGCACTTGCATCTAGGTAAAATTAACATTTTTCGAAAGCATTATTTCGATTCTAAATATATTTCTCTAAAAGGAGGAGCTCCTGAGGGACCTGCCGGTACTGGAAAAACAGAAACAACAAAAGATTTGGCTAAAGCTGTGGCTAAACAGTGCGTGGTATTCAATTGTTCAGATGGATTGGATTATATAGCCTTAGGAAAATTCTTCAAGGTATAATATAAAAAGTATTTCCATCAATTCAACCTAAAACACTTAACACGAATAGACAGTAAACGACTGCATTTAGATTTAATTATAAAAAATATGTGTGTGCACTATGTGCCATATTTGAAGGATTTGAAGGATATGTTTGAAAAAGTGTGAGAGTTGTAAATATGTCGAAAAAGTATTAAATTAAAAAAATATTTTTTACACGTAAAAAATGTTTTTTTTGTGTGTAAAAAATGGTTTTCGTCATTCTATTCAGAGTGCCATTTTCTATCGAATAATAGTTTTGTATTACGATTTTTTTGTTTAATTGCGTTGTAATATTTTAATCTTAAAATTTTTTACTAGCAAACCTTCTTGTTTCTTGATGTCCGCGCGTCTAACTAGCAGACCTTGTAGTCGAAAATTGTTCTTCTTAGAACCGCTTGTAGTCCGAAGTGTACAAAGTGTCAAAACAGCTTAACAACCGTTGTAAAAGAACTCATCGCGTATTTTGAACGGAAAAGCCGCGTATTTTGAACGGCAATCATGGCTCTTTATGTCCCTTAATGCTGTTAGGTTCAATTTTTCAAAATTTAGGTTGAACATTTTTGAAAAAAAAAAGATTTTTTTTTAGTTTTTAGTTAAAAAAAACATTTCAATTTCAAAAAAAATAACAATTTCTTGATAATATGGCAACATAGGTAGTAAATTAAAAATTGGCAAGGGCCGGAACTGGTTGTAATGAAGGGAGAAAACATCCCTAAAGGGGTGGCCATCACGGTCTTCCTACCTAGGAGCAAGGATTCTTGGGTCAGAACTTCAATGTAAGGGCATCGAGTTGGCGAGTCATCAACTCGAGGAAGGAGGGTCATGGTCAGGTCCTCACAATAGAAATTGACCTCAAATCCAAGGAGGCAATAGAGAAAGAGGGACATATCCTCTATTATAGATACGGGACAACACCGGTATCAAGTCTAAGGAGAGACCAAGTTAAAGAGGTGGAGAAAATGGAGATAGATCCTCCAGCCTCCACCTCACGGGTTTCTTAGCCGGAGGCAAGCTTTTCGACTGTGAAGAGCGGCACGGAGGGCCAAACTCCAACCGTGGAAGGGTGTGTACCCTCGGAGGAAGAACTGTTGCCAGAGGAGGATGGGAAATACCTTGTCCACTCTACAACAGGGGTATGATAGGTTATAGATTGTGTGATGACTCAAGGAACAGGAACTCAAGGGGGAATTAACCCCCCCCCCCCTCTTACTCATTCTACATTCTACCTTTAAGCGATATGATTCTATAATATTGACTAAATAATAATGATATTATCTGTTTCTCAGGGCTTAGCTTCTTGTGGAGCATGGTCATGCTTCGACGAATTCAACAGGATCGACTTAGAAGTACTCTCAGTAGTGGCACAACAAATCTTAACCATCCAACGAGGTATCAATTCAGGAAACGAGAAACTATTCTTCGAAGGCACAGAACTGAAACTAGATCCAACCTGCGCAGTATTTATTACAATGAATCCAGGTAAATACTATTAAAATGCAGATTTACCTGAAATAATAATTTAAGGTTGTATTCCGTTGCAAAACCAGACCAGACCGGTAAACTACGATAAAGAGCGGTTACTGAAAAACATCGGTTTGATACATGGTTTGATACGGAACGGTTTGGTAAAATACTGGAAACGTCAAATGTTGACGTTTTCTAAATTTGAATACCTCTATCTGTCTCTATTATAAAGTTTATCTTTTATGCATTTTTAATGTACCTATTCTCTGCTTTTACGTTTGCTTCATCTTTTCAATGGAGTTTAATATTGAAAAGTACTTTATTAATAAACTGTCAAACTCGTTAGACAGCTCAAGTGAAGATTTGCAGGCCCAATATTAAAACAGATCAATTATAAATAAACAAATCTAATTAATATTTATATTTTTATAGCTTACAAAACATTCACGATTACTTGTTGTCTTGTTTTTCATGTTTTTTTTAATGTTCCTGACTTTAAGAAACAATGGCTGCATGATAAGTTTAAATGGTCCTAAAAAGTCATTCTATTTAGTTAATGGAATTTTTTAACCTTTATTGCCTATCTCCATTGCTTTTGGATGTAAATACAAAATATTACAAATCACACAACTTCAAACAACTCGAACTTCCAATATTTACTTGATTTCTGTAACATAAATGACACTGATTGACAAACAAAACCAGAAAACCCAGCCTTCTCGCGCTGGTTAGTTTGGTGACAGTTATAACCGAATTTTTCAGGAACCGTGTTTCGGTAATAAGAAAACTTTCAGGAAACCGATAGAAACGGAACATAAAACCATAACCAAGGAAAGCAACGGAATACACCCTAATTTAACCAAAAATAGTATCCAAAACTTCAAATTGAGAATATACCCGAAAACTTTTACTTTCATTTAGGTTATGCTGGAAGAACTGAACTACCGGACAATCTGAAAGCCCTGTTCAGATCGGTAGCCATGATGGTGCCGGATTATGCGCTGATATCCGAAATCGAGCTGTACGCATCGGGTTTCCTGATCGCCAAGCCTCTGGCTGTCAAAATCGTGGCCACCTATCGGTTATGTTCGGAACAACTGTCTTCCCAATGCCACTACGATTACGGTAGGATATTCACTTTAAATTGTGTAGCTATATTTATTTAAAAAAATATATTTAAAAACTTCTGCGCAGGTATGAGAGCTGTAAAATCAGTGCTTCGCGCAGCTGGCGCCTTGAAGTTGCGTTATCCTCTGGAAAAGGAAGAGATATTAGTTCTGCGATCCATAAAGGATATTAATCTTGCTAAATTTTTGCACCATGATGTACCTTTGTTCCAAGTAAGTATTAAAGGTATAACCTAACCTCTTTTAGTGCGAAGTGTACAAGATAGCTTAATAGCCGTAAAACTCATCACGACCTTATTAGAATATTTTGAACGAGAAAGCGATAGTAATGGCCCTTTATGCCCCTTAAATGCTATTAAGGAGTGCCATTAAGTGTTGTTGATGTAAATAATAACATTTTATATATTTATAATTAATTTATTTTTGTTTCTTAGGATTATTTATTTATTTATTTATGATAAAATAGATCTGAAGTTATCTGTTAATTTCTAATCGTAGGGTATAACTTCAGATCTGTTCCCCGGCGTTATCCTACCCGAACCTGACTATGTAGCTCTAAACAAAGCTGTGGAAGATGTTTGTCAGACCATAAATGTGCAAAACGTGCCAGCTTTCTTGGAGAAAGTACAGCAGTTGTACGAAATGATAGTAGTCAGGCACGGTCTGATGATTGTAGGGCAGCCTTTCGCAGGAAAAACCACTAGTTATAGGGTTTTGGCTGATGCCTTAGGATTAGTAGAAGAGAGAGTAAGAATCTTCTTAAATATATTTAATGAAATATTAATAAGTCTCTAATATAATAATCTCAACTGAACTGAGTAATAGGTATGCTCTTTCAAAAATTATCCTCTATGCTACATAAATATGTTATAGCATCTAAACTATTTTTTCAGGGTGAAATGGATGAACATCGAGCCATTTACACTGTGATGAACCCAAAGTCTATTACCATGGGTCAGTTGTATGGACAATTCGACCCAGTTTCACATGAATGGTCTGATGGTGTTTTAGCTGTAAGCTTTAGGCAGTTTGCAATGTCTACAACCGATGATAGGTTAGTGTATTTTCTCATCATTGTTAGACAAGGTGAAATCCAAAAAAAATCCTTGACAGTGATCGATGTGTTATTTTACTTCAAAAAATAAAATACGGTATGTGTTAATACAAAACAAACAAAGGGTGTATTTTTAACAAAACACTACATACCAAAAAAAATATAAAAAAGAACTATTTCTTACTTTCAAACTTCAAGAAGCTTCTGCATAATATATTAATATAACTTATGTACAAATATTTTTTTTAATATTGCACAGGAATAAATAACACACAACATAAATAAAACAAAGTATTTTATTAATAATAACAGTTTTAATGAATTTTATACATTAAAAGTTGATTAATCAATTTGATCTTAATTTTGTTTAAACCAGCACCTTTTGACATTATTTTTCTGCAGAGAGAAGACTAAAATCTATTATTTACCTATCGTGTGCTGTCGATATTTTACAGCTACTCTATTTTTAGTACCATATACAAGATGGTATATAAACTTTAGTGGTGATTATATTGGTGGTTCTTTGGCCACCGAATATTTAACTGTGCTCTGGATCTATAGTTAATTTTCCCTCAATTTTTCCTCCATTTAACTTCAAAAAACACAAAACACACAACTAATAACACGAACCAAAATGCAAAAGCAATTCGCAAATATGTACTTGACATAATTTGACACAAATTACAACCTATAATTTGACCAGAGTTTGACAGCTCTCAAAAATTTTATGTCGAGTTTATTGTTTATATGCATCTGCGACCGTGAGTCGTTCATCGTTCCGTCACTCCAATAATACTGAAATATGATCTGTAATTTTTGAAATAAACCAAAAAAATTGGTTAAAAACAACCAGAGACGACATAGTTGACATCTATAGTTAACATCAAAAACATTAGAAACTTTTTTTCTGAAATAAATAGATCGGTATTGACATCATCTGCTTTTTTTCTGTCATCGTCTGTCGAAATCTGACCCGAGTAATAAAACAGAGTATAGTATATTCCTTGCTTAAAAACAACCTGTTTGATAAAATTACCTTTTCTTTGTCTTAAAAATAAGACATAGTGCTTTCTTCACACAAATGTACCTCGTTGCAAAGGCGACACTTATTTTCACCTGCGACGTGTCCTCTTTATATTGTCGCCGTTCCGGTTGTCTCGTTTTGAGAAATAGTTCATTTCGTATAGTGCCTCGAAGTCTATTTCCAGATTCACAAAGTTATGTCAATATACCTGGGCGCATATATACGCGAATAAGAATGAATTGAATAGGGTTGGCGGACGCGTTTTGCAAGTTAAATTTAATAGTATATTCATGAGTGAACGTCTTTTTGACGAAAATACGTAGGGTTCTTAAAAATATTTACAGAATATACATTTCAGAATTATGAAGTTCAAAAATGTTCTAGTCACAATTCCGATGGATATTATACGCAAGTATTTACAGTTCATACCAAGGACCGAATTCTGTAACTTAGAAAACGCTAAGCGCTTTTAGACGCTCGGCGTATATGACGTTAATTTTCGCTTAGCGCGCACTTAACTACTAATTTGGGTATTCTCATCTGACGGGCAGTATTTTTACACATTGCGCTAAGCTATTTGAAAACGGCTACCTTAAAGGATCGTTTTGCTTGTCGAACTGTCAGTAAAAATAGAAAAAAATGTGACATGTGTAAAATAGAATGAATGAATTCGCACCCAAATAAACTTTTAACCACATGATTAAGCTTCACCGGCACAGTGTTGCCAACTTTTATATATTTCCTTTTAACAAAAATATTTTAGGAAACAAAAATAAATTAATTATAAATATATAAACAGTTATTATTTACATCAAGAAAACTCACCTTCAGTTAAGGGACGTAAAGGGCCATTACTACCGCTTTCCTGTTCAGAATATTCTAATATAGTTGCGATGAGTTTTTTTACGGCTATTAAGCTATCTTGTACACTTCGCGCTAAAAGAGGTTCTAAAAAGAACAATGTTCGTCTGCAAGGTCTGCTATAGTCTGTCCAAACGAGAAGATCCTTGACAGTGATAGATGTGTCTGTCATTTTAATTTCAAAGTAGTTTATTATATTTTACAAAGAAATAAGTTGGTACAACTGGAACGCATAGCAGGAAATTAATATATTTAAAATTTGACTGACAAGTGATTACTTCAAAATATTGTAAAAAAAACTGTATAAAACTGAAAAAATGTAATCGAGTTATTTTATTTAATAAAAAACGGTATGTGTTAATACAAAACAAACAAGAAAAAAAACAAACCACACCACATACCAAAAAAAATATAAAAAAGAACTATTTCTTACTTTCAAGCAATGAAACTTCCCGCATTTATGATTATTTTTCCCGCATTTATGTACAAATACAAATTTGTAATATCCCACAGGAATAAATAAAACGACATAAATAAAACAAACTATTTTATTAATGATAACACTTACCATAAATATTTTATACCTTAAAGGTTGATTAAATAACTTTAATCTTAATTTTTTTAAACCAGTACCTTTTGACATTATTTTTCTGCAGTACTAAAATCCATTATTTACCTATTGTGCGATGTTGATATTTTACAGCTACTCCAGTTTTCAGTATGTGTTTAGTATGGTCCTTCTACCATATTCGAGATGCACTTATCTACGGCGAGATGGTATACGAACTTTATTGATAGTAACTTTATTGGTGTATAAGACTTTCTGCCTGGGCAGCGAGTATTAACCATAAACTGTGCTCTGGGTCTACAATTATTTTACTACAATTTTCACTCGATTTTTCCTCAACTTTGACTTCAAGACACAAAACACACGTAATAACACGAATCAAAATGCATCATCTTCCAAAACGCCAAAAAAAATAAAAAGTTGACACAAAATTATAATCTATAATTTGCCAAGACTTTGACAAGCGTCAAAAATCTAAAGGCGAGTTCATACGCATCGGCGTCCGTTTGTTGTTCATCGTTCCGTCAAACCAATAAAATTGAAATACGATCTGTCATTTTTGAAATAAACCAATAAAACTGGTTAAAAACAACAAGAGACGACGTATGACGGATTTATATTTAAACCCATCCATAGTTAACTTAAAAATTATTAGAAACTTTTTTTAGTGAAATAAATAGATTGGTATGGGACGTCATCTGCTTTTCTTCTGTCATCGTCTGTCGAAATCTTACCTGAGAAAAAAAACAGAGTATAGTAAACATTTTTCAAGCTAAAATTATCACAACATTATTTATTTAAACCAAAAACTGGTAATACAAAACTAAAGTGTCAAAACGAATGACAATGTCAGGAAATAAATAAAATAGTGTTTAGTGTTCTCTTGTCATAGTCATCTGTCATTCTTCCTCAGTAATTGAACTGGTGGTTTGAGCAGCAGCACTTCAAATATGCGCACCTAGTGCACATACAATTTTTTTTGTTTCATGAATACTCATGTTTATTTTTTATTTAAAAACTAACGGTATATTTTATTATACAGGAAATGGCTGATATTTGATGGCCCAGTAGATGCAGTGTGGATTGAGAACATGAACACTGTCCTGGATGATAACAAGAAACTCTGTCTCATGTCTGGCGAAATTATTCAATTATCTAACTCGACAAACTTGATTTTTGAACCCATGGATTTGGATGTAGCCTCACCAGCAACGGTATGTTTTTAAAATATTTAGAATATAGAAAATGGTCAAATTTCTCATTTTGTTTTGCTGACAGGTATCTAGATGTGGCATGATCTATATGGAACCGAAGTCTATTGGCTGGAAGCCTATGTTGACGTCATGGTTGAACACATTACCGCCTTTTATAAACAACGATTTCTACAAAACCATGATTTTCAATTTGTTTGTGCGGTTCTGTAAACCGCTGTTGTGGCTGATCAGAAAAGGTGCAGTCAGGGTGAGCCACATGATAATTTATTCTTTCCAAAAAATCCTATATGAGCATTTCGCCACTGCAAGAAAATCTACAAAATAAAATAGTTATTTTTTGTAAACACTGCTGCGTTAACCCAAACGGAAACTGCTTGTCAGAAGTAAGGTTTACAGATATACAAATATGCCTAACGAACAAAAAAATGCTTAACGTTTCGGAAAGTTTATCTCTTTCCGTCGTCGGAAGCAAAAAAATACAAAGAATAAAGAAAAAAAACTATTTAGAATATTTAAATTCAACTATTCGAGAACACTTTAGTTTTTTTAAAAAACAGATACGTCTACAAAAACCGTTGACGTTCTGTTAAAATGACATTATATCAAGTTAAACTTCAAAATTAACAATTACTACCTGATAACCTTAGGTAAAACCAAAAAGCCCCTAACTTTCTGTATGATTATTTTTAATTTTTACGTATGTTATGTTTATTTATGTTATGTTCTTTAAAATCAAAGAAGCGATTGCCATACATTACTAACATCTACAGATGCATGAGGAATACACTTATTTTTATTAGATTGTATTAAAAAAGCCTCTTTTATTTTTATTTTAGAGGCTATCGCTTCTTTCATTATAATTTTAGCGTTATTAAAATTTACTCTGTGCCCTGTGCCCCATGAATGCTCACAAATCTTAGATTTGTGAAAATCTCCCTTTCTTAAATAATCTTTATGTTCTTTAATTCGAACAAGGGTTTAGATGTTCCACCAATGTAAAATTTATCGCGTTCACATGATATTTTGTATATTATGATTTTTGTTTGTTGTTCTGTTTCATTGGTTTAGTATGTGATAAAATGGATGTATTTTGAAAGATGTTCGTATGTTATATTGTTTTCCTATCCTTCTTATTTTTTTCCGAAACGCCTCGTATGTATGGAATTGTAAGTTGTACATATTGTGTATTGTTATCATTGTGTCTATGATTTGGGTTTTTATTTCATTTAATGTTTTGTTAATAAAATATGGTGGATAGTCGTTTTTTATTAATGTATTTTTTATGTGGTTTATATCTCTGTTTAGTGAAATGTCGTCTGAACATATTATTTTTTTCCCTATCATATAAACTTTTTATAACACCTTTTTTAACACTTATACTGTGATTTTGTTTACAAAAAATATCTATTTTATTTTGTAGATTTTCTTGCATTTCAGTGGCTAAATACCCATATAGGATTCTATAAGAGTGTTATAGAAGATAGCACGTTTCAAATTTAAATAAACAATGCTAGCTGTGCGTTTTTTATTATTACAGGAAATCGCTACAACATCAGATCACAACCTCGTGCGAGCCACCACAAACCTGTTCGAATGTTTCATGGACGATTTCTATGACGAGAAATACAGAGAACAAGTGTCAGACTTAGACGTCAGAGCCCAAATAGAAGGCTCATTCTTTTTCGCTTGCATCTGGTCGATGGGAGGCACGCTGGACAACAACAGTCGCGAACAGTTCAATATGATTTTTAGGGGACTACTGGAAAGGGAGTTCCCCCAAAGGATAATCGACGCTATGGGCATACCATTTGAAATAGCCAAGCCAGAGAAGCCTTACATATTCACGTTGCCTGTTGGGGAGACGGTGTTTGATTATAGATTCCTTAAAGAGGTAAGTTTAACGTTCTTTTTATTATTCTAAAAATGTTTGGCTAACCTCTTCGTCTTCCCCGTACCGTCTTCGTTATAGGTGGTTGGCATTCAGTCATGATTTATAGTGATGAGCAAATATTCTAGCGATAATAAAAGACCAAGATCAAGTCTCCTTTGGTCTTGGTCTTGTAGTTAATAAGTTGTCTTGGTCTTTTGGCTTTGCAGGGGTTTCTATAATAGATTTTTACTAGAGGCATATAGAAAAAAAATTGTACATATAATAGTGCTAAAAGCCTAAAAGGGTCATGGCTTGATTGGTTATTTTTCTCCATTTGTTTTTGTCTTTCGCCTTTATTCTCCACCCATCCACTCTTATCCTTCTCAAGTCCTCTTCAGCATCCTTTTTCCATCTGGTTCTCGGTCTACCCCTCCTTCTCTTTCCATCTATTTCATGTTTCATTATTAGGAATTCTTGCTTCAGCCATTCTTTCAATGTGTCCCAGCCATCTCAGTCTTTGTGCTCTTGCTACTCCCGTTATACTCGGTGCTCGATATAATTACTTTAATTCTTCATTTGTTCTTCTGGTCCATATGTTGTCTAACTTCGTTCCTTCAAAAATCTTCCTCAGTATTTTTCTTTCCCAAATTTCTAGCCTCGAACTTTCCGTTGCATTGAACGTCCACGTTTCACATGCAAGTTCGGTACATTCTGATTTTTAAACTTCTAGAGATGTTCTTACTCTTAATAATTTTCTGTAGTGCCCTAACACATCTATTTCCTACCATTATTCTTGCCATAATTTCTTGAGTTACATTTGGTTTCCTTAGAATTACTGTCCCAGATATGTGAAGGTATCTACTTCCTCAACTGGTATCGTTTCCCTCTCTCAGAATCTATTTGTAGACATCTTTCTTTCTTAAACTCCCTGTCTGACCACTCCATAAATTTCGTTTTCTTCTCGTTAAGCCTACTTTTTGGGTTTGATCTTCTAGTCTTTTGGTCAGCGATATCACCTCTTTCCGATCTCTTGCTCATATAACTAAATCATCTGCAAACGCTAAGCATTGGCGTCTTTTTCTATACAGAAGGCCCTCTCTGTTGATTCCCGCATCTTTTATAACTTTTTCTAATACTACACTAAACAGTACTGGAGATAGTGGACCCCCCTGGTTAATCCGTCCCTGATTATATTTTTTTTAAATAAATAGTATACTTTTTGTAATTTGATGCAAGTAAAATTTTAAAGGAAGATTTTTTATGTTTTTGGTAGGATTATTATTTCCATGACGTTTTTAGGGTAAAGGAAAATGGAAGTTGTGGTCTGATGAGTTGATGAACGCTCCACCCATTCCAAGGGACATTCCTGTCAATCAAATCATCGTGACTACTGTGGAGACCGTCAGGAGCATTGCTCTCATGCAGCTGTTGATTCAACATCAGAAGCCTATGATGATCATTGGTCCTACGGGTACTGGAAAATCAGTGTATATAACAGTAAGTGCTACAACAAAATTTCGAAACTATTTTTTAAACAAAATCAAAAAAAAATATTTTTCTGGGGTCGAATATTATACTTCTACTTATTTATTAAACATCCTGTATATTGAAATTCTGACCTTCTAAGTAATTATTATTAAATAATAGAGAATAATTTTGACATATATCAAGTTTTTTTATTTTTTTTTTGGAATTGCTGTGCATAATTTGTAAAATTCTGATTAACATTTCTTTATGTAGGATTTTTTGCTTAAGAAGAACGACACCAAAACTTACATCCCGTTGTTTATTAATTTCTCTGCACAAACAACGGCAAATCAAACGCAGAGTATTGTCATGTCTAAATTAGATAAAAGAAGAAAAGGTAACCTCATAGTTACACTACAATTTTAAGACTAAAACAACAATATTTTCTCAGGAGTATACGGCCCACCTGTTACGAAAAAATGCGTAATTTTTGTTGATGATGTAAATATGCCTCTTAAAGAAGTGTTTGGTGCTCAGCCACCAATAGAACTTTTAAGGCAATGGTTTGATCACGAAATGTGGTACGACTTGAAAGATATAGTCCCAATGAAATTGATAGATATACAAGTAAGTAGTAGTTGTATATACTAGTATACAAAGTTACTAGTACGTACTCATTTTTTACAGTTTATGTGTGCAATGTGTCCACCAGCAGGAGGTGGCAACACTGTAACCGCAAGATTTATTCGTCACTTTAATCATTTGTGTATAGACGAATTCCAGGAGCACATTCTTATCAACATATTCAGTAAGATCATGCTGTGGCATTTAGATACAAGGTATGGAACTTATTTGGCCAAAAGTCAAAACACAAAATATCTGTTCTTTCTAAGTAAAATTTTATTGTAAAATTTGTATTCATCTTTGATAAAAAATATGAAGGAAGGAGCATATCAAGCATATCAAAAAACTTAGGTCGACCTATGGGTAGTGTATGGGTGGTGTCTATGGACAAAGAAATAAAAAGAGACTGATAAATCTCATGGTAAAGAGTGGGACCGCGTTCCCGTAGCGCAACTCAGAATAACAAATTTGAAACCAATTAGCAGGACCATGGCAGGATGTACGTCTTTATTGCTGTGAAAGTTTTCAGTTTCTTTTAGAGCGAAAGAATGCTACTATTATAAGGGAATATATAAAAGAAGCAAAAATTGTATTGTTTTATAAACATATTTATTTATACATAAAAATAAATAAAATTTTTAAAATATAAAATCAAAGAATAACAATGTTTATTCCACCCACCTACCAATTTTAAATGCAGAAGAACTGAGTGTTGCAGGAAACGATCGGCCAATTTTTTTAAAGGGCATTAAAAATCTCATTTTCGAAAAAAAATGGAGCTGCCTGGTTATTGCAGCGACAATTCAACCCTTCAATTACTATCAGTAATTTTGGAAAAAATAAGCATTTTTACATATATATATATATATCTAAATTTCCCAGACATTCAGGCACTTTTTTAAATTAGTGTATTTTAAGATTATTAAATAAGTTGAAATAAGTACCTACATTTTTTAACCATCAGTTTTTGTCATAACTGCCTAATTGCAATAACAAATGGAATATCCAAGCAAAGAAGACTTTACGAAAATCATGAACCTGAACCATTTTCAAGTCCAATTTTAATCCTAAAACAGAAGTAAAATAGGTATATTAATTAAGTTTCTATCTGGTTACTATAAACCAGCTATAAACTACCTAAAAAATTAAGAAATATGAAATGTATTAATTTGTTATGTTAAGAGAGGTCCGAAATATTTTTGACACTACTACTTCGACTTTTTTATTAATAGGTTGATAAATATAACATACTTATTTTGTATTTTACCGGGTATTTTTAACATATCTATCAGAGAAAGGGGGTACCAAAACATATAAAAAATAGATGATACTGGCTCCTGCAGCAAGAACCAAATTTTGCGTTCTGAGTTGCGCTACGGGAACGTTGTCCGTCTCTTTGCCATTTAATTTGCCAGTCTCTTTTTTATTTCTTTGTCTATTGTTTACTACTTCTAAACAATAAATACACTAAGTAAAGACTGACAAATCCACAACATTTCATATCTATACATGAGTACATGGATAGCATTATATTCCTTCCTTAATCTTATTATTCAAAGGTATTCATGTATTTTGAAACTAGTGGATTTTACATAAAAAAATCATACATTTACGCTTTAAAAGTTCTGTTTGTTAGTGGAGTAATCCTAGAAATTTAAAATTTCTTTTACATTTTAGGGGATTTTCCAAAGATTTTGATCCATGCATTGAACAAATAGTGTTAGCTACGTTGGACATATATAAATTGGCACGAAAGAACTTACTCCCAACTCCAGCAAAGTCCCACTATCTATTCAATCTTAGAGATTTTTCCCGAGTTATTCAAGTAAGGTTAATTTATAAAGGACTTAAATTTATATAGTAAACGCCACGAATGTTTGGGAGTGATTAATCGCTTGATGAAGTTAGAATCGACATGCGCGCTATCATTTTTACATTAAAAACGTAAGTTTTTACCGCAGACGTAGGTATTAACGGCCCGGTCTAATCATCTGCCTGCGCTCCTCCTACTTATTCTAAAATGTTAGCGTGATTGACAAAGACGATACTGTATCGCGTTTCTTTGATTGATTCGTTTTTGTGCGTCAGTCCATTGGTGTGCTTGCAGTGCGACCAATGGGGCATTCCAGTTTATATTTATAACCAAATATATGTTTTGACAAGACTTTGACAGTTAAAACAACAAATTACAACAGATTATATATTGATTATTATATGACTTGAAACGCCGCGGCACTGGAATTAAGTTTTATGTGACGTTGAACAGATTAGTTCACATGGTAGCGACCGATGAATCACTCCCAAACATTCGTGGCGTTTACTATAAGAACTTTTTTACTTACTTTGATCGGTAGAATATGCTTCCTAAGTTTCCCAATACAATTCGGACCACTCTGTATAAGAGCTCAAATCTACATATGTAAAATGCTAAGGTTTATCTGTGTCGTCTCTACTGATGTAACGACTTGCTCTAGAAAGTTGCTTTTTTTACTAAAAGATTGCTAATTAGCTTTCTAAAAACTGTCGTCGCCGGATTTTTTGTTTTTCATTTAATTAAAAAAAAGTATTTTTTTTCCTGATGTCGTGGCGGATGCGCCAGGCTTCAACTAGTAGTGAATAATAATAGAGTTTCAATCATCTGCTAATGATGCTATCATGTGAAATGGTGTTTTATTTTGCTCTAAGATTATTGTATCAATATCCTTCCAGCTTAAAATATCTTTTTATATCTTTTTAGGGTGTTTTACTGTCTGTTCCTGAAGCCATGGAAGACTTAATGGCTATCAAACGACTTTGGGTTCACGAGGTTCTCAGAGTCTACTACGACAGATTGGTGGATGACAACGATCGGACATGGATAGTAGAAGCCCTAAGATCTGTTTGTCAGGATAAGTTGGAAGAAAATATGAACGGCATGTTTAGCAGGCTAGCACAAAAAGGAAAATTTGTTGTAAGTTGATTTTAGTCCGAAATGAAGGTTTACTAAAGTTCATATTTTATCTTTTCGTCAAAATTAAAACATATTCAGTTGATAAAATGATTTAGATTGGTGAAATGGAACTGAGGAAATTGATATACTGCGACTTCGCAAATCCCAAGGCAGACCAAAGACATTACATCGAGGTTCAAGATTTAGAGTATCTCAAATCAGTTGCAGAAGGCTATTTGAACGAGTTCAATAATATGACGAAGAAACCGATGAATCTTGTGCTGTTCAGGTAAATTTTAAATTATAAGTCGATGCCATGCAACGATACTCGGATGATACTGTTACTTTTTTATCAACGTTTTTGAAGTGATAGTTTTGTTGCCACAGCTACCCCATTCGGTGTAGATCTACCGCTTTGTAAAACAATTTAACCTCGCTATCTCGTGATAATCTACCCCAATGAAAAATAAGCTTGTGGCAACACTGGGTAACAATCTGTGTGCCATACGCGGCTAAGAACATCACTGTAATAAACTTGATAGTGTACCAACCTTGATTTCATGCAGATTTTCATCGATAGGTTTGTAGCTTCTGAATAAAGGTCTAGGTAAAGCCATAAAATAATTAACTAGAAAGAAGTGTCAACTCTGTGTTAAATCGTGGAAACACGATACGCCACCGAAAGCCTTCGTTGTCGTCTGGAGAACTAATTTTCCAATTGACAGGTTGACATGATCAGGACATGATGGCTTAATTTTCATTTCCGTTTCCGGTTATTCAATGGCGGGCCCTCTTTCAGTTCAAATGTATTTTGTATTTTTTCTTTTCATAAATAAAACCAAAAAATAATTTATTCACATATATTTATTTGAAATATGGAACAACGTGACTAAATAAATATAAAAATATAGAGGATTGTATTGTTTCAATACCAGTTAGTTAATTATATGTACTTTTTACGTAAATTAGTTAAGGTATAAGCATGACTTACAGTTATTTGTAAATAAACACACGTATTCGCAGACTTCAAGGACAGAAAACGGACACAGGGACATGAAAACGGGAGCCTTATACAAAAACCTGGGTATACCAAAACCTGAAAACAGAAAAACAATTTTTTTTATACTAAAATTAACAATGTAAAAATATCAATATTAAATTTATTTAATATTGATATATCAGGATAAAATATAAAAATACTGTTTAAAAAAGCGTCCTTTATTCCCAAAGAGACCTGGCTTATAAATCAAAAAGAAGCAAAAAGAGACTTTTAGTCGGATAACATAATCAGATTATCAGTCCGATTTATTGCATTAGTGACAATAAATCGCACATACTGGAGATAACTAATGTTGGCTATAGTTAAAAATGATCTTACCTTGCTGTAAATTGTTTCCATTTTCAAAAAAATCGCCGATCAAAAAGATTATAACACCATTTTCTTGCATCTAAAAAATGTAAAAACAGTGTTTATTTACTACCAATTTTTCATATACATGGGACATACCTATTACTGCAGAAACGTCATTTTCTCCAGGATTCTTCATGTAATATATATTTTATATACTTTATTACCTTTATAATTATAAATTTCAGCCGAAATATTAAATTGAACTTATTTTAATAATTAGAATTAAAATGGCGACGAATATTTTCGAATTTGTTCTAGAACAAATCTGAAGTTGTCTCTGAAACTGAAATCTGTCAATTATAAACTGTGAAGTTAGACAATAGTTAGACAAAAACAATGCTGTCCTTGTCTAGGCGGCCATACTTGTCGTGAGGAGAATGACAGGAATGACACTAATGACTGTTTCCAATTTTCCTATTTCACTGTCACCCCCCTGGGTAAAGCATCTAGCTCATCTGCCAGCTCACATTTAGAATTTTGAGTTATTCGTATAATTTAATAAAATTACTGTAAATCACTATAAATAATGAATTATTTGTACAGTACATCTGCTGGATCTGTGTCTATGAAAGGAATGCGGACAAAAAACATTTAAATAAACAGCAATATATTTTATTCGTCGACTTGACGAGTACGTCACCGCAAATCGCTCCGCCCACTCATTTTATTGGCTACTTGCAAATTTGTCGAATTTTTATTGATGGGATGCTAGACGACGCATTCTTTTTTACGAAAAACATCGAGAGAACATCGTTTCCCCTCTCACGGATACCCCGTAGCTACAGAATGGATAAACGTACTGTAATTGAGCTGTAATGTCTGTATTATTAATCCGGTAAATGATGGAGATAAACAATTGTGATTGATTAAATTTTTACTTTAAGATGTAACTTTTGTTAAGAACATTCTAAGAATTCGACAGAGAGAACACTAATAACTAAAGTGAGAGAGACCGACCATCGTTAATTTTTGAAGACTGTGTTAGTGGCGCGGCCTTTGGCGTCTAACCCGAACTATGAGCGCATTATCGATATAGTAGGTTGCATTCATACCTATATATTGGCGCCAAAAATTTAAAATTTGTATATTTGAATCGAATCTTAATCTTTCCAGTTTATAACAAGAAATCTTCGTAGTTTTTTTACATTTTTTTGCTGACAACGAAAATTTATTATTAAACTTTAAAGCATTAAAACCTATAAATAAAATACTGTGTAGGAACATAATAATTTATTTAACTCCATACTCCTTGCCATACTCCAATTCAAGGCTGCAATCTTCAATATCTTTTTATCTAACTTGGTTGGGAGTGAACAGGGAAGCACGGTTAGGAGCTCGCACAGAGTATCAGTAGGTATCCCGTAGGTATTCAATGTTTTTGATAGTATTCATTCTATAACAAGAACCTATCAGTTGAAGAAAATAATTTGTATTACTGGTACTGGTAATAATACCTAATCGTTCCATAGGTATCAAAAAAGAATGTGATGTTTTACTTTTACAATCGGATTTATCTCATAAGTTATGCTTATGTAAATTAGTAATGTACGATTATTATGTGCACTCACTATTACTATTATATAGGTATGTTAAAATAATTACCTTAAAAAACCTTTAAAGGAAACGTTTTGTCTGGATCTCAACCACAAAACAAAAATTACAAAAATGCCGTATAATCGTGGAACCTGAAATAATCACTAATGACAATAATCTTTTCTTCTGACAAGCTAAAAGAACAGGCACATTCAGTCAACAAAAATTTATTACTCCGATTATCCACAGATTTTTGTTATCTCCTTCTAGAGCTAAGAAATAGAAAAAGCTACTGACAATCTAATTAATACTGTCAAATGTTTAACTTGCAATGGTGAAAACTTCCTTTTTTGACCGCCTAAACGCTATGCGCGTCTGGGAAGCGCGGTGACAAAATAAACTTGTCTACGAAATGCCCTATTCCACAAGCCCTCTCACTTTAGTTATTAGTTTCTCTCTGGAATTCGAATAAAGAATTGAATAATGACAAGACAAGTAACATCTGTCTAAAAAAGACAGCGATTTAGAGTGACAATTTGGTTATGTAAAATTTAGAGTGGCAATTTTGAATATGCAAAAGAAATACATATTCTAGTTTACTGGTTGCCTAACGATTAACATTAATTTAAAAATAAATCCTCAACATGAATAATGAACAAAACATTTAAACAGACCACACAAAACAAATTGTCGGTTTGTAGCAGCATATGCTTTGAGCAAGAAATTGCATGCACGTATACACGGTATGGTGTATATTGCACAAGTATATTGTTTAGTAGAAAAATGTCGCCGTAAAAAGAGAGCTGCAGCCACTGCTCTTCTTGTTGCAATTTTACGCAAACAGTCAAGAAAATCTAGAAAAAGAATATGGGTTAAAGAATGGATTGCCAGAAGGCCTAGTCTTGAAGCTTACGCGATGTTATTAAAAAAAGAAAGAAATGAAGACCCAAAGCATTTAAACAATTTTCTGCGAATGTCAGAAGTCGATTTTACTTTTTCTTTTTATAATTTTGTTCCACTCCTGGTTTGCTTGGGTACGAATATTATGTAGCTTCCGCCTCTTGTATCTCAGCCTCAGTTGTGTTGAATTTGTCAGCTATAAATTTGATTGCTTTTTGCTTTTTTGATTGCTCTTTGCTCTATCTCTGTAAATTTTCAATTTTTTTTGCCACAATTCCGGAAATCCTTCAAATAAATTAATCAAAGTAATGGTATCTTCTTTCGACCACATAGTCCATTTTAATATCGTTAATTAACACGCCTTCGAAAGAAGTATTAGAAGTAGCATTAGAAGTTATAAAAAAATGATGGAATGTTTTTTTATAAGAATTTTCTTTTAGAAAAAATATTAAAACAACTAATACTATGCGACGGAGCTGTTCGCCGGTGAGCAATGGGTCGTAAGCTAGTGAAAATTAATTGTGCTAATTACGTCTTTATAATATACTGGGCGCCACTCAGTTTTCCATTTACTTTCAAAAACTTCTAAGTTGAGAACTGAGAAATCAACTCAGAATATAGGTATTACTTATTTTAGGAATTACACAAATGAAACGCTGAGATAAACTAACAACTAAGTATAATTAATAATTAAATGTTAATTAGAATAAAATAAGACTATGAATAATTTGATGTTTGAAAATATTTGTGGTAAATAGTATGTATTAAAATAGATCACTCAAGATGGTAGTTAAATCTGCACGCTTCTGAATATTAATATTTTATTAATTATTCCGCAAAAAGTCTGGCGATCTTGGTACCAAAATATAAGGACTCTTTATATTAAAAAAAACCGTACTATGTAGATATCAGAAATATGCATAACATGAATAAAATATTTCAAGTGACTCTAAAGTAATAAAATATCTAATATGCCTGAAGGGCTTAAAGCATTAAAGTGAACTTAAATTATATAATAAGAAATGATCTGGCCTTTTATATCCGTTCTGGTCACAAGCTGGTTGTGGTGAACTGCTGGAACTGGATCGTTATTATAACGTCTCCACACAGACAGGATCGGAAAATGCTGTATATTCAGGAGATTCTTCCGTTATTCAACGTGTATATTGTAGGGACAAACGTGGCCCAAATGTCAGATACAATAAACAAAATGGTACCAGAAATGCGTACCATAAAATAAAACCCTGTACAAATAGAAAAAGGGTATTAGGAAACGTTATGTAAAAAAAATAAAAGTCTTACCTCCGCTCAGAGGGTTTTCCCACACAAATTTCAAAAATGCCAAAAAAAAACGCCGATAATTCTATCGGGTTCAGCTTCAACCACCAATATAGCGATAAAGGTAGGCACGAGGTATATACCTATACCGTCAGAAATAAAGTGACGAACAACTTCGACCGGACTGAAATAACTAGCCAGAAATATACTTGTAAAAAAATAAAAGATAATAGCAATACTTAGAATGCCATCTCGGTGCGAGGACTCAAACTTGAATTGTTTAAATAAAATAATTCTGTACATTTATTTAAATTGTGTGAATTTTAAATAAAATGCTACAATCACTTGCACTAAAAACTTTCAACAAGATGGAAATAAATTTTAACTTGCCAGAGCACTCTCCCAACCTGTTTACACTTGCAAGCCTCTTTTGTCGCAACCACTTCCCCGCCAGTTTTGTGACTTGCTGGGAGAGTGCTTTCAGATACTGTTTACATTATGCAAGTTGGGTAGAAGTGCTCTGCCCGTGTAAACTACGCTTTAGTTGTAGTTAAAGATATAGATGTAGAGAATTGTTTTTATAAAAATTAAAAATACATTATAAAATTATAAACCTAGAATCAGTGGCGCGTCTAGAGATTGAGTTTGGGAGGGGTAGTTTGAATATTCAAAAAAGTACTAAATTTGAATTAATTTTTTGCTAGAAGTTACTGTAACTGTGGAAAAAAATCTACTTGGATTGGTTTGGATATTCTGTTTTAATTTGTATTATTAACTTTTTTGTAACAATTTTATTTTATACCAAATTTTATCTTATTAATTAATTTCTTTCTGGGAGGGGTAATTACCCCCATTACCCCTCCCGTATATGCGCCCTTGCCTAGAATAGTATACGGTTTTATATTAACTCTATTTTTTTTGAAGTTTATAAAAAGCATTCATAAATAATTATATATCCTTCAAATCCTTCAATTTAATAGCTGTTAGTAAGAAGTTTCACACACAATTTTTTTATCTTCAAATTTTATATTTCTCTTCTTTAGATTTGCTATCGAACATCTATCCAAAATCTGTCGAATCCTGAAACAGCCCAGAAGTCATGGTTTATGTGTGGGAGTAGGGGGTTCAGGTCGCCAATCCTTGACACGTTTAGCAGCTCATATTTCTGAATATGAGCTGTTTCAAGTGGAGATCACGCGATTGTACGGAGTGAACGAATGGCGCGAAGACGTCAAAGTGATCTTAAGAAAAGGCAGCGCTTCGGATCAGCACGGCGTGTTTTTGTTCTCTGACACTCAGATCAAGGAAGAAGCTTTCTTGGAGGATGTGAGCAATCTGATGAACTCTGGAGAGGTATGGTAGTTAATTAAATCTTACCTGAGTAAAAAACATAGTATACTACTAAAATTATTTGCACTTACTTAAGACTCACCTTGTACAGGGCGTAATTTTTTATATGGCACACCCTGTATATTTTTAAAAGTGAGAAAGGGGTGAAAGATACCCTCTCATAACTGCTAAGTATTTCTAATTCTTGTCTAGATTATACGGGCAATTTGAAAATATAACCTTTATTCTTCCGCAAATATATCCATAGGATTAGATCCATAGGCACTAAGTCCGGCGGCCTCGACGGCCAACGGCTGGGATCTTGCTTAGCTATTCGACTATTCTTGAAATTGGCTGCAAAAATTTGCTGATAACTTCAGCGTTCCGAGGCGGTGCCTCGTCTTGCTGAAAAAATATGTTTTTGAGTTTCATTAGGGGTATATCATCAATAAGGGGTCCAAAGCCTACTAGTTAAAAATGGCTTTTAAAGATTCTGTATTTCGAAAGGGATTATAACAAAATATCAAGTGGGCTATATTTTTGGAAAGGTAATTTTAAGTTTTTTTGAGTTAATTAAAAATAAACAGGGTGTCCCAATCATATTTTTGATAAAAAGTGAGAAATTGAGACACCAATATTAGTTTTCGTCTATCTCCTATAAAAAAGGGTGTTTCCCTTTAAAAGCGTCGAATTTGACCCACCCTGTACATATACAAATATATTTTTTTTTGTTTTAGGTTCCGAATTTGTTCACTGCCGAGGAAAAAATCGAAATATGCGAAAAGATGCGTCAATTGGACAGACAAAGAGACAAATCCATGCAAACCGATGGCAGTCCAGCTGCTTTGTTCAACTTTTTCGTGCAAATTATTCGTGAACAACTCCACGTGGTCTTGACGATGAGTCCCATAGGAGACAGCTTCAGAAACAGGATCAGAAAGTTCCCGGCGTTGGTCAATTGTTGCACCATAGATTGGTTCCAGGTGTGTATCGGTCTAATAGCAAAAAGAAATCTAACAATATATATTTAGGACTTGTTGTAGACAACTCCTTAAAATGTGATTTGCACATACACAGAAACTTTATCAAAGGAACTAAGCGCTGCCTGTTTTGCGCTAAGATAAGTTTCTAAGGAACTTAACTTATCAACCTCTAGAATAGCCTATTATGCCCTTTTTGAGTCACATCTTCGTTATACCCTTCCATTCTGGGGTACTTGAACGCAACAAAATTTGATCGTATTTTCAAACTTCAAAAGAGAGCAGTTCGATATTTATTGGGACTGAACAGTAGAACTCACTGCCAGAATTTCTTTAAAAATTTCAAAATACTGACTCTTCCTTCTTTATTCATTTTTGAATCCGTTTGCTTAATCCGCAAGCACATATCTGCTATTCCCGAAAGGCCATCTCACAACGATCCACTTAGGGCGGAGCACGATCTTTATCTGCCAACCCCGAGCTCAGAACTAGTTGAAGGCTCAATACTGTACAATGCCAAAAAAAGTACAATCATCTGCCTTTGAATATCAAGTCGCTTTCATTCTTTCCCGCTTTTCGCAAAGCTCTGAAATCATACTTACTGGAGAGAAACATGAAAATATAATTTAATTTTTTCCTAAGTCCTAAAAATCATAACGCGTTTCTATGTCAATTTATTTTGTCTAATAATCACAGACAAAGTAATATTGTAGAATGTTGACACTTTTCGGAATTCAATGTAAAAAAAGTAGCCGTGGCAACATAGCGACGCGCAGTTGTCAAATATTTTGATGACGTGGACGCCAGCTTTTATTGATTCTACTATATTTCTCGTTTTAGTCATGGCCAGAAGACGCTTTGCTGGCCGTATCGAAAAAATTCTTGGGAGAAATCGAGTTGACAGATCACGAGCGCGTGGTTTGCATTGACATGTGTCAAATCTTCCACGTGTCAACGCAGGAACTCTCCGGAGAGTTCTTCCTTAGGTTGAAGAGGTACAACTATGTGACGCCTACGTCCTATCTGGAAATGATCAACACTTTTAAGACCTTCCTAACAAATACACGAAAGTGAGTACCACCAAGTGAGATCTTATGCAATGTCTCAAATATTAGTAAGTTCACAAATATAAAGTATGTTCAGTATCGTTCGACGTTATGTCTATACTTTATACTTTTTAGTTTACGATTAAAAGAATTTCCTAGCAATAGCATGTGGTAGTCAGTTGTATCCATAGAGAAAGCCAAATATTTAGCTTATAACTCAGGGCCGATACAACGTTTTACATGGGCGACCTTCAACAAATTAGAGACAAGTTGCAATTTTGCATGGAGCTTCATTTTGTAGATCTTTAAACATCCTGATACCCCAGCGATGAACCGTTGAGCCCGTCACCCCAAGACCGTCCCTACAAGGGGTAAAAGTGGCCCTTTTTTACTTTTTCTTCAATAACTCTAAAACTACGAATTTTAGAAAAAAAAGTCACGAGTAAAAAATCGAAGAGAAGAAAATTTCCTACCATATAGGTAAAGAACCAAATTTTTTAGAATTTCAGTGGTGCAGGTGCGCATTCTTTAATTTAGGAGGATTGGTTTTAATATCCCACCATTCTGTGTTTAACTACAAATGAAAGCATTTTTGAGATAAATCTCGAGACCAAAAAATTTATTAGGATACAAGTTCCTATAAAAACGATCTTTTTAATTAAGGTAAGTTACCAGTGGCGGAGATAATTTTTTTAAATGTGCGTTTTTTACATTTTAAAAACATTGAATAAGAAAAATTGCAGTTTTACAAATAATTTCCAATGAAATAGGTATATTGAAAAATTACACGTTTAATAACAAAATAAGAAAAACCTTAGCTCAAAAATAGCATAACTTACCTTAAGGATAGTCCTCATTCACTTCCACATTTGTTGGGGTCATACAAGTAATGCCATTGCATTGACCACATGCCATAGTGCAGGTGAGTCCCATTCGCTTGAATGTACATGCTTTTTTACAGCCTCCCGAAAAGCAATTGCAAACATTTTTTTCTAAAACCCATGTAGGAGCAATGGGCTGGTCTGAATGTATTGGATTCATCTCTCGATTTTTCAGATTCCAACCCCAATCTTGCGGTGGTAAATTGTTATTTAACCAAGCCTGTACCTTAAGTTAAAAATGAGAATTTAGTTTAACATTTGAATGCAACATAAATTTAACTAATCTGATGAAAAAGTCCATGATATTTCGCACTATTGGAGGTAGGTGGTAATGATGCCAAGTTGAAGTTGGTATTAAGACTTCGTTAAGCTACGTACTTACGTACTGTTGATAAAGCATGTATCTGGCACTATCCAAATCTACTTTTTTGTCGAGTTTTTAACATATGCTGCTATAAAAAACTGAGATGTAACTTCTTCTAACTTCTCCTTTGTAGCCTCGGGATTATAAAATTCTTTTAATAGCTCACATAACTTTTTCTTCTGGATGGTGTTCACTAAATTAATCTTCCCTTTATTACATGTATGAACCGAACAAATGTGGAAGTAAATGAGGACTATCCTTAAGATAAGTTATCCTATTTTTGAGCTAAGGTTTTTTTTATTTTGTTATTAAACGTGTAATTTTTTAATATACCTATTTCATGGGAAATTATTTGTAAAATTGCAATTTTTCTTATTCAATGTTTTTAAAATGTAAAAAACGCACATTTAAAAAAATTATCTCCTCCACTGGTAACTGACCTTAATTAAAAAGATCGTTTTTATAGGAACTTGTATCCTAATAAATTTTTTGGTCTCGAGATTTATCTCAAAAATGCTTTCATTTGAAGTTAAACACAGAATGGTGGGTTATTAAAACAATTCTCCTAAATTAAAGAATTCGCACCTGCACCACTGAAATTCTAAAAATTTTGGTTCTTTACCTATATGGTAGGAAATTTTCTTCTCTTCGATTTTTTTCTCGTGACTTTTTTCCAAAAATTCGTAGTTTTAGAGTTATTGAAGAAAAAGTAAAAAAAGGGCCACTTTTACCCCTTGTAGGGGTGGTTTTGGGGTGACGGGCTCAACGGTTCATCGCTGCGGTTTCAGGATGTTTAAAGATCTACAAAATGAAGCTACATGCCAAATTTCAGCTTGTCTCTAATTTGTTGAACCTCGGCCTGTATAGGCTCTGGGCTATTATAAAACAATAAACTTTTGATTTCTAAGCATAATAATTTCTCTTGACGGATGATAATCAACGGTCAAAATGACATTCCCGCAAATTTTGAAGTATAAATAGTGGAAAAGTCAAAAGTTTGTTAACTTTCTCTACTAATTGAAAAAGACTACCACTAATTTTGACGTTCTGAATGCTTACATTGAAATTAAAGGAAGGAACTTCTACGATAATTGAAATCACTAATTGCGAGGTTCTGAAAGAAGCTTAAGAACGAAAAAACAATACCGTATCACCAATATTCAATCACCAAATTAATATTTTTTTGTCTGTTTAAGACAATTATTATTGGGAAAGAGCCGGTATGAAGTAGGCTTAGAAAAACTAGAAAATGCCGGTGCTGAAGTAGCCGTTATGCAAAGAGCTTTGGAAGAGCTACAGCCTCAGCTAGTAGTAGCTCAATCGCAAGTGGAAGAAACAATGAAAATAGTCGAAGCCGAGTCCGCCGAAGCTGCTGAAGTTGAGAAAATAGTCATGGTGGACGAAGAGGTAACTTTTGTCATTGTTAGAGTGTATTCCGTTGCTTACCTTGGTTATGGTTTTATGTTCCGTTTCTATAGGTTTCCTGAAAGTTTTCTTATTACGAAACACGGTTCCTGAAAAATTCGGTTATAACTGTCACCTAACTAACCAGCACCGACCGGAAGGCTAGTTTTCTGGTTTTGTTTGTAAATCAATGTCAATTATGTGAAATCAAGCAAATATTGGAAGTTCGAGTGAAATTCTTATTTAATTTCTAAAATTTGTAATAATATTTTGCATTTACATCCAAAAGCAATGGAGGTAGGCAGTAAAGGTAAATAAATTTCATTAACTAAATAGAATGACTTTTTTAGGGCCATTTAAACTTATCGTGCAGCCATTGTTTCTTAAAGTCAGGAACATTTAAAGAAAACACGAAAAACAAGACAAGTAATCGTGAATGTTTTGTAAGGTATAAAAATATAAATATTGATTAGATTTGTTTATTTATTATTGATCTGTTTTAATATTGGGCCTGCAAATCTTCACTTGAGCTGTCTAACGAGTTTAACAGTTTCAAAGAACAGTTTATTAATAAAGTTATTTGACGTTTCCAGTATTTTACCAAACCGTTCCGTATCAAACCGAGGTTTTTCAGGAACCGCTCTTTACCGTAATTTACCGGTCTGGATCGCCTGGTTTTGCAACGGAATACAGCCTTAATTTCAAAATATTGACTTTCGATCTTATCGGTTTTGATTACAGGCCGCAAACGAACAAGCCAAAGCTGCCCAAGCCATCAAGGATGAATGCGAATCAAACATGGCAGAAGCAATGCCCATCCTGAACGCTGCTTTAGCTGCTTTGAATACCTTAACTCCTCCAGATATCACCATCGTGAAGACGATGAAGAATCCTCCGAAGGGAGTGAAGCTTGTGATGGAAGCTGTTTGCATCTTAAAGGTAACTGTTTACAAATGCATTGTTCAATACAAAAAATAGTAAAAAGAGTAGAAGACCGATTTTTTATGAAAGATCGTACTTTGAGATGCTGAAGTGTAATATTTTTTGATGTAGGATATAAAACCAGACAAAGTGCCTGCACCAAGCGGTATAGGAACGGTGGAAGACTACTGGGGACCTTCGAAGAAAGTCTTGGGTGACATGAAGTTCTTGGAGAGCCTTATCAACTACGATAAAGACAACATACCGCCGAGAATCATGGCCAAGCTAAAAGAACAGATACTCACCGACGAAAATTTCGATCCAGATAAGGTCAAAACTGCTTCATCTGCCTGCGAAGGTACGAAATGAAATCAACTAAAGCGTTTACTAATTTTTCGATGATTTTCAGGCATTTGCAAGTGGGTTATCGCTATCTCGAAGTACGACAAAGTAGCTAAGGTTGTGGCACCTAAAAAGGCGGCTCTGGCTATAGCTGAAGAACAGTTCAATACAGCTATGGCGTCGTTAGAAATCAAGAGGGCTCAGTTAAGAGAGGCTAGAGAAAAGGTATTGTAGATTGGATTAGATTTTTTGAGATACGGTACTATTATATCTAACTATGAATTAATTGGTTATCTATATAGGTAGCAAAATTGGAAGCAAGGCTTCACGAGGAAAAGAAGAAGTTCCAGACATTGACAGACGAAGTGAACCTGTGCACCCTGAAGTTGCAAAGGGCCGAAGAACTAATTGGAGGCCTTGGCGGAGAGAAAGACAGATGGAGAAGTACGGCAGAAGCTTTGGGTGAAAGATACAAGGTGCTAGTTGGTAAGGATGCAACATAATATTCCAATCTGTCACCATTAAATTAATTTTTGTCCGTCTGTAATCACTATTACGTAGATGCAGTTTAAGAATCGTCACTTACTTTTTAGAAAATCAAAAAATCTAATTACACATTCTCATAGCCACTTTATTAGGGCTATCTGATAGTATTTTTAGATTTTTAAATTAGCTGATAATTTGTGAGGTACAGAGGCCAACTTAATTTTTTTAAATACGCACCTGCATTTTTTATTTCAGATTTTGAAAGAACTCGGTCTCCTGAATACAATGATGTGCCACACTTTATACTTTTTTTGTTTTGGGTACCTTAACAGCAACAAAACTATTTAATTATTATTTAAAATAATTTCAAGTCCGACACTGGTTTCTTAAATTATTTAATCTGATTATATTCATCGCAACAATATTGTTCAACGCTAATTAATATTGAATAAGGAAAATCGAGCCAATTGGAAGATATTATTTTTAACTTTTTTTATTGTGAATTTGAAATCTCAGTGTGCGATCTAATAATATGTATAATATTAAACGTAGTTATTATAAATTAATCAACTTTTACAAACTAGTTTCTAATGTTCTATATGCTCGAAAGGGTTACCTCCCTCCCTATATTGCACAAACTTATTTTTCGATCAATTTTATTTGTAGCTCTTTGAACTTTCTTGATATACTTCCGAATGCATTTTGTACCTACCTTTATTGTAAATGTTGAGATGAATTGATTTCACTTTTACAAATGACGTCAAGTAATGTAGCCCCTTGGCGATAGGTCCAGGAACCTCGCTGGTCATTATACTGCTCCACCATTTCCAATCCATTTCCATTTTCCATTTCCAATCCGGGAAAATTATTTGATTGTTTATATTATATTATATTTATATTAATTATTAGCCGACCATACCAATAGGTATGGTAGGCTATTAAGATCGGCAAAAAAGAAGTTTTTTTAATTTTACTCAAAATGAGTTATTTGGGTCATAAATAACCTAAATACAAAATATTTTCATGGCGTCTGTCTGTCTGTCCCTCTGTCCGTCTGTAACACGATAACTCAAAAACCGCTAAACCGATTTTAACCAAATTTGGCACAAAAATACTGTGGCACCCAAGAATCTGCCCATTAGTTTTTGGTGGGGGTGGGGGGTTGGTAAGGGGGTTAAAAATTTAAAAAAATCGTAACTCCAAATTTACAGTAGCTAGCGAAACGCGGTTTTCAATTTAAGATTAAGAATAATATTTGCAACAAAATTTGTAATAACATCAAAATCAGTCAAAGTCGCAGTTTTTGAGATATTAACATATTTTAGTATGGGCGGCTATACGTGCCTCCCGGCGCCAATTTTTTTTTTATTTTATATTATTTTATTGCATTTGATTTTCCGTATGCAATGTTATACACCACATTGTTAAATTTGAAAGCTTATCAATACTGTAACGACGAATAGATTAAATATTTAAAAAAAACAGAGCCGGACTTGAAATTAGTTTAAACAAATTGTGTTCAAATGTCAAAACAAAAAAGATATTAAGTGTGGCATATCATTGTACTTAGGAGTTCAAGAGACCGAGTTCTTTCAAAATCCGAAATAAAAAATGCAGGTCCGTATTTAAAAAAATTAAGTTGGCCTCTATATCTCACAAATCAGCTAATTTAAAAATCTAAAAATACTGCCAGATAGCCATAATAAAGTGGCTATGAGAATGTGTAATTAGTTTTTTGATTTTCTAAATAGTAACAACAGGAAAAAATTAAATACATTTTCAGAAAAATCAGTTCTTTCCGAAAAACTCAATCCTTGAAATTTTTTAAACTTTTTTTATAGCATCTTGATGAACATCCGAAGGCGCAACTTTGCCCCAATTTAACCATCTTCGTATCTATTACAGTTTCCGAGATACCAATGCTCGTACCTCGAATTTGTAGGACCCTGTATATAAACAAATATTATCTTTCAGGTGATATACTGGTTTCAGCCGGCGTTGTAGCTTACTTAGGAGCGTTCACCATGCAATTCAGGACAAAACAGATCGAGTCCTGGGTGGACCAGCTGATTAAGAGCGGAATAGTGACCACGAAAGATTTTCAATTAACGCAAATTTTAGGAGAACCGGTAGTGATAAGGCAGTGGAACATCTACGGGTTGCCTACGGACAATTTCAGCATTGAAAATGCCATCATTATTTCGTAAGTATTGTACCCTGTATAACCATCATAAAAAAAAAAATATTAGAAATTATTTAGTTATTTTTTCTTTTTTCCAGGAATGCCAGGAGGTACGCACTAATGATCGACCCTCAAGGGCAGGCGAATAAGTGGATAAAAAATATGGAAAGGCTGCACAATTTGGCAATAATTCGCCTCAATCAGCCTGATTACGTTCGCATACTGGAAAACGCCATTCAATTTGGCCAGCCTGTAAGTAAAAATAACCCTGAATGAGCTCTAAAACTTAATACATACAGGGTCTGGCAATAGTGCGTCGAGTATCTGTAGCTCCTACAATAAAAATCTTGGCAATTTTGTTTAAGTGCAAACCCAAAATATGTTAGTGGGTTGGGATGTTTTTTTTTTAAATGGAACACCCTGTATATTATTCCATTTTTGGCTTCCTTTCAGATCACTTCACATAATCCTAAGATATGAGTAATAAATATATTTAATTATTTTTTTTATTCCCCATTTAAATATTCTAAATACAAAAAAATGTTCATTTTTGAATTCCTCCATCTATTAAAAAATAATATACAGGATGTTCCATTTAAAGAAACGAAGTAAAATTATTTTATATTTTAGAAAGTTTGGCGTAAAATTTTGAACACCCTGTATGATTTAATATTACGATATTTGTAACAAAGTTAAGTACAGACCATTTTGATTTCAGGGCAGATCGTTTTTTTTAATATTTTTTTAGGAATACCTAAAAAATACATTATTTTTTATTTATTCTGGTATAGTATCTGGGACACCCTGTATAATAAGGACAATGTTTCATAGACCATCATTTACTAAAAATTGATATAAAACGTGACAAAAATTAACACTAATTATGAAAAGATTAAAAAAAGGATTGACGAACACCATTTAAAAATCATTTTTACTCAATATAAAAATATATTAATAACCTTCTTAAAGCCAACTGGCAGTAAGTGTCATTAAAAAGTAAAGAAGAGTACGCGAGCCAAGTATTTGACGTGTAGGGCTTGACATCGCTAAAATTGTCATTGGTTGTCATTCCCCAGCCGTCTTTGACGCCGTTTTTTCGATCGTATCGTATGTCTATTATATTTTTAGGTACTTCTGGAGAATGTAGGACAAGAATTAGATCCAATATTGGAGCCGGTTTTGGCTCAACAAATATTTAAACAAGGTGGCGCAATGTGTTTGAAATTAGGAGACTCGGTAGTTGAATACAGCAGTGATTTTAAGTAAACATTTCGATATTTTCCCTTTACTACTATTTATTTTTTTACAAACGATTACGTAACGAACTTTCATGCAACTTCAATGCTAGAAACTTCACGATTTTGACATTTGTAAATGTTACAATCAGGAAGAATTATTTTTTTAATCCAGGTAGGTAAATTTTAAATTGAAATTTCAAGGTTATATATAACGACAAAACTACGTAATCCTCACTACTTACCTGAGGTAGCTGTGAAGGTGACTCTTGTGAATTTCGTGATCACAAAAGCCGGCCTGGAAGATCAACTTTTGGGCATCGTGGTTGCCAAGGAACGACCCGACCTGGAAGCGGAAAAAAATGCTCTCATCATACAAGGAGCTGAAAATAAACGGTAAAAGAATTACACCATAGCAATTTATAATCTCGAATGTTTTTATTTTAAGTTAATCAAGATATTTACCATTATTTTAACTTAAATAAGCTTTAAATTAAAATGTTTACGTACTTTATTATTCTGTTTAGTAATTTTTTGTTCTCTTTTTGAAAATTGTTGTAGAAATCTTAAAAATTAAAGAGTGTTTTTATAATAAATAGTTATGCAACTAATTATACACCGTATACGTGTATAACGAATTCGAATTTCTAATATTAATGCGTTTTGCAGTTCGTTGAAAGAGATTGAAGATAAAATTTTAGAAGTTTTGAGCACGTCCCAAGGTAATATTTTGGAAGACGAGACCGCAGTACAGATTTTGAGTTCTTCAAAACAACTATCGAATGAAATAGCCGCAAAGCAGGCTGTGGCCGAAGTTACGGAAAAACAAATTGACAAAGTAATAATTGAATTTTAAATTATTTAATGTTTTAACTGGTTTTTTACCTTCTTCTAGGCTAGACTGGAATATACTCCAATAGCTGTGCATTCGACGATATTGTTTTTCACTATCGCTGATTTGGCCAATATAGATCCAATGTATCAGTATTCGTTGGTTTGGTTTGTAAATCTGTTTAAATCTACCATAGATAACACAGATAAAGTAGAAGATGTTACCATGAGATTAGATGACTTAAGAAAGGTATTTATACAGTAGAATATCAAATTTCAGATAAAGCTACCTTGATATCGTTAAATATCATGGATAAACAATAAAGACATTCAATAAGATGCTTTATTGACCTGCAATGGCTTAGTAAACGCACTAATTTTTGTGTAATTTTATTTATAGCCATCGCTGACGCCGTTTTTTTTTCGATCATATTATTCCAAGCAAACTGAATTCTCTGACACCTTTTTTTCAACATGGAATAGTAAATAGGACAAAAATCAGCTAAATTAAAAAAAATATATGATTTTGAATCTAATACCTAATTTTTTACTTATTTTTGTGAGGAGCTAGTGATAATATTTGTCAAACTTATACAGGGTGGCGCCTCTCATACGCCGCGGAGGCTCCAAGGAGAACGAAATGAAATGAAATTTTGGGAGCATATTTATGTAGGTTAATTGAACGAATTTTATAAAATTATATAGAGTTCTACAGGGCGTCCTCAAAAAAAGTTACGTATCAAAGTTGTTTTTTTTGTAATGGAATTCCAATTTTCGGAATCGGACACTAGTTAGGTTACTAGTTTGCGCACATAGCACGCCCACTTATGGCCTCTAAAATTGTGCACAGCGCCTGATCGGCACAGTTATTAGAGATATATCGGAAAACCGAATAGCGTCAAACAATTCATGAAAATTGGGCTAAAAATGTAACACTTTTACATTTAACACAAAAATTTGACAAAAAAATGTTCCGTTGCGTTTTTTTGCATTTCAGTGTAAAAAAAATGAAAGATACTGGGTACACTTTATTAGTCTTTTATTTCAATATTTTTCTAGGTTTTTACCTACTACTTGTACGTGAATATCTGCCGCAGCCTGTTCGAAAAGGACAAGCTGCTGTTCGCCCTTCTGCTCTCCATCAACCTGCTGAAAAGCATTGACGCCGTGAACATAGCCGAGTGGATGTTCCTGCTAACAGGTGGCGTGGGCCTCGACAATCCGCATAAAAACCCGTCGGATTGGCTGGTGGTCAAGTCGTGGGACGAGTTGTGCCGTCTCAACGACTTGCCCGCTTTCGAGTAAGAACTTTTGGTTTAATTTTATTTATTTTATACCATAATAAATGCAATAGAAATAGGATTTCTATACAAGTTTTTGGAAATTCCGGACAAGTAAGCTATAAAATCCTAAAAAAACTAAATTATGAATATACAGGGTGGCGCACCTCATTCGCCTCGGTTGATTATACGAAAACGGAAAGATGTAGAAACAAAATATTTTATGGGTATATGTAGGAACACAATGTGCATAATTTAAAATTATTTAAAGATCGCTACCAAAGTTATATTTTTTCTTGTGGAACACACCCGGTATTTTATTTCATTTTTGGATTCTTGCGCCCAAAAAAAGGCATTTATGATAAAGGTTAAATATGTTTAAAATCTTTGGTTTTTGAGATATTTAAAGATGTTTAAATATGCATGCTACAATAGAATAGATAATCTATTATAACAACCTGTACATTACTTTTCAGAATTAATTCTTATACTGAATTTAAAGGTAGAGAAATAAACTCTACTGAAAAATGTTATTGCTTTATTAAATTTAGACAGGCGTACCGAAAATTGCTGATCTATTTTAAGGATTTATTTTACATAAAAACTTCGTTATTTTAAATACAACACCCTGTATTTTTCAGACAAGACAAGATAATAGCAAGGCAAATTAATAAAATTGCGTTTGTCTCATCAAGAAGGCCGAAATCGACAGAATGTCAAGAAACAATTTTTAATCGGCATTAAACTGCTGACAATATTTCGCTAACAAGAGAAAAAAGTCAGTGACGTACATGCATTTTTTAAAAATATATTTCAGTGATAACCGCTATGCACGTCCCTGGTGAATATGTCGACACTTTTTAGCTTTCAATAGTATTTTTTTAAAGTATATTTATAGTAACTTTTACCCTCAAAATTTCATTCGAAACGCTGTAAAAAGTACTTGGAAGAAAATTACAATAAATCGAAAAAATATTAAGACTTTAACACCCTGTATCTACGAAACAAAGCAGAATCGGACCTATGTTGGTATGAAAAATAAATCTTATTTTTACGTGAGCAATCTCCTCGCAAGAGGTGGTACATGTTTTTTGAAACACCCTGTATATTTAAATTTTTTTCTTACCAATTTTGTTTAAGAATATCTGTTTTTACGTCTATTAAAGAATACCTAAACTATTTTAAACACACAATTCATTATTTTTTAGTGGCATTATAAAACATTTTACAAATAACTTGCCAAAATGGAAGGAAATCTTCGATTCCGGGGAACCCCAAAAGAAACCTCTACCGTCTCCATGGGACAAACAACTGGATTCTTTGCAAAAATTACTAATTTTGCGTTGTATACGATACGACAAAATTCTACCAAGCATCCAGGATTTTGTTACAGGTAAGGATTACCTTGTTCACTTTTTACATCAAATTTTCAAAAGAAACAAGGAATAAACATTTTTTTTAATTCCCTATATGATATGCAATATTTTTATATTTTTACAGAACACATTGGAAAACAATTTGTCGAACCCCCACCATTCGATTTGAACTCATCCTTTGCTGACTCCCATTGCTGCATTCCTCTGATCTTCGTACTGACTCCCGGAGCTGATCCAACGGCCGTTTTGCTGAAATTCGCAGACGATCAAGGTTTTGGTGCGGCTAGATTGTACTCCTTGTCTTTGGGACAAGGACAAGGACCTATTGCCATCAAATTGATCGATGAAGGTGTCAAAAATGGTACCTGGGTAGTATTGCAGAACTGCCATCTTGCTAAAAGTTTTATGCCTACGCTTGAAAGGGTACGAAGAATTAATTTTAGGAGAATTTTATAATTTTTTTCATAGCAACTGTTAAAATTGCCTTATATCTATCAAAAATAGTAGATAAAATAGTACTTTAACCGCAAGGGTAGATTAAATGATACTTTAACAGCGAGAATAGGTTAAAAACTTGATTTCTTCTCGCACGTTTTATATTTGCTTCCATTTTTGAAAATGTTTGTATTCCTTTTCATAAGTTATTTGGAATTTAAATGGAAGTAGTTTGGATACATGGCGTTTGTCGCCTCAGCCAGAATATCTGTTGGTAATTTACTTATCGTTTTGGGACATTTCTGGCTCCAATTCAATCAGCAATAGACACGAAAGAGAATTAAAAAATGTTGACTCAAAACTGACAACTAAAGAGACAGCTTTATTTATTTGTTAAATTACATAGAAACCAACGCCAACCCAGCACAATATTTTTTCTACTCGTAATAAATTCCTTGAAATAAAAATTTCTGAATATTTTTTAAAACGTAACTCGCTATGGAAAAAAAATAGTGTTTTATACACGACGATAAAATTGCATTATCGTCTTGTATAAAAATAACTATTAACTTGTTTTATTGTGTTTTTTATAGATTTGCGAGAACTTGACACCCGATTCAACGCATCCAGATTTTCGCCTATGGCTCACCTCCTACCCGGCAGACCATTTTCCAGTATTAGTACTCCAGAATGGCGTAAAAATGACCAACGAGCCGCCCAAAGGGCTCAGAGCAAACATACTCAGGTCGTACCTAGGCGACCCTATTTCAGATTCCGAATGGTTCGAAGGCTGTAAGCAGGGCGACGTTTTCAAGAAGCTATTGTATAGTTTGTGTTTCTTCCACGCCACTGTACAAGAAAGAAGGAAATTTGGAGCTTTAGGGTGGAACATACCGTACGAGTTTAATGAGACTGATTTGAGGATTAGTGTGATGCAGTTACAGATGTTTTTGAACGAGTATGAGGTAAAATACTTAATTTTTTTTTTATTTTAGAACGTATTTTTTAAACGTATTGAGTAGCCGATTTAAGCTTCATTTTTATGCATCCGTTATCCGACGATACGATGATACGATATTAATTTTATTGGTTGAATTGAAAGACTTCGATTGGTTAGAAACGGTTAACCAATGAAAGCCTTTAAATTCAACCAATAAAATTAATATCGTATCATCGTATCGTCGGACAACGGAGGCATGAGAATTAAGCTTTACTACAATAAACAAAAAATTTATGTTGTTTATTGGCGTCCAACGTGAGGCTCCACAAAAAAAGACTTTTTTATTTTGACCGGTACCTAGTATTTTTTTGTCTACCTATTTGGGTGTGTATTGTATAGTATTTTGTATACTTATTTAGGTATAGAAACAAAATTACTGGGTACTGGTCAGAATAAAAATATTTTTTGAGAAGCCTCACGTTGGGCGCCAAAATTTACAGATGCACGGAAAAGACAAATATATTTTCATATTTTTTTTCTAAAACTCTAGAACGGTATGGCAACTTGGAAAAGTATAAACGAGATTAGCCATTTTAGAATAAGCAGAAACTTTTATGAAGAATGCATTTTAAAAAGTTTAGAATTTTAGTGAGTTTAGTTTTAAATTCATTTTTTTTCAAACGTCACAAAAGTTTAATTTTTGCAAAGTGATTGACATTATAAAAGGGTAATTTTAAATGCTATCATAAAAGTAACTGTAAAAGGACACTGGCATAAAAGTAAAGCACTTTTACGCCTAAGCACAAGAGTAAAAGTCGGCGTTACACTACAGGCTTGCTACAAAAAGCAATATTTTTACTTCTAGTAAAACAATATACTATTTTTCTCTTGCAAAGATGACGCGGGGACATTCTGAAGATAATATTGACATTAATTTGAAAAAATAAAAAGAGACTGCAATATAAATTGAAATTTCCTTAAATTAATATTGGCATTCCCGTATACTAAAGTAAGAAATACACAGAATTGTGACATATTTTTATATTGTCTCCTAGGATATCCAATTTGACGCCCTGTTATACCTGACAGGTGAATGCAATTACGGAGGAAGAGTGACAGATGACTGGGACAGGAGGACACTAAACACTATATTGAGAAAGTTCTACTGCAAGGGAGTAGTTGAACAACCGAACTATCCCTTTGATCCTACAGGTTAGTTACTGGATTTTTGGAAATTTGCGTATCATATTTTTTGATATTGCGATAAAAAATAATATGGAATTTTTAAGCTTCATCCAGAACCTCGAAATGGGAGGAACAATTTATTCACAATTAAATTATTTATATTACATTATAAATTAAAAATTATTCACAATTTAAAAAAGTTACTCAGAACCTCTAAGGAACCTCTAAATTATATGAATAAATTAATGGTTTCAATTAAACTTTATAGTTAAGGATTTCAGAATGTCTAAAAAATACAACGCTGTGCCGATCAAGCTTAATCACGTGACTAAAAGTTTACTTAGTATGAACTATACCGTGTTGGCAACTGTTACTTTTGGATCGGTATTTACATGTGTCGATGTAAATCGCATAGAGATCTTATTAAGTCGGAGTGAGAGAAATGCGACGGTGTGCTGTTGCGGCGTTGCCGGTACGCCTTTCCCTATCAAGTAAAGTAAAATTACGATCGCAAACCGCTTATTTTTAAAAGACTTTTTTTCTCGAAAAGATAACTAGATAAAAGCATTAGATATGTTTCTGAGTATCTGAAACGGAATCATAAGGATATGGTCTGGGTGTCCATTTTTTTATAACGAGAAAACGTCAGTAATCGCGATAATTTAAAAACTCAACTTTTTAATAAATAACACGCCATAACTTAAGAACCGCTTTAGATATTGAAACTTTTTTTATTTTGAAGATCGGATCTTTTACAATATATGTTTAAATAAGAAAAATTCGATAAGGTTTTTTTTCCATTCAAAAATTTAAAAAAAACCATCCATTTACTTTTAGTGCATAGTAATTTTCAGCAATCGTGTTACTTTTTTATTTATAAAGGTTTTCACTTACTGTCTGCCAAGAAAATATAGCAGAAATGTTAAGAAAGTTTTTAAAAAAACTACAATCAATTATTTCTAATAGATTTTGAGATATCGATTTTTGAATTCAGAGTTGTAATAGCGCGACCACTGTCGAACACCAACTCAATTCCGCTTATTTTTACCAATAATGCAAGTGTTTCTAACTGGCACTTTTTTTGGCACACAATTTTCAAGCTATAGGGAAAATTAGAACGACTCTTCACATTGCCCTAGAACTTTAAGTACTGACAGAGGTACTGATTGGGTTGACCGGTCGACTGCGACAAATCTGCTATATCTCCTTCCACGTCTCTTAGCAATGTGCACAGCTTCTCAGTTTATTTCATACGTTTGGCAACGTGCTTACTGTTTTCTCTTTGTTCAGTACATTATAAACACATTGTACTTTTCTTACATACGGAAATCTCGACCCAAGACTAACCTTTGCCAGCCCTTAGTATAAGGAATATTATAGTGTCTTGCTGGACAAACTATAGTTAAGTTTAACTATTTTTGAAATATTTTAAGAACGAAAAATTACGTCTGCTCAAAAAAATTCTGTCATAGAATTTCGATAATTTCCCCGATTTAAATGAATGTTTTGTCGTAAACAGGTGTATATTGCTGTCCCGACAAGACCGACTACGACGAATTCATGAACTACACGAGGTCTTTGCCTTTGATCACCCATCCGGAAGTGTTTGGCATGCATGAGAACGCCGACATATTGAAAGATCAGCACGAAACGAATTTGATGCTGAGCAGCACTCTTCTCACGCAGGTATAGAAAGATTTTTTTATTTTTAGGTTTTTATTTCGATTTTTCATATTAACTCTGTAATGCAAGGTAAATTTACAGTTTTTTAGCCAAATTTTGAAATATTAAAATTATTAAGATACTTTAATTCTATTTTTTCGTACAATACACTTTTATAGTAATTATTGATATTCTAAAAATTCTGAAGATTTTATACAGTGTGGCTCGAACTATATTCCGAAAACTTCGGCAGTATATTTTTCATATAAAAATAAATAAAAAATCTCGTCTAAATGTATGTCCTAAATTGCGTAATTTCGGAGATACAGGGTGTAGAATTTTCAATTTTATTTCGATTTTTTCGAAATAATTTTTGAAGTAACGTCAATATTTGAATGAAAAATGTCTGGGAGTTTTTTGATATGATAAATTTAACTTTGATGTCAATATAACCGTTATTTGTAGGGGGCGAGACATACATGTGTTTTAACTGTTTTGACGAATAATAACTTTTTGTGTGTTCTTTGAGTGAAAAAATGTACATTTCCGTGATTTCTTACGTAAGAAATCTATCTCTATTAGTAAAAATCGCTACGAGCAACCGTTCTGAAGATATTTTGAACACAAAAAATTAACATGTTGAGTAGATAGTTATTTGACTGAATAAATGATAAATTTGGGAACCTCTTATTTTTTTAAATTAATCATAAATTTTTCTTCGAAATAAATGATGATAAACAGTTTCTGTTTAATTTTTGACACAAAATCGTTTGAAATTTATGATTTCAATCAGATAAATCTATTTAGTAAACATGTTTAATTTATATTAATGATTTTATACAAGTACGGACGAAAAGTTATTAGTCTTCAAACCAGTTACAAAAATATATAGATGGCGCCCTCTCCAAGTAGGAGTTATATTGACATCAAAATCAAATTTCTCATGTCAAAAAACTCCCAGACACCGACTTTCGTCCGAATATTGACGTTACTTCAGAAATTATTTGGAAAAAATCGAAATAAAAATGAAACTTCTACACCCTGTATCTCCAAAACTAAGCATTTTAGGACATATATTTATACGAATATTTTTACTAATTTTTACATGCAGCATATGCTGCCGAAGTTTAAAGAATACAATTCGGACCACCCTGTATAAGTTAATAATACTTGATTTAATATAATTTTTTAATGTAGATACTGTAAAAATAATAAAAAATAACAACAACAACAACAAATGTTAATTTTTATCTTTTTTTTTGTTATTTTATTGCTTCATAAAATTATAGGATAGATGGGTAAGTTTAAGGGACTGTCTCAGAATAAATAAATGATTTTAATTATTTGATTTATTTAAATTTGTCTTGTCCAGGATTTATATAAGTTTAAGGTAAGCGTAATTATTATTTTTAGTAAATTTACTTTTAATTATATAATTTTTATTAAAAATTTAAACATCTTTTCTGAAGAAATTGAAGGTAAGAATATGAATTTTAATATTGTCTTGAAGTTTTAACAGTTGTTTAGTTTAACAGTTTTAACAGTTGTTGTTATAACAATTTATTTTATGTTTAGATGTGTGAAAGCACTAAAGTGCGTATTTTAGTTATCCTTTAATGGCATGTAGTAGAGATAACTTTATTTTTAAAGTTTTTACTTAAGAGTCTTACTTAAAACTTCTTACTTATTACGCTGTACTGTTCGGGTCGCTCTCAGGGGTCGGATAAAGCGGGTGTGTGGCCGAAGGAATTATATATTATATTTTAGAAATCTGCCTAAAGCTTAGCCCGATCCTGTCGTGTTAAGCCACACCCAAAATTCCAAACACACATGCATGGATTAAGGCTTGATTAAGGTTTGCAGAGCTTCAGCATTTACCATAAAATAGCGAGCAATTTGTTACAAAATCGTATAAATTATATATGACTGTAATCAAAAAGCTTTAATCTACTTCCGTATTGTAACGGAATTTTAAATTATGTCTTTATTTTCGAGAAAATTTAGTCCAAACATAAGGAATATTTCTTTGAGATTTGACCATCAAAATCTTAAAAATAAAGAAATTGTCTAAAAATGTGCTACAATACGGATATAGTATAATCCTTTATCTTTAATTTACTTCTTCATTTGTGTAAAAATACTTATCCAGTTTTACATAAAACGTTAAATGCCGAACGCTTATTTTGCTACTTTTTTGGACTAGTGAAATGGACTCAAATGAATGACGTGTTTTTCTGCATGATAAACTCAGATGCCAAAAAGCAAAGTTGTTACTGAAATGTTTAATATTAATTATTTATTGAAATTATATCTCTTTGAAGGACACAATGTCCGCCTCTAGCTCGACCAAGTCACCCGATGACATCGTCATGGAAGTGGCAGCTGACGTTCTGGCAAAATTACCCAATGATTTCGATCGGGATGCTGCTATGGAGAAATACCCTGTATCTTACGCGCAGAGTATGAACACTGTTTTAGTGCAGGAGATGAACAGATTCAACATATTACTCAACGTCATCAGGACCAGTTTGAAGAATGTCCAAAAAGCTATTAAAGGTTAGAAAAAAAAACTTTTCATTTATAACCGCAATTTTTCTTGACGGATGATAATAAAAGGTCAAAATGTTATCACTCGCAAATTTTGAAGTACAATAATTAGTGGGAAAAGTTAAAAATTTGTTAACTTTTTTTACTAATTGAAAATGACTACCACTAATTTTGACGTTCTGAATGCTTACATTGAAATTAGGGGAACACATTTCTACGTTGTTAATTGAAATCACTAACATAGTTTAAGGAAAAGAGTAGTTGCACTCTCGCAAATATTTTCTGCCAGTTTTTGCAATCTGTCGAATATCGGCAGATTGCAAAGTGTTTCAGTTGAATTCCGTCCGTCGAGCTGCGAGGTTCGAGCGTTGCGTCCCAGCACAGAGACGGATTGACAAAAAATGAGTACCTTACTGTGTGCTGCTATTAATTGTAGTAATAATTCAAAAAATTGTTCTTTGAGTTTTTTTTAGATTGCCATCGGATGTAAATCGGCAAGCTGATAGTAATTATCAATAAACATTTAATTATATTTGTTTATTTTAGAAGCTGAGATATTATGTAATTAATTAAATGTTATTTTTTTAGCATGTGGGCAGATTTTAAAAATAGTTTTTTAGATATACAGGTTGTCTCAAATATGCGCATGAAAATAGACGTCAGGGGATTTGCCATAAAATTTTCATTCCAATAATAATTTAGGAGATAATTTATATAGATTGGTTTTTGAAACAATTTTAGAGTAAATATTTTGTATATCTAAAGTTTCCGCAAATTATTAATATTTTTTAATTGAAAGAATTTTATAATAGCATAATCTCTTATAAATTTAGTGGACTGTATTTTTTGTTTTTTTTTATTTTATTTATTTTTTATTATAAGTGGTCATAATATAACAATGTTCAAAATATTATAGATAAAATATTGAGTTTATATTTGAGGGAAGGAAAGTTCCACGCCTAGCTTTAAACCACCGTAAATATACAGGGTGGCCCATAGTGCGAGGAAGTCCAATATCGTCGTCGTTGTCGAAGATTTTATTCATATGTTTCAAGGTTTATAAAGGGGCGTATCCTAAAATAGTTTGTTATATACAGGGTGTCACAAAAAATTTATGGTAAAGTTAGTTTTATTTTTTTTAAATTATTTTACATCATTCTATATACATTATTCTATATAGGGTATTTTTTATGGCGTCACCAAAATCTGAATATTTAAAATGGTATATATCTCAATTTTTTTAAATGCAACATTCTGTATATTATTTTTCTGTCAGATGCAGAATTAAAAACTGAACATTTTTTTTATTTAAAGTGTTTCTAAATTTTTAACGGTTGCGCAGATATTCGCAGTATTTTACTTATGGCTCTTACAACAGTAAATTTTTATTAAAGCCACCTAATATGATCTTTGTCTGATATTTTATCGTTGAAAATCCCATGTGTAATGAAATACAGAAAATATTTGTTCACCTTTTAATTCTACATCTGCAAGAAAAATAATATACAAGGTTTTGCATTTAAACAAAAAGGAGATACAACATTTTAAATATTACGATTATGGTGAAGCCATAAAAAATACCCTGTATACGATAAAGTAAATTTTTCTACACAAATTTATTCTGGTATCCTTTATGTTTAAGAAAACATAGCTAAGTATTAATAAAGTTATATTGACTCTAGTTTTTTTACCACTTTTCGTATATAATGTTTTTAACCAAAGTTTTTTAATAAATAAGAAATAGAATGACAACACCGCAGTGTGCTTTAAATAAAGACAGTGTACTATATGCAGAATCTTATGCCGAATCCAGTTATCTACAGAAAATTAAACTTGTTTTAAATAAAAAAAAGTTGTAGAAAATGTCTGAAATAGATAATAATATAAAAATATGTCATTATATATTTTTTCCGCATTTCTTCCCATCAGAAGATTTTCAGATACAGAAGAGTTGTTACCTACACGAAATGCGAAAATATTCTGTTTTCAAGCAAGTTTTTACTCGATGATCAATTTTTTTATTTTATTTTATTGTGAACTTATATTTTCCTAAATACATATCTGTGAAACTATGGCGAGTGCCACGACTATACTTTGCCTAGTTAATAGACCACGACTGTAAAGCTACGTCAGTGGTCAGGGGAGGCGAGAACAAGGTCATATAAAGTGGCAGAAAAAGAACAAAGGATTTGACAAGGGGTAAAGCTACTAGTAGCCACTAATTTAGCCACTAAAGCTACCAGTAGCAACTAATTTGTTTCACTAATTTGGATGTTCTGAATAAAGCTATTATAATCGCAAAACATTTTCCGATGCACGTCATCAATAATATCGACATTGACACTAAAGTCTATAAACCTGAATAAATGAAATTTTGGCAAAAATGTTTAAATTTGTTGTATAATTTAAGATACCGAGCAGCTCTTCATTTTACTTTATAGAGCAAATGATAGTAACAGATATTTTATTTAGATTAAAGCTGCAAAAATTAGTTTAAACCGAATTTTATTATCACTATGTTAGTCAGATTGCGCCGTGTTCAGCAATGTTGTTCAGTTGTACTGTAGTATCAGTCATTATTTTGTATAAAATCGTGTTGTTGTTGAATATTTGTGAGTAATTCTCGTTTTTTTTTTACCTATTTTTACAGACTTTTTTTAAAAATGGCACTTTTAAGCACAAACAGTTCTTTTTAAGAACTAAATTTACGAGTTTTTGTATTGCATTTCTTGAAATTGTGTGTTGCAAATATGCCGAAGCATTTATACAGTCGAAGAAAAGCTTGTAGCTTCCCTGTTTCTTTAAAACTATTTTGAACGAGGACGTGACAATAAAGGTCCTTTATTACCCTTGACTGCAGTCAGAAAAGTAAGTTTGATTGTCAGCACATTATACCACTTTCAAAGTTAGTTTTTATTAAATTCTGTGATTATTAGTTTGTACATTAATAGCACCCTTTTACTTATTATTAGTACTTATGGCGTTGTAAGATGTACATCAATAAATAAATAACCCATAATAACGCTTATAATAATCTCCATGATGGACTAGTTTTTGCCAATATGTAATAAGTAAAATAAGCTATAAAACAAATAAATTAAATAATCACTAAAATATTAGTTACTAAATTAAAAATAAAACGTAAAACTCTTTAAAAAATGGTATAGTAAATATGTTGTTTGTCAATTTTAAATTAAGATTCATCTGATAAATCTATCACAATCTGGCAGCGCTGTCGCCATCGTTTGTCACTCACAGTTGATCACGTGCATCGGAAATGGTTTTGCGATTACCATATACAGCTTTTTTCCTATTCTATTTCAGGTTTGATTGTGATGTCCGTTGATTTAGAAGAAGTGGTCAGCAGTATTCTCACTGGCAGAATACCAGCAATGTGGGCCAAAAAATCTTACCCGTCCCTAAAGCCCTTGGGAAGTTATATCAATGATTTTCTAGCAAGATTAGTATTTCTACAGGTAAAACGGAAATCTTATAAATAGTTTCATAATTTTTTATATTTGTTTGATATTACTAGCTTTGGATGGATGAAGGTGCGCCAGTGACTTTTTGGATATCTGGATTCTTCTTTACGCAGGCCTTTTTGACGGGAGCACAACAGAATTTTGCCAGAAAATATACGATTCCCATTGACTTGCTTACCTTCGATTATGAGGTAATTTTTTGGAGTAGTTTTATTCCTTATTGGGAAAATTATACAAATCTATCAGAATACACCAAGATGTTTATTTATTCTTTGGATGATCATACCAAATAAACTTTTAGTCACGTGATTAAGTTTGACTGGCACAGCGTTGCCCACTTTTACATATTTTCTTTTAATGAAAATATTTTAGGAAACAAAAATCTATTAATTATAAATATATAAACAGTTATTATTTACATTAACAAAACTCACCTTCTTAACAGCACTTAAGGGACACAAAGGGCCATTACTACCGCTGTCCCGTTCAAAATATTCTAATAAAGTTGCGATGAGGTTTTTACGGCTATTAAGCTATCTTGTACACTAAAAGAGGTTCTAAAAAGAATAATGTTTGACTGCAAGGTCTGCTATTAAACATTTTTAAGCTTAAAGTATCCCAACACAATTGATTTAAACCAAAAACTCGTAATACAAAACTAAAGTGTCAAAACGAATGACAATGTCAGGAAATAAATAAATAAATGCGACAACTTCACATTTTTTACAGCAGAGCTACCACCTGACTCCCCAGCACGAAATTTAAATTCTAGTTAGACAGCCCGGCACCGAATATGTCCATGGTTGGCAACAATTAATTTAAAAACCGCGCCCTCGATGACGTAACTAAAAGTTTATTTGGTATCGCTTATTTCTTATCAACTTTTGATTATTATATTATATTGATTGATGATATTTTTTTCTAGAAAAACGCTTAAATACAAATTGAAAATATTAAAATAAAAAAGAAAACATTTATTAGATTACAATTTGTTATTCTTCTATGACAATGAAATGTTTTATAATAACTTCCTTCTAGAGTTATAGAGGATATATATGTTGTGGCAAAAATATTTTATTTTCTGTAGGTTTTAAGAGAAACGAAGTTCAAAACACCACCGCACGATGGCGTTTATGTTTATGGATTGTTTCTGGATGGTGCCAGATGGAATAGTAGTACAATGATGGTGGATGATTCCCTACCTAAAGTCTTATATGACAGCGTACCATATGTAAGTTGTTAACCTATAAGGAAGAAATTAAATAGGTATAAAAAATATTCAAATGTTGACCTCAGATTGTCGAAACATTAAAAAAATACTTTTGACAAGTTTTATGTCCATTTTTGGTAAATGTCATTTAGAGATTGACCTCGCCAAAATTATCATTGATTGTCATTGCCTAGTCGCCTTCGACGCCGATTTTTTTTCGATAATATAATATATTTTTACCTGGTTAGAAAACTGTATTTAGAGTGTAGTGTTGTTATCTGATATTTTGATTAAAAAACAATTTTTGTTGACATTTCTTGGATGTCATCTGTCTTAAGTCCTATATTTTCTTGTTAGAAAAACTACATTAGATAGTGTATATAAAAAAATTCCGTTGCAAAAATAACGATCGATAACATTCCTTATACAGGGTGTCCCAGAAATAAGTGCAAGTATTTTAGGGGGTGGTAGATCTCGATAAAAGAAACATTTCCAAAAAAAAGATTTTTTGCTCAAATTTTGAAAACCACTGGATCTTTTCTGGATTTTCTTTCTTGTAAATTTAATCTACTAACTATGTTGCCATATTATCAACAAATTATTTTTTCTAATAAAAACTAAAAAAATTTCAAAAAATTCCGAATTTTCAAAGTTTTTTTTCGCGAAAAAAACCTCATAGGCGTGTTTCTGGGGTTGAACTATACTACCAGTTAAAATACTTGCACTTATTTCTGGGACATCCTGTATAATTTTGCACATAAAATTACAGCGATCTTTATTCCCAAGCCAACTTTCTCGATTATTTTGTATAACGATAGTAAACGTTTTAACGTTTAAAAAAACATTCATAAACATAAGATTACTTATTGGTACAAGTTTTTTTTTAATAAAGTTCTTCATCGTGAACAAAATAAAGTAAGCCTGAATTTTCTTCAACGGGAGTTTGGTTTGGTTTGAGTACCTTAATTTTTCACAGAAAATTTCTTCCACAAGGAAAATACCGCACAGCACTTTTTACTACGATAACAAAACAATTATACATAACTACAAAAAACAAAGCGAATTTATGTCAAATGTCTGTCAACGTTGCCAACATTTAGTCGAATTTGTTAAATGTTATACTTATATTGCCTATTATTTATCTTATCATTATTTATCTTTATATTTTACAACATGTGGCAGTCGCAACTGAATCTTTCAAACTCACTGCTATCGTTCAGGGAATGCTAGCACTCACTAGTAAAAGTTGGTTTCAAAAATAGCTGTTGAACTTTTACTGGCGTAGTCTTAGCAAATCAGTGAATGTTTGGGGTCGCACCACTCTGGCACTTTGTGCCATTGTATCGGTTTTTTAATCGCGGTGCGATCCCTTTAGAGACATATTTATTAATACTAATATTATTCCGTAAAACTTAATGGGGTCTAATAAAGAAATTTGAATTTGAATTTGAATGTGAGCTTTTACTAGTAATTGTTAACAATCACTGATTTCCAACTTTTACTGTAACATATATAAAAAAAACAATACATACATTAATGTGACAGACAACATCTGTCACTGCTATGTATTCTCTCGCTGGACATACTTTAGTTTTAATTTGTGCGTTGTTAATTTTAGATTTGGTTGAAACCTCTAAAAAGGGAAGACTTTGTTGAGAAAGAAACTTATACTTGCCCTGTATATAAAACAGTTGAACGCAGAGGCGTTTTGTCAACGACGGGTCACTCGACGAATTTCGTCATTGCGATGTTGCTACCCACAGATAAGCCTCAAAAGTATTGGATTATGAGGGGCGTAGCCATGTTGTGTCAACTGTCGCAGTAGTTTATTATTATTTAGTTTTAGTTATGTTTTATTTATTTATTTTTAGTTTATATGTATATTTTAATTTGTTATAATAAATGTGTTTTTTTTTGTGGATTGTTGTTCTTTTTATTATTATAGTAAACGCCACGAATATTTGGGAGTGATTCATCGGTCGCTACCATGTGAACTAATCTGTTCAAGGTCACATAAAACTTAATTCCAGTGCCGTGGTCTTTCAAGTCATATAATAATCTTTGAATAAGAAGACTAAGGAAGGAGCATATCAAAAATCTTAGGTACACCGCGATGGACCTCAAATATGGCCGACTTAAATTCCGGTTTATCAGTGCTGTTCTAATTTTATTTAAAAAATGTAAAACTATGATGTAGGGTAGACGTGGGGTAGACTCAATAATTTGTTATTTTATTTTACGTTGTGAATAAATGTTGGTAGTTATTAAAACGGTTATAAAAATATACAATTCTAATAAAAATAGATAAGTTATAATAAGTATTTATTAACATAAACATCCGATACGCTACTGAAGCAGGTAAGTCAAATTAACGTATCAAGATTCTTTGACATCTGATCTTTGACAAGTAGTAAATAAAAGCTAAAATGCAAGAAAAATATATAATTTAGTTAATTTAAGCGAATTTCATAAATGATCGGTTTACTACACGTATGTATATTATATAGTCACTTACTAGCGAAAAGTTGGTCCATTATTTCACTCAATTTTTGCCGAGATCTACCGCACGCTGCACAACCAACTATTTTAGAGTCTTTTTCGATAAATCGCGATAGACTGTTAATTTAAGTTCTGCCACAATTTCCATCTAGATTTACTACCTTTATACAACTATCAGTAGTAGAATAAATAATAAATAACATAAAATAAGCTCCGTAAAGACTGACAAATCCACAAAATTTCAAATCAAATTCAAATGTGTCAAATGAATCGTCAAACAGAACTGTCAAGGATCCCCACCCTAGAGTGCTTTTTCCGCCCACCATGCATGAATACATGGATAGCATTATGCTCCTTCCTTAGTCTTCTTATTCAAAGATAATAATCAATATATAATCTGTTGTAATTTGTTGTTTTAATTGTCAAAGTCTTGTCAAAACATATATTTGGTTATAAATATAAAATGGAATGCCCCATTGGTCGCACTGCAAGCACACCAATGGAGTGACGCACAAAAACGAATCAATCAAAGAAACGCGATATAGTATCGTCTTTGTCAATCACGCTAACATTTTAGAATAAGTAGGAGGAGCGCAGGCAGATGAGTAGACCGGGCCTTTAAAAACCTACGTCTGCGGTAAACATTACGTTTTTAATGTAAAAATTATAGCGCGCGTGTCGATTCTAACTTCATCAAGCGGTGAATCACTCCCAAACATTCGTGGCGTTTACTCTATCAAAGCTTTTAATACTTATAGGCCTGTGCTCGTTACATTATCAAAAAATTAAATTGACTTATACTATGAGAGGATGAAATATAATTTGTGCAATATTAATCGTATATTTTTTTAATCAACTAGTGATTAAATATTTTACGAACATCTTCTAAAATTATAATAATGTACCTTTAAAAAAAATCGTTATAGCCGAAATAGCCCCAATGATGACTCCACTAGGAAAACAGGTGCGTAAAACTAAATTCGCTACCGTAGCTGAATTCATTTAAAAAGTTTTTTTAACTGGAATAATAAATTATAATACAAGTTAGGCTTTCTGAAGATATCAAAATATTTACTTTTTTATTTTTATATTTAGAATTTTTACAAGTTATACTTCCTAACACTTTTAGAATAATTATAAACTCACCGGCCAAAAAAACCGGCCACTAAAAACTAGACCCAATTTTAAAGTTGGATTTGTCGCGAACCACTCATTAGATTTTGATGATTTTTTTTTAATTGTAAATTAATTCCTTTTTAACGGATACTACGTCAGAAATTTTTATTCCGAATTTATTTTAAGCATATACAGGGCACAACAATAAGACGAAGTTTTTTGCCCGAACTTTGTAACACCCTGTAGGGTGCAGCAGCGGTAGTAACTATTGCTAAATTACATCACATTGTAGCCTCATCTTTTGTGAGCATTTTATTTTTTTAATCACCACATTATCTCTTTTTGTATTTTTTAGATATGCTGTTTTAAAACGAACGTCTCGGAAAAATGCTTCGCAGGCAGAAAGTTTTATGTGTAAATAATCAAGGCGACATACATAGGCGAAAACGGATTTATGAGTATTTTCAAAATGACAAAAACGGTTGTCAAATTAAAAAATGCCATTATCTGTAACGGATGTTGCTCGTATTGTGGCTTTAATTTTATTGAGAATAGCCGAAATCAACGTTATGTCTCCGATACCCTGGGTATATTTCGAACAACAGTCCAGAATGCCTGGAATCGGAATATGGAAACGGGAGATTTCACCAGGCGAGTGGGTTCCGGAAGAAAACTTAAACTATTTAAAAAAATAATTTTTACTTGTTATTTTTTAGTTTTTTATTAGTTTCAGTAAAGCACCTACCCAAAAGCATTTTTGGGTTTATAAGTGTTAGAAACTTCCACACAATTATACACTAAACCATCTAAATGGTTGTGTGAGAGGTATGGGGGCACTGTGCAGAACACGTCCTTCGGGTCCAGCACACCGCAAGGCCAAGAAGGCGGGGCTCAGAACGGCAGGTACGGCAGCAACCGCAACGGCTGGGGAGGACGGGACCACCAAGCCACAGCCGGCCCAACACCGAAGGCCAGGAAGGCGGGGCCAGACGGATGACGCCACAACCGGGAAGGCAGGACGGCAGCACCGCGGAACGGGAAGAAGTCAAGGGATACGGTAGGACGGCATGACGCCGGACGGCATGGAAAGTGGAAGGGGGAAGGAAAAACAGGTGCGGGTGGAGGGGGGGACCACGGACGGTGCGAGTCGCCAAGCGAACGCCGGAGCACACGACAAAAACGGATGGAAAAGGGAATGGGAGGGAGGGCGAAGATGAGGGCCAAGGTGAAAGGGTGGCGCCAAAGGGATGAGCACAGTAATGGAACGACGGGTGCGTACACAAGGAAGACTATAAGACGAGCGCCAGTGTCACCAGAGTGGCCAAGAACCTAAGCCCTGCGCCCGGGGGGCCCCCAAAGTGAGGAGCACCAGGGAGGTGAGCAAAAAGAAAAGGGTAGAAGAAGTGAGGACACAAACGAGCGATGGGGAGCACCAGCAGGACCAACGGCGAAGGGTAAGGAGAAACGTACGTGCGAGGGGGGGGAGCAGCAGCAGCAGCAGAACGGGGGTGGTGCGACGACCACCGAGTAAAGAGAGAGGGATACAAAAGAAAGGGCGGGCGGAGTGTGAAAAGGGGGGCGAAAAGAGGGTGGAAGGGTGAGGGCGGGCGGGAAACAGCGGGTGGTGAGCGGTAAACGCGGCAAATCACGGGCCCGGAAACACGGACCAGAGACGGGGGAAAAACGCAGGGAGTGGTAAGAAGGGAGACAAGGAAACGTAGTAGAGGGCAAGCAGAAAGCCAAT